ACACGAGAGCCGACGCGAGGCACCCACGAGGCTCAGCTTACTCTAGGGCTCAGCGCGCAGCCGCCCTCCAGGCTCCAGAGAGGGCAGGTGGGCTCCCACCAGGACCAGCGCACTGCGCACTGGGACCGACGTGGGAGCCACTGACGTGACCGCCAGTGCGCGCCAGAGCCGCGCCAGAGGCAGAGCGCCACGTGCTGCCAGTGCTCACCGCGTCCCGCGCGGCGTCGCCGGCGCTAGGCATCCGCCCCCTGGATAATTAGGTGCGAGCCCGGGGCTAGTAAGCACTCGGCCGTGACAAGCTTTGCCATGCTCTCGTCCACTACTGTACGCCGCACGACACAGGGAGGCACATATGAGACGGGGCGGATGGGTCCCGCCAACGAGAGAGCCCGCAACACGATATTTCTGTGCCTGTGTTTCCCTACTTCACTCGGCCGGCTCCTCGGCTGGCGGCGCTTGACTCGCAAGCGGAGCAGCGGCCGCGCCCTCTCCTACCGGCGCCGGTGGTGCCGCCGCCTCGTCCTCGACGGCTGCCGGTTCGGGCGCGCTCGCGCTGAACGAGTACTTGGCGTTCGCCTCGGCGTTGAGCCTTTTGATGTAATCCTGCCCGGGCAGGATCGAGGTTGGCCGCGCAGCCCAGGCCTCAAACTCTGATGGCAGCGGCACCGAGACGGCAGGGAGCGATGGGAGGTCGAATGCCTCTGCCCGGCGCTGGCTCATCGCTGCGAGGGCGGCCGGCAGTGTCGCGAGCGTCGCGCGACGGCTCGCCGCGGGTGCGATGCGGAGCCCGTCCGCCAGGGATAGGGACAGCAACAGCACGCACATCGACACCATATCAGCGGCGGCGTCGGAGATCGAGCCGCAGAAGAAGAGAAAGCGCACGCCGTGCTCCAAGTGCGATCGAAATCAAGGGACATTATCCCATCGCTCCTTCTCTCTTTTCTTTCTTTCTTTCTTAGGGACATTCTGCACCCGAAGGGGAACCCAGCGCCAGCATCATCCGTGGAGGTACAAGTGTTCGAAGAGAGAGTGGACCTGAGCAACGATATGACTGGGCGGCAAATAAATGATCGCAGTGGGCGTCAGAAGAGTCATCCTTGCGCGAGGAGAGCTCGATAAACTCGAGGGGCCAAAATATGCCGCCAGGAGGGCAGAGTTGCGCCAAAAGGCGGGAGAAGCCGCGAGAGCACGGGATCGGCAGGCAGGCGGCGGCAGGCAGCGTCGGTCGGGAGACGAGGCAGATGAGAGCGACGCGACAGAGGAGGAAACGACAGGAGGGAGAACGACGAGAGTGGGACGACCGCGAGGTGGCATGAAGGTTGCAGCGAGAATCGGCGAGGGACTGCGAAGGGAGATAGAAAGAGGCAGACGACCAAGGGTTAGGGTAGGCGAGGGCTAACACCACACTCCTCTCCTTAAAATCCCTGTGTGGTGGCGGCGTGCCGTCCTCCCATCCCTCCCTTGGGTTCTCTGTGTCCTTTCTTTCTTTCTTTAAGGGACATTCTTTAGTTCCAGAAATGGTTCTAAAGAAAGAGCCGCGAAAAGAAACCAAACCTCAAGCAAAAGAAACCATGCGTCACCTCCGCGCGCTCCACCCAGAGCCATCGCCCTCGACGCCACATTCGGTGTCGTTGCGATCTGCAGCCCCGACTACGCCGCCAGCTCGGGCTTCCTCGCCGCGCTTCGCGCGTACGCGAGCCGGCACGGCCTGCAGACCCACTTGCACGAGGCGTCGCTGCTGCCGAAGAGGTCCATCCCGCTCGCCTACTCCAAGCTGCCGGCGCTGGTGCAGGCCCACGCGCAGTCGACGGCCACTTGGCTGTGGTGGGTTGACTGCGACACGGCCATCCTCGACGAGAGGCGGCCGCTCAGCGACGTCCTGGCTGCTGCGCTCACCGCCGCGGCTGAAAGCGGCGACACCGCCAACGGCGTTGCAAGCGATGACGGCGGAAGGAGGTGGAGGCCTGCGATAGCAGCGGGCACCCGCGCCGCAGCCACCCCCGAGCTGCTCATCGCGTACGAGCCGTGGGGCGTGGACAGCAGAATCGAGGAGCCGGAGGAGCCGTCTCCGAAGCGGTCGATCCACGAGCTCGTGCGCAAGAGACGCGGCGCGGTCGCTGCGGCGCAGGCGAGGCTGGGCCACCCGATCAACACGGGCTCCTTCTTCCTGCGCCGCGGACCCTGGGCCGCGGCGCTGCTCCGGCGCTGGTGGGCCGCGTGCAACGAGACGATTCGGATCGGCCACCGGCGCGGCTCGCACCGCCCCGCTGTAGCAGTAGCACCGCTGCACCGCCCGCGGCAGGAGCAGCGCCGGCAGCGCGCCCCCATATCGGCCGTGTGAGGAGGGAGGTTCGACGCCCGTAGGCGGGCCGCGCCGCTCTGGGACCAGAGTGCGCTGCAGCGCCTCCCCGACTTTGCGCCGCCGCCGCTCGGTCACACCGGACCGTACCACGTCGGCGCCGGCGGCGCCGGCGTCGCGCTGCCACACGCACCGTTCAACGAGCAGCTGTGCGGGCCGCGCCCCCTCTCTCGCCCTCTCCAGGTCGCCTCGCCGCCGCCGCCCCACCACCACCCCGCCCCGCCGCCGCGCCAGGTGCGCCTCCGCCGCCTCGCCGCCGTCCCTGCTCTGCAGCCCGCCTCACGGAAGCAATGGCTGCGCTCGGCCCGCGCCCTTCCTACTCCACCTCTCCCGCGGGCGATCCTCCCTCGGTCGGTGCTCGCCCGACTGGGTGCAAGGCATCCCTCCCGAGTACAAGTCGTGGCTGCGCGAGGCGGCGGCGCCCGCCGGCCTCGGCTTCGCGGCGCTCCGCCTCGCCTGCTGCAACAAGTTCCCGCTGCGCGGCCAGCTGGCGCGGAGAGTTGAGGGCGCTCTGGGTGTGCAAGACAGTGAGGTGTGGGCGCGGGTCGGCGCGGCGGTGCCAAACGAGACGGCGCGGGAGGCGGCGCGCGAGTGGTACCGTAGGTACAAGCACATGGCGAGAAGGGAGGAGCCGAGTGTCAGTTGAGACGCTTGAGTGTAGTTGCGAGAGGCCTATACGGCTCTGTTGAGACCGCACAGTACGATCGCGCAGTACTAGTTCATTGACCATTACTTGGAGTTTTCCCGAACCCTCGAAGCTGGAACCGTGGAAGCGGCGCGGCGCGCGTGTTGGCTACGGTATTCGTATTATAGCATTAGCAACGCGGCGGAGGCAGCCGGAGGGACACGTAGTCGTAGCACGTACGAATGAAAGGGGGTGCTCGAAGGAGCTCAAAGGTGGAAGGGGGGGCTGACTTTTGAGCCAGAGAGCATGACACGCGTCGCTACTACATTAAGCGAACTACCACCGAAAGGGAGAGCAACTAGCAAGCCACATGCAAATGCACATGCACAACAACATGTACATGTGCATGGCACATGCAAATGCACATGCACATGCACATGCACAACAACAACATGTACATGTGCATGTGCATGTGCATGTGCATGTTGTGTGCCGTAAGTCCCGTAGATCTGGGACTGGGTCAATCGCCCTCAATCCGCGCTGTCCTTGAGCATGGACATGCGTGACGGCGAGTCCGGCAGTTGCACGGTAAACAGCAAGGGGGGAGCTGCAGCTTGAACCCTTGCATCGGGTCCATCAGCTCGCTCTCGCCCGCTTCGCGGGACATGCCGTGCAATCGCTTTGGCTTCCACATCCGGAGGCTGCAGGAGCGCTGGCGCCGGCGCCGTTGGTCTTCGCCGCTGCCAAGTGGGAGTGACGTGCGCTTGCTTGGTCTGAGCGGCGCCTCCCGGCCGATTGGCCGCCTCGGGCTCCACGGTGAACTTCGGCTGATTGGCCACCTCGTGGACGGTGAATACTGCGGGCTGTGCCGACGCAGATGCAAGTGCTGGTCGTCCGCAAGCGGCGTTCGTCGATTCCGGTGGGATCAACAAGCTGTCGTTGCCGCTGGCCAAGCCCGCGACCGCTGGCGATGTGGGCGCCGCATCATGCACAGGCGGAGATGATGGGCTCGCTCGTCTCGACCACGGCGACGATCGTGCGCTGGATCTGGAGCTTGTTGTGCCTACATATAACAACGGGAACGATTTGGCGGTATGAGAGTGCTAAGCGAGTGAAAACCACCCTCGCCCAATTGCGAACCCGAGTCTGGCGACGTGGCGCTGCCATCGCTCTTGTCACCGCCACGGAGGGATCGCCACACACTGCCGATGCCCCACCGCCTCTCTGCCGACCGCGCACCACCTCCGCTCTTCTCAGCTTTCTCGGCCGCACGGCCTGCCTGGACTTGCTCTGATCCCACCCCGACGTGGGATCTTTGCGCCGTCGCAATCCCTGCCGGCGCCAGCGCAGCGTCGCCCTCGCTGCGTAGATCTGCATCCAGACTGATGGCAAGCGGTGCTGTACTAGGCTGGATCGGCGTCTCTTGTGGTGGCAGGGGCGAGCTGGATGGCGACGGCAGTTGAAGTGCTGGGGCGGTCTGCAGCCTTGCAGGCGAAGGCGCCACGACAAAGAACGGAGTGCTGCCCTTTCCCTCAGTCGGCACTTGGCCATTGGGTGACTCAAATGGCAAACCATGCCCGTGCAACGTCAGCTCATCACCCTCTGAAGTCTCGAAAGCACCCGGTTGCTGTGGTGTGAGAGGCCGGATGGGAGAGGAGACATCACGAGCGACGGCTCCCGCCTGGCCCGACGCAATACCTGGTGCTGGTGCTTCCAAAGCGTCCGTGCGCGACTGCGAGCTGGTCCGATACCCGCGCTGGATCAATCTAGCGGCGCCTTGGAGAGCGCCAAGTTGGCACTGTAGGCCATCGAGCGCTAGGCGCCTCTCGGGGTCGCCGTGCAGGAGGGCGTGCCTGCGGGTGAAAGCAAGCGCGGCGTCGGTAGGGCTATGGGGATGGGAGACACTTGGACGGGTCGCTGTGCACGTGTCGGCTAGACGGCACAGCGAGGGCGGGTGCGGGCTCGAAGCCAGCGCAGCATGGTCGTATGCCCCTGCGCGCAACACTTCGCAACGGGTCAGCCTCGGGGGCAGCCTCGGGGAAAGGCATCGGGTGTACGCGCGCCTGTCGTTATTGCCATCACTAGCGCGCCGAGCGCTCCGTTTGGCGCGCTGAAGGGCCGCTTGAGCGTGAGAAGCTCAAAGAGGATGACCCCGAGCGCCCAGACGTCACTCGGTTGTGAGTAGGGCAAGCCGCGCACTAGCTCGGGCGAGAGGTAGTATGGCGTGCCGCACATAGTCTCGGCGAGGTGAGTCTCGGTCGAGAAGAGACGCGAGACGCCGAAGTCGCCCAGCTTCACGTTCGGCTCCGCCTCGTCAGTCAGGAAGACGTTTGCCGTCTTGAGGTCGCGGTGCAGGATTCTGCGAGCGTGGACGTGCCGCAGGGCAGAGGCGAGACCGGCGATGAAGCGCACGACTGTGGCGGTACCGAAGTGCAGCTTGCTCGCTGCGTTCACCGCGAGTACATCCGCGAGCGTGCCGCCGGAGGCGTACTCCATCACAATGGTGAGCACCCGCTCAGACACAAATGAGTCTATGTACGCGACGATCCGGGGATGCTGGAGCTGGCTCAGGATCTGCACCTCGTTGCGAAGCCTCTCCGGCTCCGCGGCCTCGGACTCGTCCAGCGCGATCTGAGGGCGGACGGGTGAGGGTCGGGTGGCAGAAATGTCGAAGGATGGGCCGCATTGCGCTCCGCTCGCCTCCTTGGCGACGACAAGCTCGCTGCTGGCTGGGTCGCGTAGCAATATTGCCGATCCGTGCTGTCCGCGCCCGAGCACTCTCAGTCTTGGGAACGAGCCGTAGCGCGTGCGGGCATCCGGCAAGTCGTCCGCGATCACCCCACGCATGTACGAGTATTGTGGCGGCTGATCGTTTCGCCCCGCGAGGGAGAAAACAGGTTGTTTCCTGGCCATAGAGAACACGCCTGCGTCCGATCACGTTACACTGGCGAGAAGAGGCTCTCGGCTATTGGACCGGCCCCAGCTTCGGCTGAGGGCTGACAAGCTGCCGAGCCCAAATCACTGTGAGAGCCGTGATTTCTTGTTGGTTAATAAAAATCTCTCTCTCTGGCGAGGCACTCCACGCCTCGAACGGGTACCCCATGCCCGGGGGGCGAGGAAATCCGAGATGCGGCCCTGAGGCCAATTTTGACCGCGCAAGACATAAGGGTGGCTAAGGGCTCTGCCCGCAAGGCGCCCGCGTCGCAGACGCGGTACCATTGGCAACTACATGACATACCCACACACGAAAAAATATAATTAAAATTCGTGCATATCGTCGGATTTTCGTTCGGCGACGCAAACTTCTCGTCCGGCGGTCAACACGGCGCCCGGGCAAGCCTTCAGCTGGTGGCAAGACATCCGTAAAATTGAATTTTACAACAAAACTCCCTCGCACAACACTGGGCACAGGACTGGGCACGGGACTGGCTCGCACTGGCATTCCGTAAAATTGAAACCAAGAACAACCGCCAAATCGTGCTTTCGGAGCAACTGAGGGAAAGCCGCTGATGGAGGCCAGCGTGCCCGCGGCCGCCTCCCGCGCAGCACCGCCGCTGCGGAATCGGATCGAGCCCATGGAGGAGGAGGGCGCAGTCGGCCAGCGCAGCAGGCGGAGTCCCTCCCCGCGCCGGAGCCCCCCTGCAGTCGAGGGAGTCCTCGTTGGCGATGAAGGTGGCGACATCGAATCGCGGCCGACACACGTCACGTGGGAGGAATGGGCGATGAGCGGGAACGATTGCGCGCTACGACGCCGACTCCGCCGTGCTCGTGGCCGCCACGACGCCGACTCCGCCGTGCTCGTGGCCGCCAAGCAGAAAGCCGCGCTCCAGGAGCACGCCAAGATGCAATGGCTCGCTTGCTTCGATTCAGCTCTCTCGGCAGCAGAAGTGGGGCTGGAGCGGGTGGGGGTGGATGCCGATTGAGGGGGAGCGTCTCCAGCTGCGCTAGTCGAGGGACTCGGTAGTTGTGACCCCCCTGAGTGAGGACAGGAGAGATAGAGCGTTTTGTGGTGTTGGTGTACGCAATAACGGGACAGGGTGGTTGTTCTCTCTATCTCCTCTTCTAGCTCTTAGCATGAGCTGCGCCCGGTGTCCGACCCCTTTTGCGCCGCAACACCTTAAACTTTTAGGCCCTCCAAATTCGGGTCGGAGCGTAGCGGAGTGGGCCCCGAGTTTGAAAAGGGCGACGGACGCTTGCGTCCTAGCCTCCAACTACCTCCGTTTCGGCCTGCCTGGCTGCGGCGGCCGTCACTCCCTTACAAAACCGTCGCTTTCCGTCACTTGGAAGCCGGGAAGTTTCCGAGTGACGGGTAAAAGTGACAGCCAAGTGACAGGAACGTGGCAAAACGGCGGCGACGAGGCGCGCCCAGGGCCAACCGCGGTCGATGGCCTCGCCGTCTCGCGCTTTTCCTTACGCAATGGCCATCCTTAGGTGATTGGCAGCAGTAGCCGTCGCCTAGTGCGCGCCTCGAGACGGCGCCGCGCACGATTACTCGAGTAAGAGGTAGAAGAGTTGTCGAGTGTTGATCGGCAGACGTCGCATGTTGTCGTCGGTGCCAGTTTTTCGTATACGAGGAGAGAATAACGAAAGCACAAGTTTTCAACATACAAATCCAAGAGCCACATGCGCTCTCAGCATAGTATTCGCACGCACGGCAAAACTACCGCACATTGCGAGGCGGCCCGAGCGCGAGGCAGCGGTTCTTGCCCTCAGCCTGTGCGCGCGTCTGCAGCGACTTGAAGCGCGCAACGATGGCGCGGAGCGAGAGTTGGCCAGGACGCTGCGAGGCACGCTCTTCTTAGCATATCGCCCGCAAGGATCTCCAGCCAGCGCACCTCCTTAGACAGCACTTGGACAGCACTTGGAGCGCAGTGTGCGGATCGAACAGTCACTGCGAAACTTCCCGGCCTACCAAGTGACGGTTTTTGCCCCGAAGTGACAGTAAAGTGAAGGTTTTCGCGGCAAAGTGGCGTTTTGCGCACGACACACCGCTATAATCAACGCCTCCCCGGCGCAGAGGGGCCCCCGGAGGGATGCACAACCGCTCCACGCCACGCCGCTTGCGGCGGTCCTCTTCCCAGCTCCGCTGAGGGCCCGCGCGTTATAGGGCCGTGTCGGCATAGCCTTGCCGATATGGCATCGAGCACCGCCCCGTCGGCGCCCGGATGCATCTCGTGGTGCAGCCTGACCGAAATCACAGACTTCCTCGAGCGGCTGCCCATAGTGCACGACACGAGCTCGCGGTGGTACTCGTGGCTACAACGAGTCTACGGCGGCAAAGTGCCGCTTCCGCTCGACTTGCAGTCGCTCGGCGTCTTCACGATGCCGACTAAAATGGCCAGTGCCACCTTCTTCAACCGGGCCTGTGATGGCCGCCCTGCGCCGGCGCCTGCGCTGTGCACGCAGTGGCTAGCTGAGCGACGTCGGCGTGAAGTGCGCACTTTGCGGCTGCCACGCGGCCTCAGCAAGGACCACGAGCGCTCGGCTCGTGCCACGGCTTGGACGATGAGTCCGGCTGATGCAAAGAGGGCCGGCCTTGAGACTTTTACGACGGTCAGGCTGCTCACCCTGCGAGATGGCTCGGTCGTCCGCTTCTTCTTTGATTCGAGCCACGTCGGCATATACCGCACACCAAACATGCTTGCGCCGCCGCCGCCGTCTCCGAACGGTAGCTGGATCGAGGTGCTCCGTGAGCCGGCGCCGGAGGCTGCTGGCTACGGGTGCTGGTTCTACCCGCTCGTCAAGCCGTTCAGCCGCGGGAGTGGAGTGTTTGTCAACCTCGGCCGGACCCTTGCCTTTCCCAGCCGCGCAGTGGCCATGAGGACGCTCAAGGTGCCGGGCTCGAGGGACGACGAGTTTTGGGCACGGGAGGCGGCGAGGCGCGGCTACGACTCCATCCAGCTCCAGCGAGGTCCCTTTGGACCGCCGGAGATCGTCATCACCACCGGCGAGTGCATCGGCGAGGCGCGACTGCCGACACACACCGCCTGCCCGCTGCCGGTGCCTCTCCGCACGGGGTGGGACGCCAGCGCACCCTGCGAGTGCTCGGCGGCACACTCGCGGCAGTGGGTCAGCTGCGGCAGCCGACAACGTCAGTGGCCAGGTCGAATGGACGATGCGGCAGCCGTGCGCAGCGCCGGCGGTGTCGCCGACCAATCGCGTCACAGTTCGAACGGCCGAGGCAGAGGGCGAACGCGAGGCGCGGTGGCGCTCGCCACCCGCCATCTGGCAGAGCTCCAAGGCGGTACGCCGCCCGTGGATGCGTGGCTGCGGTGTCGGCGAGAGATGCTCTCTGCAGGCGTCACTCCGCGAGCCCTGCTGCTCGTGGCGAGGCACAGAGAGGCGGTGCGCTGGCTCTCGGACCTCCCTGCCGACGTCTGCGTGCTTGTCTGCACCGCCGCGCCGGAGAGGGCTTCCGCGCGGACCCTGCCCCCCTCGCCTCGCGTGGCCGCGTTTGTGGTTCGCAACACGATTCGCGAGGCGTCTTGCTACCTGCGCGTGCTGGGCGACCTCTTCAGTCTCCCGGCGGAGAAACTGCCGCCGATGCTGGTGGCGACGCAGGCGCACCCACACTGCCGCGACCCGGCAACCAATGGAGGTGCAGGGCTGCAGCCGTCGCGTCCACAAATGGAGTGCGCGAAGTCGACCCGTCCTGTTTGTGCTGGGCGCCCGTAGGTCCGCTCTGCGTAGCAGAGCTGCAGCAGCAGCTCGCAAACACCAGCGAGGCGCGCGCGCGAGGAGGGAGCCTTGCTGCACACGGCGTGAGCGTATGCCCCTCCCCCCAAAAGGCGTCGCTCGAGGCCCGAGGAGGCTTCTCCATCATTGGATCGCTGCGTCCGGACTCGCGTTTCTCGGACGACGTCTTCGGCGCCGGCGCGAGTACGCACTGGCGCACGTGCGTGCAGCGGCATGTCGCCCAGATGGCCGGGGTGGAGGAGGGCGGCGCGCTGGCGCTGCTGCAGGCGTTGCGTCGCTCCGCCATCTTCCAGATCGGCGCGCAGTGGATCGCTTCCAAGGGAGCCATCCTGAGGCTGCGTCGCTGCGGGGCGTTGCAGTCGTGGATCGCCAACATCCGAGGCGCGGCTGCTGCCGCCAACGCCGAGCCCAGCGATGCGCCAGGGTACAGCTTTTCCGCGTGCTGCGACGCGCCGCCGAGCGGCAACGTGCGCAGCTGCCACCCGTGGCGAGCCCGTCGATTTGGTGCGGCGGCGCGGCCGTCACCGCGACGTGAGGCGTGCAACTTCGACACCTTGTAGGCTCCTCGAGCGGATTTGGCAGGCTCTCTTCCACCTCGCCGCCCTCGCGACCGAAGAGGAGGGCGAGCATGGGTGCGCGGCAGACAGTAGGGGCTTGGCGCCGCTGCTGGGCCGGCGGTCCGTGCGGTGGGCGCAGCTGAGCAAGGCGGCCGACGGGTTCGGGGCGGCCGCGCGGGAGGCGGCCGTGGCGGAGGCATGGGCGCTCGAGGAGCTGCAGCAGCTGGCCGGCGGCGCCCGCGATGCGGCGCGACTGCTTCCCAAGTGGGCGGCCGCTGAGCGTGAGGGCTTGCGGGCCCACCTCTCGTCGCCCCTCTGCCGTAAACCGCCGGCCGGGCTGTGCCCCCGCGTCGACGGGGCCGGCCGAGCGCTCACCCTTAGGGTGCGAGGGCTGTCGCGGCGCGCGGCGGGGGCGACGGCTGGCCGCGGCGCGGTTGACGACGGCGCCATGTTGAAGGAGCTTCAGGCGCTCGCCACGGCCGCGACCGCCGCGCGCCGGCGCGTCGCGCAGCTGGACGCGGCGCAGCGAGCGCGGCTCGACGGGCTGCTCCGGGACCGCCAGCCCTTGCTGCCGACGGGCGCCGCGCAGATTGGGTCTGGCGGGCCCTCGCCGGCGGGATTGGCCAAGAGGCTGGGAGCACTGGCGGCGGAAGTGCGACACTAGAACCGTACTAGATTCAGTGCAAGAAGATGCACCCCCCCCAACCCCCACTTGTTGAGTCCATGTGCTCAGAGAAAGAAAAATGTGAACTCAATAAGCGATGAAGACCGGTGTGTCGGTTGAGGGTTGTGGGGAGGCTGTCGCAGTGAGAGCTCCGTGGAGGCCGAGGAGGCGCCGGGCCGGCCGGGCCGCCTCTGCGCGCTGTGCGGCCCCGGCGGTGATGGGCGAAAAAGAATTCCCCCCGGGCCAAGTCTACCATCGCTCCCCTCCGATTGACGACCGGCCAAGATGGGCTCGATGGGCTTGGACGACCTGCTGTCCGCGTTCGCTGGAGTGAACATGGACGACCACGAGCAGCTTGTCGGCACCTTCGCCCGCGTGCTCGGTGCCGACGCCGACCAGTCGCGCTTCTTCCTTGAGGCGTCGGCGTGGAACCTCGAGTCGGCCGTGGGCAACTTCCTGGACACGGTGGGCACGCGGGCCAATCTCGCCACGCCCTCAGCGGAGCCCGCCTCCGCCTTCCGCGGCGAGGAGAGCGTCCAGCAGGTCAACGCGCACGTCTTTGCGCCGGGGCAGCCGATCCAGCTGGTGTGGACGTTTGTCAACGTGGGCCCAGCGCCGTGGCCGCTGGACGCCGCCCTGGTGCACACCGAGGGCGACGCGCTGGGCGGGAACCCCGAGGTCAGCGTAGGCGGCTGCCAGCCCTCGGTCGAGGCGCCCGTCCAGCTCAACTTGCGCGCTCCGGCCTCGGCCGGCAGCTACGCGAGCGCGTGGAGGCTGCGGTACTCCGGCGGCTACTTTGGCGACGCGATCTGGCTGGTGGTGAACGTGGACGGCTCGTTGCCCCCCGCGGCGCCGCCAGCGGCGATGCAGCAGCCCTCGCACGAGCAGCAGATGCAGCAGATGCAGATGATGATGATGCAGCAAATGCAAATGTCGCAGCAGCAACAGCAGATGCAGACGGGGTTCGGGCAGCCGCAGCCGCAGGTGGGGATGGCGCAGCCGGTCGACGACGAGGACATGGACCTGTGAGCGCACCGAGAACACGCCGTGCGCGGAGGAGGGAGCGAGGGAGGGAAAGAGGAGGCAGTTTTGAGAGCCCGCTGCCCCGGGAGGCGCAAGGTTCGCCTCTCCGCACTGTGGAGCCGTCTCCCCGCTACACACAACCGCCTGTCCACACCGGCACACGCTGAGAGTCGGTGCGGCGGAGCGTTCGTGGACGTCAAGCGGGGAGAGAGTCGATCACGGCGTGGGGATCTTGGAGTACTTGGATCTCTCGCCAGCTCTCGGAGTCGCCCGCGGCGGGGTTTTGAGGAGTGTTGCGCTGTGGGTCTCGTATACGGGAAGTACGGGAAAGCGGGTGAAGCATTCTCCTTGTTTTCCCTTTTTTCTCGTGGACGAAAACGCGTACACGGTAGTCGGTACACGATATCACGGAATCACGCTACGGCTAGTGCCATTTCCGCACTCTGACACGCTAATCTTGAAAACGTCTCCAACGGAGCTCTGTGTTGCTCCCAGCGCCCTCCCCCGCGCTCCCTGCGGCCATGGCCGATGCTCCTAGTATGATAGGTCATCTGGCTACCGCGAGAGCGACCCAACTCGTCGACATCGTCCGATGATGGTGCCGCAAAGTCAGCCCTCGGAGGCTATCGTGGGGTCGAGCCGGCAGTAGCCGTGACATGTGGTTCCACCACCCCTCGTAGGCTTTGCCTCTGACCGCCACCGTTCCCAGGCTGCCTAATGGGATGGAAAGGAAGGCTCGGCGAGCGTATAGAAGCGTGCTCGACCTCGTCGTGGCAACCTGCACGGCAGCGCTGGCGGGCGCGATGAGCGTCGTGCCACCTGACCCGAGACGGGTCGCAGGCGTCGTGCCGAGCGCGTCGAGACCGTGTCCTGATGTGATCTGCACGGGTGAGTCACGTCGGCGTCAAAGGAGCGACGTGCGACCTGTCAGAGCTTGATCTCCGATCTCAGCGGCGTCGAGTCGCCTTCGGCGCGCGACAAATGTACCTCCCCAGGAGGCGCAGAGGCAGCTGCGACCCCGCCGAGTGGACGGGCGCACACCGCGCCACCTGCCGTGTGGTCTAGGGTACCATACTTGACCCCCCCCCTTTGGCGCCACGTCTTTTCCTACCAACCCAGCGCCGATCTCGGCGGGGCGTCAGCGCCTCTCGGTGGGGCATCATGAGCTCACGGGGCTGCCCGACGGGGCAGGCCTCGTGCTGATGGACCCAGCCGAGGTGCCCAACCAGTTGAAGCGGGGCGCCGACGCGCCGCGCGCGACCACCAGCCAGCTTTCGGCGGGGTCGAGCACGGTGCGTAGATCGCGCCGGCACTCTCCGGTCCATCCGGAATTTTGTCGTTCTAGTTAGCACTGCTGCTGCAGACAGGGCCCGCGCGAGCCCATGCCCTTCCCATATCTCGTGTCCTGAGGCTTGGCGCCACCCCGGTGACCGCCCACAGGTGGCTGTTCGCGGGCGCGGCGAGCGTGCCGCTTGAGCGGACCAGGCTGAAGCCACCTCAGGACCCCACCTCGAGCCGGTGGCGCCACCCGCGACCCTGCCCGCCTTCGCCGCGCCAGCCGCCGGCTCGCTGCAGCCGCAGCGCGCGGTGCCCGACCACCGACGCGCCCGCCCGCTCGCCTTCTCGCGCCGCCTCTCGGCGCGCAAAGCCGCTCACACACCGCGTACTCAGCCATCGGCGCGACATCACTCCCGCGCAGGCACCTCGCGACGGGTCGGCGCACTCGTGCGGCTCAACGCAGAACTACGGAGCGACCTCCGCCGCGGCTCGGCGCTGCCCATGGCAGCAACAGGTGCCGCCCCACCACCCGCCTGCTGCCTCTGCCTCTCTCAGCCATGCGACCCCTCCGCCAATGCACACCTCAAACGCGACGTCAGATCCCGCTGCTACTGGCAGCATTCGCGGCGATGAGGCCTCCGCCAGCACTGATCATCACAAGTCGTCTGTTAAACTACACGTTTTTGCCCTGTGCAGGTGAGCGGACCGCTGCAGCCATGGTGGAGCCGCGGGTCGGGTGAGGGAATGGCCTTTTGGCGCGGCGCTGCTATGTGCCTGCGCGCTCATGGCGCGTTCAGGGGTGCGCCTGCGGTGTGTAGACTGCGGGGCGCCGCGATAGCGCGGCGCCGACGATTGTGTCGCTCATTGTCACACCGTCGACACGGTCACAGTGTGTGTGCAGTGCGTCCACTCCGGCGACCGTGACGCCGTCGGTTCTCGCCTATACCGGCTAGTGTGGAGCTCTCAGTGTGGTTGCGTGTTTTACTAGTGATGCTGCACCAGGCGGCCTGTTTTTAGCAAAAAGCAGATACCACATCGCGTGTGGTCGTCGAAAAACCGCATGTTCGCCCGTCTGGGACCTCTTCGTACGGCTCCAAAAACCGCTCCTTAACGACGACTACGCGGCCCGGCGGTCGATCTGCGCCTTCTCAGCGGTGGAGGGGATGTGGGAGGTACGTGCGGACCGCGTGGTGCTGCGATGGTTTGACGAGTGCGACTCCCAGCGTCGACTTTTCGACCCCACGGAGCCTCTGCTGCTTCGGGGGGGGGGGGTCTGCAGACCACCCGGCCGAACTTCAGAGTCGCGGTGCTCCTCAAATACCGCTCAAACGCCCACGATGTTGTGGAGGGGACATATGCTGATGATCCTGGCCCGATTGGTTTGCTCAGAAAGCTTCTGGGCGGTCGTTAAGGTTCGCTCCCCGCACACCGGCCCGGAAGTATCGTACCCTAGATGTGCGCCCGTCCACTCGGCGGGTTCGCAGCTGCCTCTGGAAGGCACCGAGAGGTACAATAGTGCGCAAATGGTCAAAATCAAGGTTTTGTAACGCGAGCTGTGCCACAGTGAAATGGCACTCACGCAACACGCAACACGCAACACGCTACACGCACACCCACACACGGTTATATGGGATTAGGGGATATGGGATATGCGTATGGTCGACGTATCACGAGAAACGGATAAGACTCGAAGACTACGAAGACAGGTCACAGCGCCTGACGAGTGACGTGATTCGTGATGGGTCAGTCAGTGATGCTGACGCAGACGTCGGTGGAGATGTGGTCCACCCATACCGCGCGCTGGTGTCCTACATACATTGACATACGCAGAGACGAATAAGACGAGCCCGACGGTCTACACTGACAATGCGAGGCACACTAAAAAGACCAAAAAAACTTCTTGCTGGGTTAAATTCTTTTTCGCCTTCGCGTTGCTGGCGCCCGGCTTGGGCTTGGATCCTTCTTCGCGCTCGCGTCGGCACGGAGCTCTCTGACAGCGATGAGGCTGCTGTCCGTGCTGCTCCTGTCGCTTGCGACCCTGTCAGCCGGCGCGGGCACCGCTGACCAGTGCCTCGAGCACGACTACGCCATGAAAAACTGTGCGGCTCGCGCACATTGTCTCCCGCGATTGTCTCCCGCGCCCACTCCCGCGCCTCGCGTGCGTTGCCAGATAAAGACTGCTGTGCCAAGGGTGGCTACAAGGTGGAGGGCCGAGGGACGGTGTGCAAAGAGGTCGGGCCAAAGGTCAAGGCGAAGCGAGAGCTGCGCTGACATGGTACGTGCTTGATCAACCGAGAAGCGTGAGCGAGGATAGTGCGCAGCGCCCGGACTGGCGCTTGTATTAGTCGTCTAGAGAGATGCACACGGTCGCAGTAGAGCCGTAGGCGAGCACGGACTACCGGTCAAGGGGGACGCAAATAGACGAGAGCGAGAGGGCAGAGGGAACGGCACCGCGAGAAGAGAGAAGATCGTGGCGCGTCGCGCTCAAAACTCAGCATAAACCAGAAACACTCCTCAGACCTCACACGAGTCCTGACTCCTCTGGCCGCGGCCAAAAAATAGCACGAGCGAGTACCTCGTCCCGCGAGTGGTTCGGCTGACGGCGTGCAGCAGCTCGGACGGGTGCACGGTCGCCTCCCCCATCGCGCGATCGATCCGCTGCACGCGCCCTCCGAGCATGGCAAGCAAACGGCCGCCCCCGTGGCTGCCGTCGTCCGCGAGGGCCACGTTCACGGTCGCGGTGGCCGTGTCGCCGTGGAACGTGAACCAGGGCCTCTCTGCCGGCGTGAAGCGCCGCACGAAGGTCCTGTACGGCCGCTCGCCCGCGCTCGGCAGGCTGCTCACGCCCCCCGGCGAGGCCTCGGTAAGCCCTCCCTCGGCCGGCCCTCCCGCTGCCGCCATCTGTGCCGCCAGCGCGCCGGGCAGCCGGCAGAGCGCCTCGAGGGCGGGCCGGCCGACGAGCGCCTCGAGCTGCGCCGCGGTGAGGTCGAGTTGGTGGTCGGCGAGGCCATCGACGCTGTCCGGCCTACCAGCAAGCCGTGCGACGGAGTGGGGTGGGTGGAGGGGTGGAGAGGAAGGGTGGGTCTGGCCCCTCGCCTCTGCTGGGCACTCGAGTCGACCTTGTCACGCAGCGCAGCGCAGGCGCGCGCGTCGAGCACTCCGGCAGCCCGCAGCATCAGCCTCTCGGCCGGCCCTTCGAGCGCCGCGGCGGCGCGCTGGTACTGCCGCCACGGCAATCGCATCGCCTTGAGGACGGCCGCCGCCGAGACGGCTTCGGGCGCGTCGCCGTCCACCAGCAGGCGCCGGATGGGCCACGCCAGCGCCGAGGCCTGGTCCGTGAAGCCGGGAGGGATGCCCTCGGGGAGCGGGCGAGCAGCGCAGGCGGTGGCAAAGTCTGCCACCGTGTCCTGCACGCTCCGCCCGAGCCCGCAGCGGCTCTGGAGCAGCGCCGTCGCTCCGCCAACCTCGCCTGCTGCCTCAAGCAGCAGCGCGAGCACGTCAGCGTGTCTAAATTGAGCCGCCAAATGGGCCGCAGTTGCGCCGCGGCGGTCTCGGGCACGCCAGTCCGCGCCATGGCTCAAGAGGAGACGTGCGATGCCGGTGTGACCATTCCACGCGGCGTGGTGCAGCGGGCAGAGCGCGTGCTCGTCTCGGGTGCTTGCGCTCGCGCCGTGCCGGAGCAGGGTGCTCGCAACGTCCTCAGAGCCAGCCGAGCACGCCTGCATCAGCAGCGCGTCGATGTCGTCGTCTTCCGAGTCGTCACTCGACGCGTCACCGCTCGCCGCATTGCTGCGGTCCGAGGCGCCGTGGGCCAACGCGGTGCTGGAAGGCATCGACCCGCGCTCGTGTTGTGACCCTTGTGAGTCAATGCGCCACGCCGCCGTTGTTTTGTTTCTGCCGGCGGCTAGGTCCTATATCTCACGCCCACGGAGCTGAAGAAGAAATCTTTGTGCGTGCGTGTGGCTTCTCTCCTTCTTGCGGCGGGCAAGGCCAAGGCGATGGCGGCGCGCGACGGGATCGGCTTCTGCCCGGCCTACAACCAGACCGCCCTCCCGTGCAAGACCGCCGCTCGCTGCCGCTACGCGCCGTGCGTCAACTTCTCAACTTCGAGGCGCTCCTCCACTCCGCCTTCAAGGACACCATCTACGAGCGCATGCCGAGCGCGGTCAGGCTGGGCACAAGCCGCGGGCGGCGCGGGCGCGGCGGCCGCGGCCGCGGCGGCGGCGGCGGCGAGGTCAAGAGCAACAAGAAGGACTGGGCGAGCGTCGCCCGCGGAGCCGCACGCTCCCCCTACGACGGCGGTCCACGCCTCGAGTCCAACGAGCCCTCGCTATACGAGGGGAGCGACGAGGAGCTCTAGGAACGGCCGCCGAGCCCTTCCCGCAGCGCATCCCTAGCAGCGCAGCGGGCAGGGCGGCTCGCGCAGCGCGCGCGATCGCGCAAGCAGCGCGCGCGAGCGAGCGAGCGAGCACACACACACACACACACACACACACACACACACACACACACACACACACACACACACACACACACACACACACACCTCCCCAGAAATCCCGAGATGACTGCTCTATTTATTTATTTATCTCTCCTTCTTGTCCGGTCTCAATGTCCCACCCTCCTGCGCACGGGCCTTGTAGGCCCGCGGTAGTCTCCCCCCGCCAGGGCCTCCAGGGCTCGCACCTCAACCTCTCAGCTCTCACAGACCACGCACAGCGCCACGGACGAACTTTCTTCACAATCACCAGGGCCTTAGGTTAGGTTAGGTAGAAAGGTGAAGAACAGCCAGGCTAGGGCCGCGAATCCCAGGTTCTCCAAGGCTGTGAACCGGAGTTGTGCGTTTATGTGAACGCACCTCAACCTCTCACAGGCCAGCGCACAGCGCCAAAGGCGGTATTTTCTTCTCAATAACAAGGCTGTGAACAGCAAGCCGCCGAGACAGCAGCACGACAAGGGCGGCATGTGAGCCGACTGCTGCCAGCGTCTCCGCCCCCCTGCCTGTTGCCGAGCAGCGGCCGGGTCGCCACGGGGAGGGTGGCGCACGTGCTGCGTGCCTCCCGGCCCGCAAATCCTGCGGCGCAGAGCCCGCCGCCCTGAACGCCGGCCTTTCTGCTGGCCCGCGCCCGCTGCCTCACGCTTCCAAGCCCGGCCACCCCCGCGCTGCGCAGGGCGCGTTACGACCGCGCGATCACCGTCTTCTCGCCGGATGGCCACCTCTTCCAGGTCGAGTACGCGATGGAGGCGGTGCGCAAGGGCACCACTGCGGTCGGCGTGCGGTCCAAGGACCACATCGTCTTTGCGGTGGAGCGCAAATCGACCGCGAAGCTGCAGGACCCGCGGACGGTACGAAAGATCCACAAGCTGGACGAGAACATCGTGCTCTCCTTCGCCGGCGCGTCCCTCTCCCCCGCCCGGGCGGCAAGACGTCCGAGGGGCGTCCGCCGGCTGACGTCAGCGCCCCGCCGCCGCAGGCCTGACGGCCGACGCGCGCGTGCTGATCAACAAGACGCTAGTTGAGTGCCAGTCCTACCGCCTCACCTTTGAGGACTCGCCCTCCGTCGAGTACGTCGCCGAGTACGTCTCCGGAGTGCAGCAGCGCTACACGCAGAGCGGAGGCGCACCACCGCCGCCGCCCTCCCCCCTCCCCCTCCCCCCCCATCCCGCCCTCGTCCTCGCCCTCGCCCTCGCCCTCGCCCGCCCCCTCGCCCCCGCCCTCGCCCTCGCCCTCGCCCTCGCCCTCGCCCGCCCCCTCTCACCCGTCCTCACCCCGCCCCCCCCCTTCCCGCCCCAGGCGTGCGCCCGTTTGGAATCTCGACGCTCATCATGGGCTTCGACCGGGACGGGACGCCGCAGCTCTTCCAGACGGAGCCGTCGGGCAACTACACCGCCTGGAAGGCGGTCGCGATCGGGCGGAGCCAAAAGACCGTCAAGGAGTACCTCGAGAAGACCTACTCCGAGGAGACGGCGGAGGCGCAGCAGCCGCCACGCCCCTCCCCGCCGCCACGCCCCTCCCCGCCGCCACACCCCTCCCCGCCCTACGCCAGAGCCGTCGCGCGCCTCTCCCCCCGCCCCCACCCTCGCCCGTTCCGCCCCCACATGCACATGCACATGCGCATGTGCACACATGCATGTGCGTACGCCGCACCGCGAGCCCGCCCGCCCGCCCCGCCGCCATATCGCACACACCCGCCCTCCCGCTGCCTGCTGACCCTCCCCCCCTCCCCCCCTCCCCCCCCTTGTCGTCAACCCGCCAGGACGGCGTCAAGCTCGCGTGCCGTGCGCTGCTCGAGGTGGTCGAGGCGGGCGGCAAGAACATCGAGGTTGCGGTGCTGCGGCAGGGCAAGGAGCTGCAGCTGCTGGGTGACGACGAGGTGGAAGCCATCGTCAAGGGCATCGAGGCGGAGAAGGAGGAGGAGGACAAGAAGAAGAAGAAGCCGTCCGAGAAATGAGCGGCCGCCGCGACGCTCGGGATAGCGAAGCAGCGCACCGGGGACGCCGCCGGCGGGGCTCGGCTTTATACTATTCACTGTTCGTGTCGTCGCATGCTGGGCCCGGGGCGTCTCCCACCTTGAAGTGGTTCAGCTTCAGCGGGGCCCCCCTCTCGCCCCTTTTCCGCGCTTTGCCGCGCCGAAAAAGCACTCTGTGAATGAACGCGCTCTGGGCCGGTCGGAACGTTTCACTTTCAGCAGCTGCCGATGCCGCCCTCGCACGCATCGGGTACTGCCACCGAGGAGAAGAAGCGACAGGGCAGCGGCGGTTCGTCCGATCGTGGCGATTCAAAGCTCTCCCCTGGGAAGCGCAACGGCGCGCTCCATGTGCCCGGAGGTGCTGAGGAGCACTGGAATGCGGTGATGAAGAAGCTGTCGCCGGCCGGGTACAGCCACTCACCGGCCTGGCAGCGCAGCATCATCGAGCGGGTCGTGCAGAAGATGACGACCCGGCCTGCAAACACCTCCCGCGTCGCTGCCTCCACCCGCTCCTCCCTCACGCGCACGGTCGACCTGGGCGCCATCGGGATTGCACCAGAAACCGCTGCGGCTCTGCAGGCGGAGGAGGAGCGAGTGGCGCAGACCATGCTCGAGACGAGCGTGGGGTCGCTGAGGAGAGGCTCCACCGCAGGCCAGCTGCCGGCGCAGAGGGATCTCGCCGAGCGGCAGAACCAGGTGCACACTTACGCGCGTGCCATCCAGATGGAGCAGCTGCAGGAGCAGGAGCTCGACACCGAGATGCAGCAGATGAACGCGGCGGTGGTACAGGCTGAGAGGGCCGCGGGCGGTAGCCTGGCCTCGATGATGGACCAGAAGGCTAAGGCCGCCAGGCAAGTCGCCATCATCCAGAACCGCTGCACCCAGCTCGCCAAGAAGGCGTCCGAGACGGTGGCGAGCAACCAAGCTGTCCGGCGTGAGGTCGACCGGCTCCGGCGCGAGAAGGTCGCCCACCAGCGGACGCTCGAGCGGCTGAGTGCAAAGTCAACCAAGATGGACGAGGACATCGTTTTTCTCACGCAGGCGGCGCACGACGCGCTCGATCAGCGGGAGAAGGTCAAGAGCAAGTTCATGGCGCTCCAGCGCGATGTCAACTGGGAGCGCAAGGAGAAGCTGTCGCAGATCAAGGACGTGGCCTCGCGCACCTCAGAGCTGGAGGGCGACTGGGGCGTAAAAGAGCGCGAGCTGGCGGAGGCGGAGGAGGAGCGGCGGCGCCGCGAGTACATCTCGAGCCGCAGCCGGCGCGGCGAGCTGGAACGGGCGGAGACGCGGTTCGGCTTCCTCGCCAACCAAGCGCTCGGGTGGGACGCCGAGTTTGAGCGGCTGCAGAGCTTCTCAGGCATGGACGAGAAGTACCAGCCGGGTGAGGACCACATCGTCGACTCGATTGCCAACCGCTTCCTCGAGAAAGAGCGCTCCAACACCTCGCTCCAGCGGTACCTGCACGAGCAGCAGTCGGAGCTCGCGGCGCTCACCGGTGAGCGGCGGCGCCTGGAATCTTCGGTGCGGGAGCTGCACGACACCTCGGAGGGCCTACCCGCGGACGAGCGCGATGGTGAGAGCAGCGAGGGAGTCGACTCGGGACAGAACCACGCCGGGCGGGGCGCACGGGTGGAGGCCCTCCTTGCCGAGGCTGGCGTCTGCGTCGAGAGGATCACGCAGTCGATGTGGAAGGGCGGCGCCCCGTGCGACGCCGATGAGGCGTGCTCAACCTCCTCCATCGAGGCGTGGCTTCAGCGGCTAGACGTCCGCGTCGCCGAGGTGCGAGGCTCGTCGGCGGCTCTGGTGGCGCTTGCAAAGGAGGTGAACCCGGTGCTGGTCGAGTGGTGCGGCGCGCGGCAGCCAAAGCGGCATGTCTCGACGCCAGATATCCATGAGGCGCTCCTCCTCCAGGCGCAGCGGCAGGAGGCTGGCGTCGCGTAGAGCATGTGGGGCGGGTGTGGGGTGGTTAGCCTCGTGTGCGGGGTCGGCGTGGGCTCGTCCTGCGTGTGTCGTTCACCACCGCTGACGCAGTGGGGGGCTGGCTAATACCGACTATGTTTCATTAACTGTTTTGCTTCGAAAGCCCCCTCGTTGCGAATAATCTGGAGCCTGCGCTGCGGCCGTGGAGGGCCGACGGCCGTGCTGCCGATGAGCGATGTTCTTGGGTTTCTTTTTACTTTTTACAACACTGCTCACTGCACACTGGCGCGCACACTGGCACAACACAGGTGCACCGCACTGGCACTAACACAGGTTCACCGTGTACCTGTGTCAGTGCCAGTGCGAAAGAAAGAAAACAGACAACCCAAGGGAGGGATGGGAGGACGGCACGCGCCAGTCCCGGAACGTCGTAATTCTTTTTACTTGCAGCACTTTACTCGCTACGATTTTTCCCTCTCGACAAACATGCTCTGGCTCTCCGCGCTCGCCTACCCTGCGGCGCCCCCGTCCGAGGTTCTCCGACCTCCAGCTTCAGAGCGGCGCGAGCTGCTGCGTGTCCGCTCCGGGCACACACCGTTAGGATCGTGGGAGGAGACGACCAACGAGCCGATGCACAAGACGGTCTGCGATGGCCGACCGTGCCGCCCTGGCGAGGGCAATCGTGTGGGTTATGAACACTGGAAGCAGCCGTACCGGCCGCTCGACGAGGCTGTCGTACGCGCGCTCTCCAAGAAGCCGCCGCACGGACCCGATGGTCCGCAATACGCCAAACTTGTCGCTGCCGCCGGCCATCTTGCGGATGCCAGCAAATTCATCGCTCTGGCCGCCGCGGACTTCGACTACCGCGAGCTGGCTGAGAACTGGCACGCCGCCGCCGCGCGCTCCGGGGTGAGATGCGCCCTGCTGTACGCGCTCGACGCTCCGGCGCACGCTCACCTCACTGCGCGGCTCGGCGCTGCGAGCGTCGTCAACGGCACGGCGAACCTTGACGCGTGGGCCACGACCAAACTGATGCGCCACATCCAGCGCGCGCTTGCGGAGAGGCACATGGCGGCCGCAGCCCTCGCCACCGCCGGCTTCGACGTGCTCCTCTGCGACTCAACGGCGGTGAGCCACACTTCCTCACCGCCGCCTCCGCCACGCACCTCCTCACCGCCGTTGCGGCCACCGCCGCCACGCCGCCACCGCCACCGCGGCCTCTTCACTCCCGGCGGCTCCTTCCTCCGCTGCCAGGTGTTTGTGGCCGACCCGCGGCCGCGACTCCTCTCGGTACCCGCCTCCGACGCCGACGTGCTTGTCGGACGCCTCCACTGCAACCGCCCCGGCAAGAACAGGCACTCGCCGCCCCCTCTCCAACCTCGGCCTCTCGAGCTGTCCCTCTCCAACCTCTGACAGGCCGGCGGAAGCTGTCGCCTCTCACGTCCCGGACTCGGGTGCTAGGCTCGGATGTGCCGCTGCGTGGAACTTCCTCTTGCTGCGCGGCGCCTCCGCGTCTCCGCCGCGCCGGAGCCTCGTCGCACGCCTCTCGGTGCGCTCGATCGAGCGCGGCATGGTCGACTTTTATCTGCGCTGGTGGATGGGGCACCACTGCACCTTCATCGGCTTTGACAAGACGGTGGCCGATGCGCGGCCGAGGATCGAGGGCGGCTTCGGCGGTCCTGAGGCGGTTGCCGCCGCGCCGAATGCGGTGGCTCTCGCCACGCTGACGGCGCCAAGCTGGTGCGACGCCGGCGGCGGCAGCTGCTTGCGTCTCGGGCTGCTGCCGATGGACGCATTCCCGCCCGCTGGGGCGTTTGTCTCGAGCCGCGCCACTGCTGTCGTCGGCCGCGCGACAAGGCCGCCTAGCGAGCCCGTCCACAGGCTACGCCTCGACCGGTACGACCAGCGAGACTTTGCGGCCCTGGTGGCGCGCATGGGGGAGGAGGGGCTCTGGCTGCTCGGGTCGTAACAAATAAATGTGCGACAACTCTGACCTCCTGATATGAACACGTCCACGTCCCCCCCGCACCCAACGATGGGGCATGGGACAGCACCAGCCACTGGTTGGGTATTAGTAGTCTAAGTTCTGAGCCTCGAGGCTGAGCGGGTCTAAGTGTGCCATGGCACGCTGGGGTGCTTGCGCGGTCTAAGATCAGCGGGAGCCTCTTACATCGGCTAAGTCGGCCGTGGCACGGCCTGGGGCCAGGAGGCTCCCACCGTGATCAACGATACGGCGCAGCCCCCAAATTTTCTTCGCCTGCGGCGGGCGATCGATCCTCTTCATGCTTAGCAATCGCCGCTTCAGCATCCTCCTCTTTTGACTTTTGTTGCTGCTCCTTCATTCTTGAGCGACGTCTAGCCAAACAGTTCTCACATGACACGAAGCTCCTCAAGCTTAATCAAATGCGTGACGGTGAAGGCGTGAAGCCTGTGTGTGCTGGTCCTCTTTGAACGATCCGCGCGTGAGGTAGCATAGGGCCTTGTTGGCAGCAGCCAGCTTGTTGCGCTGCTTCGTTGCGATGAGCTGATTGGGATCGCAGAAGTGCATGCCAAGCACCGCCACGGTCTTGAAGCAGAACACATCGCAACCGCATCGTCCGCACTGCCATCGGCATGCCGCGCCCGCCGCTTCGCCGCAGCCGCCTTAAGGCACGCATAGCGGCAGCACATGGTACGGTGCGCGTACTTGAGCAGGAATTGCGCGCCGCAAGTAGCGCACTGGCCCTGGGAGAAGGCGATATGGCGTCGTGCACGGCATAAGTTGGTCGGGTCGCGTCCAGGTATTTTTCGGGTAAACCTGGACTTTTGCAGGTATACCCGGGTTTTACCCGAGTTGGCCTTGTGTGTTTTTTTTTGTGTGTTTCTCTCTCTCGCCTTGTGTCGTCTAAGTTCATGGCCCCCGACCATACAGCGTCTAAGTCTGAGCCCGGCTCCGTACGGGGGCTAAGACCTAAGTTGAGCGCTCGCTCGCTGCAGAGGCTAAGTGTAGAGCGACCCTCTAGCCCTACTACCCAACCATTCACCATCCCTTGGGTCCCGAATCCAGAGCGCCCTGGGGGCTGCTCGGCGGTCGGCGCGACGGCGACGGCCGACGCGCTCGACCAGGTGGCGGTCTCTGGCAGAGCTCAAGGCCCCTTGTCAAGGGGACGGTGGCGGAGCTGAAGATGGCGGTGGCGACGCGCGACGCTGAGCTTTTTCGTGAACCGCGTGGCACAGATATAGGTAGGTTAGCGGAGCACGGAGATTGGCCAGTGTGCGGCGTCGACCGCGCGGGACGGCGGGTCGCAGGAGGTCGCTCCTGCAGCAGCTGCACGTCTCGCTCTCGGCGTCTCTCGGGAGTCGGGCCTCGCCTTCTTACTGTGCTACGTACTAGTATTATTTAATTATAATACACTTGCCGCTTACTCTCGGGCGTCGGGGCCGTGCGATGGCAAAGAGTATTCACATGATTTTGTAGAGTAGTCTAGAGTTAGTAGTGACTAAAAAGGGAGATCAAAAACGACGTGAGCTCCCACACACCCCAGTGCTGGGGACAGATGACTGTCCGAGCACGCGAGCACGTGTGTGAGCACCAAGTCCGCAACTGTCGACACATGCACTTCCTCCACTGAGCTCTGTATGGCTCTATGCACGTCTCACACTCTCACTCACAAGTCTCTCTCACTCCTCGCTCTCTTTCAGCACGCGAGCCACACGCAACACGCTTCAGATACCCCGTCACCGGGGGGACTCGTACCTAGACCTGCTCCTCTCCCCCGATCGCGCCTGCGCGCTGAGGGCCGACTATTGTTGAGCGAGGTCGCCTCTTCTCCTGATGGGCACTTGGTAGTGCGTCGCAGTGGTGCGCCCTAGGGCCTCCCTGGCGCGGAAGGCGGCGCACTCCTCCCGGTCCCGTACGGCCGCTTGAAGTCTGAGGTCGGCACGTCGTAAAAGTTGTTGCGCAAGCCGGGCGAGCGGCTCTTCCGCTCGGCGTCGATGGGCGGAGGCGCGTAGGCGGGCCCGGGCACGAAGCCTGCCTGCTCCTGCGCCTTGAAGGCCTCGTACTCTCTCTCGCGGCCAGGCATCGGCGTCTCGACGCCGAACCCGGGCGGCGGGGAGGGCGGCGCAGCTACTGACGCCTCAGCTAGCGACGCTTCCCCCACCGTAGCCGCTGCCGCGGTCGCCGCGGGTGCCGACGCCGGCGCCGGTGCCGCCGGCGGCATGGGGTACGGGAGCGCGTCCATCATCCGGTCGAGCATCTCGCTCCAGTCCTCGGGCTCGCCGCCAGCAGCGCCGGCGACAGCGCCGCCAGCAGCGGCAGCGGCAGCGCCGGCGGCAGCGGCGCTGGCTGGCGACGCAGACCGAGACGGCCCTCGTCCTGGAGACCGCGCGCCGCGCGTCTCCCTCGCTGCTCCTCGCGCCTTGCGTGGAGGCGCGCCGCCGCCCCGCCCGGAGCCCTGCACGCTCGCTGCCTGGCCGCCGCCACTCGAGGGCTTCGCTGAGCCGTAGGCGAGAGCCCACACCTCCTCCTCGGCCTTCCTCGCCGCCCTGGCCCTCCTCTGCGCCTCGCTCATCTCGGAAGGCGGCGGCGGCGGCGGAGGCGGCATCGGCGGAGGCGGCATCGGCGGAGGCGGCATCGGCGGAGGCGGCAGCGGCATCGGCGGAGGCATCGGCGGAGGCATCGGCGGAGGCGGCATCGGCGGAGGCGGCGGCAGCGGTAGCGGCGGAGGCGGCATCGGATGAGGTGGCATCGGCCGCGTCGGCAGTGGCTGCGTTTGTAGTGGCTGTGGTGGGCGTGGCGGCGGCATTGGCATCGGGGGCGGCGGGGGTGGTCGAACCAGCAGTTGGGGTGGCGGTGGTGACGGTAGTGGCGGTGGCAGCGGTGGTGGCAAAGGCGGCGGCCTCATCTGCCGCGGCGGTGGCGGCAGCGACCGGGGCGGCGGCGGCAGCGACCGGGGCGGCGGCGGCAGCGACCGGGGCGGCGGCTGTGGCAGCGGCGGCTGTGGCGGCGGCTTTGGCGGCGGCACCGGCGCAGGTGGTGGACGCGTGGGCGGCGGCGGAGTCGCAGCCTGCTTTGCCAGCCACGAAGCCCTCGCCTCCGCCTCTGAAGCCTTGGGTGGGAGCTGCACCGGAAGAGGCGGCGGCGGAGGAGGCAACCGTGGCGGTGGTGGCGTCTGCGGCGACGGCAGCGGCCGCGCAGGCGGCGCCATAACCGCAGGCGCGACTGGGGCGGGCGCTGGCCTCGGCGCCGTGGCTGCGGCTGTCGATCGGGAGCGCTGTGGCGAGGGGAGATGTGGCTGCGCATCGCCACGCTGCCTCGCCGCCCACGCTGCCATAGCCTCTGCCTGTGGAGCCTCGGGCGGGTGCCGCGCCGACGGCGGCTGCCTTGTGAAGCCATGCTGCTGCTTGTGTGGCGATACCTCCGGCTGCCGCGGCGGCTGCCCAAGCCTCGCCTCGCTCGCTTCGGACGCGGCGCCCTCGTCCCCTTCGCCCTGCCCCGCCCCGAGGAGCGCGGAAGCGAGCAATTCCCTGTTTGCGACCGCGGCCGCCGCGACCACCGTCCCCACCAGAGCCAGCTGCACCTCGGGCGGCGCACTGAGCGCCGCCGCAATCACAAAGCTGAGCTTTGCGGCCGCAAACGCGGCCGCGTGCTGCACCGCGTGCGCCGCCGCCGCGCCGCCTGCCACCGCAGCCTTTGTCGCCGCCGACCCCACCGCGTGCGCTGCCGACCCCGCTGCTGCCTGCAACTGCGGCGCTGCCCACGCCACAAAGTCTCCGCCGCTCTGCGCCGCGGCCTGGGCGGCAGGGGCCGCCGCGTCCGCCGTCGCAGCCACCCCCTTGGCGGCCTCTGTCGCGGTCGTTGATTGCGCCGCCGCCGTGCTCGCCGCGGCCGCAGTCTGCGTCGCAGCCGCAGCAGCCGCCGCGTCTGGCGCCGCCTGAAGCGCCGCCGCCGCAGCGTCGGTCGCCGGCTGCACCGCGTCTTCCACTCCCTCTGTCGCTGAGATCTGACTGCGCAGCTCCTCAACGAGGGCCCGCACCTGCCGGATGTCCTGCTTTGCCTGCTCCATCTTGCGGACCAGGTCCTCCTCCGGGTCCACGGCCACGCTCAGCATCGAACGAGGAGAGCGCAGCGCGGAGACGCCACGCGCAGGGCGCCAGCCGGATCGGCACGGTAGCGAGGAGGCTGGACAGGTGAGGAGGGCGAGCATTGTTGGGAGGAGGCGGAGGTGTGCGTGTGTGTTTGGAACGTGAGGTGCCCCTTGCTGCACCCGAGGGTTTTACCAAGCTGCCAACCCTTTTCTCGCACTCCGGGCCCTGGGTTGGTTGGGTGGTCCCGCACTCTGCGCACTCCAGGCCTCCAGATGTTGGTTGGTTGGTCCCGCACTTCGCGCACTCGCGTAACGGTCGGCCACGCCGTAACGGTCGTAACGGCTCCTTCCCCTGGCACCCCAGCGCGTCTAACAGGCCACTGTGACCCTCGTGACGCAATTTCAGGATGGACAGTGGTGAGAAGATGGATCTGGGAGCCTGAAGAGGCGTGAAATAGCCCATTTTGACCCATTTTGGTGTCCTATGTGTTGAATACGCGGAGCGAAGAAATTTTTGACCCGTGGGCGACCCGTGGGCGACCCTGGCAGGACCCTGGCCGGCCCAGGAGGTTGGTTGGCTGGTCCCGCACTTCGCGCACTCGGGCCCGGAAACAGTTGGTTGGTTGGTGGGGTCTTTTGCGCACAGTGCGAGAAAAGGGTTGGCAGCCTGGTAAAACCCTCGGGTGCTGCAGGCGATTTCAGGACGAAGCGGGAAGAGAATTTTTTGAACAACCTAAATGGCGGCGTGCCGTCCTCCCATCCCTGCTTGTTTTCTTACTTTCTCGGTGGTGAGAGTGTCCCTTGTAATCCGAGCCGCGTTTTGTTTTCTGCGCGCTTTCTCTCTTTACCAACCGTGGACTGCTGGGGGCCCTCCTCGCTTCCCAGCACGGCCAAAGGATATCCGGCTCGAGAACCTCGAGAGCCTCGAGAGGACTGCTGGCCCGCCCAATGCTGAGCTCCTGGACAAACCTCACCGTCTACCACGTCAACCCGCTCCACCTGGGCGTGCTGCCAATAAACATGAACACCGCCGACCTCAGCGGCGACGCCTTCTTCGACCTCCGGTCGGCGGTGCTGCCCATCCAGTGCGCGGGCGGCAACGCGAGCGGCGGCTACGAGTGCAGGAACGGAGAGGAGGTCGACGCAGACCTCGTGATCACCAGACTCGCCCTCTCCGTGCGCGACAGTAGCTTTGGCGAGTACAGCCGCTGCAACATCTGCGGCGACGACGGCGTCGACATCTTCTCGGGCCTGCCCTGCAGGCCGAAAACATACATCTGCAGCTGCGGCGAGTGGTGGGGGATGCGTGACTGCACCAACGAGACGACGGTCGGCCGAGAAGACATTGGCCGCGCCTTTGGTCGGTGGGGCTCGTGCCGGTGGAGCGAGTGGATCCACGCGCCGTGGAAGTGCTGGCCGTGGCCGGTGGTACACAAGACGGGCGGGCTCTGGTACTCGACGACTGAAAAGGGGCACTGCGACGCGCCGGGCGCGGACACGAACGCCTGCACGTGGCGGGCGACGGTGGAGAAGGTGGTGAACAAGTCGTGCTCGTCGGGCCTGATCCACGCCGCGGTCGAGGCCCACGACCGCGAGGCCGGCGGAGGGTGCTTCGACGGCTGCCCGTCTCGGAGGCTCCACCCGCTCAGGCCCGCACCGAGAGGGGTTTGAGAATGGTCCGAGAAGGTTCTGCGGCGGCGGCGGGTCCCACCCGCTCACGTCGGCGCATGCCCGTCGGCAAAGAGGGAGGCAGGGGATGAGAGGCACGGGCCGACGCAAGGAGGACCCTCCTCCCTCGTGTCCCTCACGCGAGCCCGCCGGCCCGCGCTCGCAGGCCGCGCAACACCACCGACCCCTGCTGGATCTACTGCTTCTACGCCACCGTCCTCGGCCCAGCCGCGCTGATGCCCGGAGGCACCGGCCTCCACCCTCGCATCCCGCGCCCGCCCCGCGCCCGCCGGCCTGCTCTCCACCCTCCCCCGCGGTTCCTCGACTGTAGGCGACGTGGCCTCCGCCGGCGGGATGAGCCGCGCCGACATCGACGCCGCCTTCTCCGCCCCGTTCAGGCCCGAGGCGGAGGGCGGCTGCCCCGCACTGCAGGCGCCCGCCCTACCGCCGCCCGGGCGCCAGCCGGGCGGCGTGTGGCGGCTGCGCGAGGCGCTTGCCGACCGGGCCTACCGGCAGGCGCGGCGTTTCGAGGCGGCGGAGGCGGGCGGCGGGGGATGGAGTGGCGAGCGGCGCGGAGAGCAGCAGCGCGGAGAGGAGGGAGGAGGTCACGGCGCGTGGGTCCGAGCGGTCGCGTGAACCGCGTCTGCCCGGCAGTCAGCAGGTGACTGCCTGCTAGACCGCCGTGCAGAGCGGCGGTGGAGCGGGTATCCTCCTCGCTGACCTCTGGTCCTCTGCACTAAACCTTGGGATCAAGGCCGTCGAGACGCGCATGTACGCGTACGGCTCGGATTTCATCGAATTTACTTATTGGGCTAACGGCTGCGGACTGGCGCGAAAAAAGAGGGAACAATGATACAATGATATGTAACAGTGGGCAGCGAGCGAAGTGCGTGAGACTGATGATGCTCCTTCGACTTAGGGCGAGACTTAGGGAGCGCTGTTCACAGCTGCTGAGTGTGTGGGGGCGCGGGCTTCGAGGGTGGTGCTCACGCGAAAAGGAATCGACGCGATGTACAAAGCATACAAGAAGTGGAGAAAGAAGAGGAGGGACACTGGTGATGACGAAACAGAAACTAGCGCAGACGAGAGCAGCGGGGACTGGGGACTGAGCCCTGGCTGTCAGGCTGTCAGGTGCTGTCAGGTGATCTGTCGGGCTGTCGGGCACTGTCAGGCACTGTCAGGTGCCTCTGTCAGACCAGCTGTCAGGTGCTGTCAGTGCTGTCAGGTGCTGTCGGGTGCGTGTCTGACAGGCGAGGTGATCTGTAGCTGTCGGGTGGTGTCGGAGCTGTCGGGTGTTGCTGTCAGACGCTGTCGGAGCTGTCAGAGCTGTCAGGCTGCTGCTGCTGTTAGACGTTGGGCTGTTGCTGTCAGGTGCTGTCTGGTGCTGTCGGGGTGCTGTCAGGCTCTGACACACATCAGCCACACTTATGACACTATCAAGAGGGCGCTGACTATCAAGGGGGTGCTGACGCCGATGACGCCGGCGGCTACGCAGCTACCCCCCCTCCTACACGGCGTGATCACGCCGGCGGCGGCGGCCGCCTGGGGAGCGCAGATGGCGGCGCAGAGGCACAGGCGGCGGCGACGGCACAGACGGCGGCGGCTACCCCCATCCAGACGCCGTAGGCATATGACTGTAGGGCCCCAGAAGGCTAGCTGGTAGCTTCATTTGTAGTAGCACAGCCGCCGGTGCTGGAGAGGGGTCCGCAGAGGTGGGGCGGGAGGGTTGAAAGAGAGACCCATGACCATCCCATGACTACATGGACCACACTCACATGTCTTTGCATGTAATTTTGTTATACTCTCATGGGGCACAAGAAAGAGGCTCTACGGGGTCTGTGTACGGTCTGTGCTGCTGTCAGGCTGTCAGCGCTGCTGTCAGGCCACTGTGTGCTGTCGGGCTGTCAGGCAGCTGTCAGGCTGTCACGTTAGGGCCTGACAGCGACGGGTCACCTCGCCTGTCAGGCTCTGCTGTCAGGCTGTCAGATACGTGCTGTCAGACTGTCAGAGAAAGTGCTGTCAGCGCTGTCAGGCTGTCGGGCACTGTCAGGCGCTGTCCGGGGTTTGCTGTCAGTCTGTCAGACCAGGGCTCAGACTGCGGAGGCCGCCCGGAGCGGACGGCATCGGCCGCCGAGGCGCGAGGGAACGTTGGCCGTGTGCTCGAACTTTACCGGTATTGAGACCGGTATTTGGTGATATTTTGATTAACTTTGAAGTGGTATGGTATAGTGGTATGCGAAAGTGGTATGCGGAGTGTTGACTAGTGTTGATTAGTGTAGCGGCTGTGGGTGTGGTCCCAGGAGGCGAAGCCATGCAAAAGTGCGGGTATTACCCGGGTATACCTGGGTTTTTGCAGGTATACCCGCAAAATACCGGGTATTTTGCCGATTTCGCCGATTTAGCCGCAAAAATGCACTCGGACTCGCTTTGGTTTCCGTGAGGCAGGTGGTATCCCATACCACTTTTTGATTAGTGCAGGCCTAGGGTTTGATTAGCCAAAAACTCCCATACACCGGTAAAGTTCGAGCACTGATACGTTGGGAAGAGGCACGAGGAGGGCGGCGACCTCAACCGACTATGGAGGACCCGTCACCAGACGACGCAGGGCAGACGACGGTGAGGCGGAGCAGACGCGCAGGGCGAGACGAGGGAGGGAGCAGGACGTTGCGGAGATCAGCAGGAGGATGTACGAAAAGATTAGTTAGTAGGAGCAGCAGGGACCCGAGGGACAATGTCGAAGATGGCTAGACGCTAGTGCTAGTCCCCCATCGGGAGGACGACCCCGGCTAGTTGCCGACCACACCCACAAAGAACCCTGCAAAAAGATCGCACGGGCGGGGACCTGTTCCTTTTTACCCACCTCACAGTAGAGAGGTGTCCGTTTTTGACCGCGCAAGACATAAGGGTGGCTAAGGGCTCTGCCCGCAAGGCGCCCGCGTCGCAGACGCGGTACCATTGGCAACTACATGACATACCCCCACACGAAAAATATAATTAAAATTCGTGCATATCGTCGGATTTTCGTTCGGCGACGCAAACTTCTCGTCCGGCGGTCAACACGGCGCCCGGGCAAGCCTTCACAGCTGGTGGCAAGACATCCGTAAAATTGAAACCAAGAACGCCAAATCAAACTTTCGGAGCAACTGAGGGAAAGCCGCTGATGGAGGCCAGCGTGCCCGCGGCCGCCTCCCGCGCAGCACCGCCGCTGCGGAATCGGATCGAGCCCATGGAGGAGGAGGGCGCAGTCGGCCAGCGCAGCAGGCGGAGTCCCTCCCCGCGCCGGAGCCCCCCTGCAGTCGAGGGAGTCCTCGTTGGCGATGAAGGTGGCGACATCGAATCGCGGCCGACACACGTCACGTGGGAGGAATGGGCGATGAGCGGGAACGATTGCGCGCTACGACGCCGACTCCGCCGTGCTCGTGGCCGCCACGACGCCGACTCCGCCGTGCTCGTGGCCGCCAAGCAGAAAGCCGCGCTCCAGGAGCACGCCAAGATGCAATGGCTCGCTTGCTTCGATTCAGCTCTCTCGGCAGCAGAAGTGGGGCTGGAGCGGGTGGGGGTGGATGCCGATTGAGGGGGAGCGTCTCCAGCTGCGCTAGTCGAGGGACTCGGTAGTTGTGACCCCCCTGAGTGAGGACAGGAGAGATAGAGCGTTTTGTGGTGTTGGTGTACGCAATAACGGGACAGGGTGGTTGTTCTCTCTATCTCCTCTTCTAGCTCTTAGCATGAGCTGCGCCCGGTGTCCGACCCCTTTTGCGCCGCAACACCTTAAACTTTTAGGCCCTCCAAATTCGGGTCGGAGCGTAGCGGAGTGGGCCCCGAGTTTGAAAAGGGCGACGGACGCTTGCGTCCTAGCCTCCAACAACGCCTCCCCGGCGCAGAGGGGCCCCCGGAGGGATGCACAACCGCTCCACGCCACGCCGCTTGCGGCGGTCCTCTTCCCAGCTCCGCTGAGGGCCCGCGCGTTATATTTATTTTGTGTAACAGATGCCCAGCCGGTGGTCGCGACTTCCTCACTTCCAGGGCAGGAGCGTTGTGCGTGTGATCGCGTTGCAGTCCGATGCTCGACGCGGGCCTCGAGCGGCTTTCTGGGCTCCTGTCGCTCGCAACAGAGGCGAGTCGAGACGACATGGCTGCTTGGTCGCGTGCCGCCCCGGTGCGTGCGATCCGCCATTGCGACCTCAAGCGATGTCTCCAGATTGCTGCCGCCGAGGCTGCGGAAGCGCATGCAATGGTGGCGCATGCGGCCGCACAACGCGCGCGCTGGTTCTTCGTCCCCGTCTCAAAGGCCGCCGGCGGCTCGTACCATTGCGGTCGCTTCCTTCTCCGGCTGGGCGAGTTCGTGGATAGGACCGGCCGCGAGCCCATTTGTGCCTACTTTACTCCGGCGGCGGCGAGAGCAGCCGAAATCGTTGCCCCGTGCCGTCGAACGGAGGGTAGGTTGGGCCAGCGGGCACAGAAGCAAGTCGTGCTACGCGTGCGCAGTGTGCATACGCACGATCGAGCAGTGCGCGCCTCGGACGGCGCCGCCGCCATGCTTTGGAAGATGATGCCTGTGGAGGAACTTCCAGCAGTGGTAGTGCGAGTGCGGCACCGGTCCGGTGTCAACAGCAACGCGCCGTCTAGTCGAGCTACTTGATTTGCTGTTTTTAGTAGAGTAAACTCTACCGCATATTCCTCTCAAATTCTCGAGACTCGATTACTCTCTCGCCCCGCCCCCCGAGGTGTGTGCCGTGAAATGAGACTTTTGAGAGAGTTTTTGAGAGACTGGCAGCCAAAATAAATAATTAGATATATAACGGACACCTCTACTATTGAATGGGTAATGGGTAAAAAAAGGATCTAAAGAAACAAATTAAAAGTTTTCAAAAGGGGGGCAAGTTACGCGGCGAGGGAAAAGGGAGCAAAGAGGGCCACCAAAAGGGACAAAAGGGACGCGGTAAAGGAGCAAAACGCGGTCCCCGCGGCGCGAGATGCGGTCTTTTTTGTCGGCGGAGCACCGGAGAGGGAGGGGCGCAGGGCCAGGGGGGTGTATTATACTCTTTGTGGCGCACCAAACAAAACATATCGCGCGCTGCGCGACACACACTAAAACACACTACTACGAAGCGGCCTGGCAAGCGCCTCGGCCGCCTCGCCCACGACCGTCAAGAAGAAGGTTTGCGCGTCGGCATAGTAGGCGCGCTGCACGCCCAAGATTGCGCCCACCCAGAGCCCATTCCATGCCAGCCGCACCGGCAGGCCGCGGAACAGGGCCGCCGCGCCCTCCTCCCTGTAGATCGTGGCGAGCGCGTCGGTGATGCCGGCGTACTGCGTGGCGGAGCTGCCCGAGCGCTGCAGCAGCAGGCGCGTGCGCACGACCTCGAGCGGCGTCGTCAGCCCGTTTGCGGCGACGGAGGCCGCCGTGTAGAGGAGCAGGTCGGCCGTCAGCGAGTCCAGGCCGACCAGGTAGTCGGCCCCGCCCGCGAGCCGGAGGAGCAGGAAGAAGTAGACGCGCAGCACGACCGTCGGCAGGTCGCACAGCGCGAGCAGCGGGTACGCGTCGAAGACGGAGAGCGCCGACGCGAGGCGCGAGGCGGCCCGCGAGGCGAGGCCTCCTCCCGCGCCGCCGCCCTCGCCGCCCGCACCGCCCTCGCCGCCCGCACCGCCCTCGCCGTCCGCACCGCGCGCACCGCGCTCGCTGCTCGCACCGCCGCCGCCTGCAGCGGCGTCTTCCTCGCCGTCGAGCACGAGCGCGCTCAGCTGCGCCCTCGTCTTTTGCACCTCGGTGGGGGCCCGCACCAGCCAGTAGGCAACCTCGCCCGCCGCCACCGCCACGAGCGTCGCGATCGCGCGCCAGTCGAGGCCGAGCGCGACCGCCCACGCCGGCAGCGGCGGCGGCGACGTGTACTGCGGCGTGAAGTACTGCAGGAAGAGCGTACCGCTTCCGGCCGTGATGCCGAGCCGCGCCAGCATCTCCCGCCGCACCACGTCCTTGACCGCCCAGAAGACTGCCCCTTGAGGCGCCGACGTGAGGAGCGCGGCGTCGAGCCCCTCCCACGGGCGCTCGTACAGCAGGCGGGCCGGCGGCGGCGAAGGCGCGGGCGGGGGCGGCGAAGGGGCGGGCGGCGCGGCGGTGGCGCTGGCGGCCTCCCTGCCGGCGACGGTGGCGTTGAGGTTGAGGACGCTCAGCGCTGTGGCGAGGTCCTCGCGCCGCAGCGCGCGGCTCTGCGCCGACTGCTGCCGCGCCTACAGGCCGCACGAGGAGAGCCTCGTGCGAGAGGTGCCGCCCGCTCCGCCGACGCAGAGACAGAGAGAGAGAGAGCCCGGATGGTGTCGAGAGGGTGCATCACGATGACGCGACCAACCTCGACGGCAGTGCCCGCGAGCAGCCCAGCCTGAGCCACCTCGAGGTCGGAGCTGACACGCCCGGTGAAACGGAAGCGCTGCAGCTTTGGCGAGGCGGCGGCGTCCTTGAAGACGAGGTAGCCATTCATGTCCTCGTCGAACACGGTCTGCAGCCCTGCCTCGTCGCGCGCCGAACTCTGCAGCGCGGCGGCGGACGGCTGCGACGCCGCCGAGGGCCGCAGAGTGGCGGACGTCTGCGCCGGAGGTGTGGATGACAGCGCCGGCCGCTGCGTGCTCACGACGAGCCCCGCGAGCGCAGCCAGCGCGGCAGGAGTCAGGTGCGGCAGCGGCGGTGGCGGCAGCCTGAGTGCCGTGGCAGTATGTTGGGCCAGGAGGAGGAGGAGGAGTGGGATCGGCATTGCACACGTTTGGCGGCTGCCGATCCACCTACGCCAGGCGGCGGCGCCGAGGAGGATTCTTTTTCCGTTCCTGTCGAGAGGGGCGCCAGCAGAGCGGCGTCTTTCTTTCGCGCGCAGTGATTTGGTCGAGTCGCGGTGCTGCCTCCGCGCTCGGCGTTCACCTCCAAGCACAACGGGGTGCAAGGGCCGCCCAGAATGCCATCCGGGCGGGCTCGGTTGGCAGCATCATCCTCGGGGACAGGAAAAGCCCGAGGTGACGCGGCACCTCAACGACACGTCCGTGACTGACATCTGCGAGATCGGCGGCGACTTCGCCACGATGCGGGACGTGCACTACGTACTACGAGGTCAAGTGCTGGAACTCGCTCATCAAGTCGACGACGGCGGGGAGGGGCTCGTGGGACAATGGTGGCAATATGTGGCGTCGGTGGGCCACCTCTACGGGTTTGGAAACACGCTGGACAAGGCGTTGACGGGAGTCGTGGGGTGCAAGGAGCGTGGCCGGCAGGTGGACGGGCCGCTCGACCACTCGACTGGAAAGGGATGGGTCAAAGACCAGGCGTATGTTCCCGTTACGGAAAAGCATGCGCGACGCTGCCTCTTTGCACCGCTCGCTCGCGGCTGCGGGAGACATGGCCGCCGATGCGGCTCGCACTCGCTCGGCGGGCCTCCGTCCCACAGCCGCCCGGGCGTGCCACGGGTCTGCCTGGCGCTGCGCTGCTCGCACGCTGCACTGCACAAAGCTGCGACAACAAGGGGAGGCTCCTGAGCTTGAGCGTTGAGCAGTGCAGCTGCGGGCGCTCGTGGGCGGCTGTGCAGTGGTGAGAGTGCCTGATTGGAGGCGAGCTGGTGCTGCGCCAGGGTGCGCTGATGCGCTCTTGCTCTGTGCTGAGGCATGCTGGCTGGCGCCCAACACAATGCCCTGGATGCATTGCTCCACGCCGTGCTGGCTGGTGCAGTACTGCCAGTGCGCCGACTGGCGCGCAGGGTGCGCGTCGCCGCGCGTGGCACGGGTGGCTCGAGAGGCGCGGCTGTCGTTCAACCCCGCGGCGCATGTGCGCCGCGGAAGCTGCTCGACAGGCTGCGGGCATCGCTGCGGCAGAAAGCGCCCGCCCTCTGCTTTGCTTTCGCCCGCGTTTTACGACAACTTTCGGTTTATCATAGCCGCCGAACTTTACCTCGCTGTTTCTTTATAGGCGTCTCGCAGCTGCGTATTCTCGTATTATCGTCGAGTAGTTGCGCGGGGGCGGTACGTATTCTCGTATCACTAGCTAGTGTCGTGTCCACTAGCTCCGAGTAGAGGGGGCGTTCTGCTGCTAGGGGAAACCCGGAGCGCGGTACTATCCCTCGGAGAGTATTCTTTAGCTCCGAGTAGAGGGGCGGCGTTCTGCAGTTAAGGGGAAACCCGGTACACGGAGCCAACCCTCGGAGACGTGTTATGGCCCTGCGACCGCGCACCCCCCCCTTACTTAGCTCTTAGGGGTCAGGGCTCTCTAGCCCGTAGCCCGATCCCGATCATCCGGCCCGCTGGGTGCGCTTCTGAGCTCCCCGGCCCTGGATGTGAGGCTACCAACTGCACTCCAAGTGCTCCAAGTATGGAAAGGGGTGGGTCAAGACGGATACGGGCTGGAAGTGGATGGGGGCGCAGTACTACGACGCGAAGTGGGTCAAGAAAAACATAACGCGGCTAACAATATACCAAGGTATAATCTCTCTTTATACACACACCTCCACCCTTCATTTTTATAATACTTTTTGCCTATAGAAGCGCCTCTGACTCGTCCGCCCCGAGTCTGCTGAAATCCACGCGACTGGAAAGGGATGGGTCAAAGACCAGGCGTATGGAAAGGGGTGGGTCAAGACGGATACATAACGCGGCTAACAATATACCAAGGTATAATCTCTCTTTATACACACACCTCCACCCTTTTTTATAATACTTTTTGCCTATAGAAGCGCCTCTGACTCGTCCGCCCCGAGTCTGCTGAAATCCACGCGCATTTTTGCTCCGATGCAACCTCGCCATCGGCGCAGCTGCGTGGTCCCCGGTTCGATTCCGTCGAGGGCTATGGTGTCCGAGTGGTCTAAGGAGGCTGACTTAAGCTCAGCTGGCGAAAGCCTCGCGGGTTCGAACCCCGTCCATAGCAGAACCCTTTTGTGCACCTCCCACCTCCCTCTCGCACCCCCGTTCGCCATGCACACCAGTCCTCCCCCGTCTCTATCCTAAACCACGCCTCTCAACCTCCCATCCTCAGCACACCAAAACCAAATCACCACCAACATCACACCTACAACAAAACCAATCGGCACTCCTCTCGTAAAACCCCCCTTACCCTTCACAAAAAAGAAAGAGGTACGGGTGAGGTGGCTCCCAGCGCCGCTCGGCCAGTAATGCTCAGGGCGCTGCTGCTGGCCACCGCGGCGGCGGCGGTGGCCGCCGACTCCCCTCGGCCTGACCTGGCCTCGCCCGGCGCCTCGCCGCCAGTCTCGCTGGAAGACATCGCGGCACCCGACGCTCCGCCGGCCGACAGCAGCGACAGCGAGGAGCGGCGTCCGACGCCTCTAACGCCGCCCGCGGCGCCACTGCCGACTGTCGGTCAAACGGTGCAGCCCCGCTCGTCGGGCTTTCCCCAGTGGCCGCGGCGCCCGGGCACCAAACCACCGGCCGGAGGAGCAGGAAAGGTGCACCTGGAGGACGAGGTGCACTTGGAGGAGGAGGAGGAGGAGGAGGAGGAGGAGGAGGAGGAGGAGGAGCAGATAGTGGAGGAGGAGGACGACGACGACGATGACGACGAGGAGGAGATTGTTCCAGACACGCTGAAAGACGAGATGCGGGCAAGGACGACAGAGGAAGAGGCGCCGCCGCCGCTAGAGCGCACCGGGATGGACGCGGGGGCGCCGCCGGCCGCCGCAGAGGCGGCAGCGGCGGCCGAGGCTGCGGCAGCAGAGGCGGTTGCGGTAGAGTCAGCCGAGGTGGAGGCAGTGGCGCCAAAGGAGGCGGAGGAGGCAGCCTATGCGGAGGCGGCTGCGGAGGCGGCTGCGGAGGCGGCAAAGGCGCAGGCAGAGGCGGAGGGAGGGGCCGATATTACCGCGGCCGAGGCGGAGGCGGCGCGCCGGCTGGACGCGAATCTAAAGGCCAAGGCGGAGGCGGAGACGACTCGTTCGCGACTCGCGCGTCTCAAGGAGGCCGCCCAGGCGGAGGTCGCCAAGGCGGAGGCGGAGGCGGAGGCGGAGGCGGAGCTCAACGCGGCGGCGGAGGCGGCGCGGCGAGCCGAGGAGGAGGCCGCCGCCGAGGCGGCGCGTGCGGAGGAGGCGGCGATGGACGCGGCGATGGCAGCGTCGGAGGTCTCCGACCTCCCTCCTGCCTCCCCTCTGCCCGCCGCGCCGCCCGGTGCCGGCGAGGCAGCAGGCGCTCTGCCTCCCTCGCGGCCCCCGCCGCCCGACGCGAGCGCAGAGGAGGCGCTTGCACCGCCACGGCCGCAGCTTCCGCCGAACGGCACCGCCAGCCGCGCGACCATCACCCTCGAGGTCGACTTCGCGCTCGCCACCGCGCAGCGCGCAGCCTTCGACGCCGCCTTCGCGAGCGACATCTCCCGCCCCCTCGCCGTGGAGGAGGAGGCCGTCTCGGTCCTCTCCCTCTCCGCAGGCTCGACCGCGGTCGTCTTTGAAGTGGCGGGCGTGGCGGACGCGGGCCGCGCGCTGCAGGAGGAGGCGGAGCTCTTTTTCGACGCCGTGGCGGAGCAGGTCAACGGCGGAGAACCGGTCGGCAGCCGCGACCTCGCCAGCTTGCCTCCAGCGGCAGCGCCGCACGACCCTCGGCTTGGCGGACACGCGCCAGCGGCGCCCGCGCAAGCTCCGCCGGAGGAGGAGGAGGCGCCGGAGGAGGCGCCAGCTCCTCTGCCCTTCTCCTCGCCGCCGGAAGGGCCCGCTTTGCACCCTCCGGGCGCGCCTGAGACAGCGCCTGAGACAGCGCCTGAGACAGCGCCCGAGACAGCGCCCGAGACGGCGCCCGAGCCGGAGGAAGAGACTCTCGAGGAGGCCGACAGCCACGACGGCGGCGCCGGCGCCCCCGAGCCGTTGCCGCCCGCCGCGCCGCCCGAGGAGGCGGGAGAGGAGGCGCCGCCAGGGCCGCCCGCCCGTCCGGGGGAGGATGTCGCGGGTGCGGACGAGCCGCCCCTCGACGAGCCGCCCCTTGACCCGTACGCCTACGGCGACGCGCTCGACGGCGGTATCGACGGCGAGGCGCCCGCGCCCGGCGGCCCCCCCGAGGAGGTTGAGCCGCCCGAGGAGCAGCCCCCGCCCGCCCCGTCGGAGGAGGCGCACGAGGAGGCGCCCCCCTCCATCGAGGCGCCCTCTCCCGCAGACGCGCCGCCGGCGGGCGACGAGGACCCTCCCCTGCCCGCGTCATCACCGGCTCCGCTTCCCGACCCCGCCCCCGCCGATCCGCCGCCCCCCGCCGGACCCTCCATCGCCGAGCGCGCCGCCGCCGCCGCCGCCGCCGCCGCCTCCGCCGCCGCCGCCACTGCGCGGGGGGCGGCCACCGCGCTCTCTGCGCTCGCCGGCGGCGACGCGAGCGCGCACGATCCCGCCGCGGCCGCCAACCAGCGGTCGCTGCTGCCCATGCTTGCCCTCTCCGGCGCCGCACTCCTCGCCCGCTCGCCGCACCTGCAGCCCTTCTTCGCCGCCGCCGCCGCGCCCGCCGTGCTGCTCCCGGCCTCTTCGATGCAGCGGCTGCTTTCGCTCGCGGGTGGAGGCGACGCGCGCGCTTGCGTGCTCGACGACGGAGTCGAGGCGTGGGCGATCGCCGGCCTGGCGCCTGGCGGAGGCGCGCTTGGCGGAGGCGCGCCGGGCGGAGGCGCAGCCTCGCGGCTGCCCCACCTGCTCCGCTGCGTCGCCACCGCCGCCGCGCTCGCGCTGTACAGCCGCGCCGCTCCGCGCGCGCGGCGCGGCGCCGAAGCGGGCGCGCTCGTCGCCACCTTTGCCGTCGGCGCCCTCCTCGACGACGGCCTGCTCGCGCCTCCCCGCGGCGCCGCCCCGGCAGACGAGCTGCTCGCGGCGCGGCACGCGTGCGGCGGCAGCGCCTCGCTCAGCCTGCTCGGGGCGGCCCTCGTCGCCTCTCTCGCCCTCGCGCGCGCGCGCTGGCCGCACGCATGCGCCGCTTCGCTCGGCCTCTTTTGCCGCTGCGCGCCGCCGCTGCTGCCTTTCCTGCCCTTGCCGCTCCTCCACCTGGTCGGGGAGCACTGCTTCGACAACGACGAGGTGGGCGCCGCCAAGCGCCGGGCCGACGACGAGGGGTGGCGCGGAGGCGGCCACGACGAGGGCGACGGCGTCGGCTACGGCGCCATGCAAGGCGCGGGAGGGGCGGGGCTGCGGCGGCGCGGCGGCGGCGGCAGGCAGCGCGAGGAGCCGACCGGGTGGGGCGGGGCAGTGGGCCACCCATCGCCGCCGCCGCTTGCCGGCGCGGCGGGCCGTCGCTTCTCTGCTGTGCGGCTATTTCTTTTGCTCGCGAGCTTGTGTGCTGGCCCGCCGTCGCTCGCTCTCTCCGAGCGGCTGCCACCACACTGCCCTCACCCGCCGCTTGTCGCTCTCTCTAGGTCCACTGCTGCCGGATGTCGCGTCCCGCGTGGCGGACAGGTTGGCGGGCACGGAGGGCGATGAGCCGAGTCCGTCGATTGCCGCCGCCATCGGCGCCGAGCCGACCGACTTCAGCGGCCGCTTCGCGAGCGCTTTTGCAGCCGGCGATTGCGCGGCGAGCGGCGCCTCAGTTTGGTCGCTGGGTTCTGCGTTCTTTGCCCCTCCCGCATCGCACGCCGACCCTGACGCGCCGGCGGCGGAGGCGGCACACACGCCGCCGCCGCGGTGGGCGGTGCCGCTCGCCGCGGGCGTGGTTGCGCTGCTCATGGCGCCAACCGCTCTTCGCACGCTCCGCCGGCCGCGCGTTGAGATGCTGCCGGCCGGCCTCGCGATGCAGGCTCTGCCGCACGCCTAGCGGCACGGGAGGCGCCTCCACTGCCCCACCGACGCTTCGCCCTCTCCTGCGCGCAGGCGGCGCTCGGCGTGCTTCTCGTGCCGGGCTGCTCGCGCGCAACGCTGCCGCTGCTGCTCGCCGCAACCATCACCGTCGCCGCGCCGGCGGGCGTGCCGCAGGCGGCACTGAGCTCCTTGCTGCCGCCGTTACAGCAGCCACGCGTTGCTCCCTCCATTGCTCGCCGCGACAGCTCTCCCCCCGACGCTGCTCCCCCTCCTTGCCCTGCGCAGGCGCGCGTGCTGCTGCTGCTGCTCGCTCGCCGGCTCGCCGCCACCGCCTCCGTCGCGAGCCTCGCCGATCTGCCGGTGGCTCTATTCATGGCGGCGCTCCTCCTGCTCCTCGTCGCCCGCGCGCTCGCGGCATCGGTGGCCGCCGCCGCCCCTGACAGCCAGCGCTCTGCGCTGCTTCCCCCGCTCTGGGCGGCGATCTTGGCAGCCGTGGCGGCCGCCACGGCCGCTAGCCGCGGCGGGCAAGAGTTTGTCGGGGCGGTGCTCGCCCCTGCTGCGCGGCTCGACCTCGGCGTCGATCTGAAGCAGGGCCTGGCTCCGGCTGGGTGGGCGGGAGGGGTGAACGCGATCGCCGCTGCCGTGTTCGCCGCGCTCATCCTCGCGCTGGCGCATGCGAGCGCCGACCCGAGCGCCGACGCTGGCGCCGGCAGCGGCAGTCTCGACGCGCCCAGCAACGTGGGGGCGCCGGCTTTGGCGATGGCGGCAGGCGGCGGCGGTGCGGCCGCGGCGGAGGCGGAGGCGAGGGCGGAGGCGAGGGCAGCCGAGGCGGAGGCGCGGCACGAAAGGGCGATGGCGGAGCAGCGGTCGGCGCTTGAGGCGCGCGCTCTGCAGGCGGAGGCCAGCCTGGCGGCGGCAGAGGCGCGCGCAGAGGAGCTCGGCCGTAGCTTGGCCACGCAGGCCGCGCAGCCGCCGCCCGCCGCCGAGGTTGCCGCCGGCAATGGGGTTGCGTGGCATGGGCACAGCGCCACCCCTCCCTTTGACCGGTCGGCAAAGGCCGCGGCGCCCGGGCCTTCTGCGTATGACTCCGCCGCCCCAACTCCCGCGACACCCGGCAACTCCGCCCCTCCGCCGGTCGCTCACCAGACGACGCCGCGCCTCGCGGCTGCCATGCCCCCAAGCACGCCCACGGGCGCGCTCTACCCCGTTGATCCCGGTGTGGCAGCCGACGTTCCGCCCGGCGCCCCGTCCGGCGGGCTCTACCCCGTCGGCGCCGGTGCGGCAGGCGAGGTGCCGCCCGTCACCCCCATCATGGGGGGGCTCTACCCACTCGACTCCAGCCTGGGCGCGCCGCACACGCCTCCGAGTGAGCAGCCGACCACCCCTCGTGCCGCCGGGCCTCTCCTCCCTCGCGTGGGTCTCGCACCGCCGCGCAGCACGACGCCGGCGCGATCCGCCCGCAAGGCGCGCGGCGGCTGGGGGCGGGCGCCAGTTCGCGCCCCGCGTTACGCGAGCCCTGTTCTCGCTTAGGTGCTCGCGCCGGTGGTCCACTTTACGCCTTCCGAACCGGATGGCAGCCGGACGTCGCCGCGTCGGACACCGCGCGCTTCACCGCGCCGCGCCCGCCCGGAGATGCCGCTTTGATCGAAAGCTGTTCGCAGGTTTTCGGTTCCCTTGCACAGCGGCGGCTTGATGGAGGTCGTGTTGTGCTTCTTGTTTTGTGTTAGAGGCGCCCCGCGAGGCTCGTGGACGTGGTTCCGCCTAAGCATAACACCAACACGCATCCAGCACTCTCTATCTCTCTACTCTCAATATTTTCATTTAGATCGAACCCAACGTTTTCGCCTTGTGTCTCAAATATTTTCATTTAGAACCCAACGTTTTCGCCTTGTGTCTGTGAACTGTGTGGATGAGGAGCGCGGCGAAATAGTTGTTTTGGCACGATAGATTGCGAGAGAGCAAAGTCTCATTAAAAGAAAAAGAGAACGACAGTAAACCAGGGATGGCGATCAACGCGTGGACCATCCGAAGTAGTTTGCGTGTCACAACTCTGCTGCGAGGCTCTCTAGTCGAACAAGATGTCGGTCCGCCTGCAGCCCGGGAAGTACAAGAACACGGTGGGTCCCTGCTGTTGCCCGTCGGAGACCCAGTCGGGCACGGTCGACGTCTCTGAGTGTTGCTGCGACGGAGTGGTGCGGAGAGCGCGGCCCCGCAACACTCTCTGCCCCCTGCGACGTTTTGGGGAAATTCATGTGTTGAGGGCTTAACAATCGCCGTACGCGAAGAGGCCGGGGCCTCGAAGCCCCCCAGCAATATTTCTAAACTGTGCGCGTGCCCCTGGCAGAGCATCTTCGCACCATGTCACTGCCTTTGTCACGCTGCGGTGCCCTGTGGCACCTGCTGCAACGAAGAAGGCACCCAGTGCTACTATGCCTGGGTGTACTGCAGTGGCGCTCACGGCATGGGCGTAATCGCGTCCGACGGGGGCAAGAAGTTCGCCACCGACTGGTTTTGCATGAGCTGCGGCGAATACGTGCTCGAGGACGCGCCCACGGGCGCTCCTCCGACTATTGCGATGGAGCGCTGAAGCCGGCAGGGTGGGAGATGGAGCGGGCGGCTAGCTCTGCGCGAGTAGCTGCCGCACATCCCGGGTGCAGGTGTTTCGTTCGAGGCACCTCCTGCCGGGCGCGTGCAATCGAATGAGTCCTGCCATGGAGAACGAACAGTGAGCGCGTGTGATTGCACGTTTCGTGAATGCCGACACTTCCTCCACGCTGCGCAGCGGGAACTCACGCAAACCGCCGTCGCGCATCGTCTCTCGAAATTTGGCCCACTGCAGGGCAAACTAGTTTAGAGGAAGGGCAAGGGATGTATCATGAACTAGAGTAACGTTCCGGACCGGCCGGGGGCGAGCCCGCGCGTGGGATGACACGGCGTGTTTCACCCATCATACCAAAGCATCATCCTCGCAACTCACTCGCTCGCTCTCTCTCGGCGTGTCCCTCTTCACACGACGGCGCCGCGCCGCGCCCCGGAGAAATTTACCTTACCTTACCTTACCCCGGTTCCCGCGTCCTTTTAGCCGTTTTTGCGCCGCCGCCGCCGCCGCCGCCCCCGCCTCCGCCGCCGCCTCGGGCGCCTGCCTCGGTCCGCCGCTTCCGCCACCGCTGTCACAGCAGAGCGCGCCCATCTTTGTCGGCCTGACGTCGGCCGTGGACCACACACCAAGGCGCCACACACACGAAACTAGCGTCCCCGGCGGCGTGGCCCGAGCGACGTGCGCCCATCACACATCCGCGCCACGTCCCCAGCCGTCAGGCTCCACCGCCGGCGCAGCGGCTGCACCATCCCTTTGAGACGCCGACCCGTTCGTATCCGACCCGCGGGTGGCTGGGGACGCGTCGAGCGCTCTTCAGACTTCACGCCCCCCTGGGCACGAATCGGGCGCGAGCCGCTACCCCTACCGCGTTTGGCTCGCATCGCAGCCTCTGTTCCACGCGTGGGTCGCCTCGCAGCTGCAGGGGCGGACGCGTCGGCGGCACCGAGAAAAATAAGCGAGCGAAGGACGCAGCGAGTTTAAGGTCGCGGTGCGCGGACCGTGACTCGGATGGAAGTGCGCCGCGGAGGCGCGGTCCCCGATGTGAAGGCGTTCGCCCTTCATTCTTGCCCTGACACGTCGGCACTCGGAGTCACGTCCGGCACGCGGACTGAAAAAAAAGGCAAAGGGTAAGAGATAAATTAATTACATACAAGTTTTCAAAAGGGGCGCAAGTTACGTGGCGAGGGAAAAGGGAGCAAAGAGGGGCAGCAAAAGGGACAAAAGGGACGCAGTGACGAAGGGGGGGGGGGGGGGGGAGAATGATAAAAAGTTTGAAATGACAAATTAAACTATGCACGTGGACGGAAGACGAGATGCCTTACAAAGAAATGTACCATAGGGAGTTCGACATGTCGTCTCACAAATGGCACACGTCCTCTCGCAGATTTCAGAATACACCCAAGCCCTCTTGGAATTGTCTCAATCGAATTGCCAGAGATCTTTCCCCAGATGCACTCTATGTGGGCAGCCAAGAAATGAATGAATCGTCCCTCCGGTGGGGACGCAGTTCGTGTAGCGGAATTTCTCAACACCGACGCGTTCAGCGCACATACCGTCTTCGGTTCGAGAAAAAGTACATCCCGTCTCCATCAATTTGGATGCGAACAGCGACAGCTGCAAGCACGATTACCACTTTCGCTCCCGTTGCGTGTGGGGCAAATGTCGACAATGTCTTCTGGGGAGCCCCAGATGCCATGCATCGTTTGATTCAAACGTGGTACTCGAACGTTGACAAGTACTCGAAGCATCCTTCGACTGCACATAATCCTGAGAGAAGCATATGTCTAGCGTCGCGCGATGCGAACGTGACCATGTCATCGCACCTATGCCGAGGGCAGCGTATCTCATCCAGCGTCCAAAGTTGTACGTAGCAGTCCCCAAAGGATGACCGCACGCTGGGGGGGAAACGTGTCGTCGACATTCAAATGCGGTCAATCAGCGGGTAAAGATCAAGAAGACGGCAGTAGATTTGTATGTCATCGTCAAGCAAGAGAGAGAGAGAGAGATTTTCAAAAATCAAGCAAAGCCCTCGATTCACTTGCCAAAATCGCGACCCGGGGTGTTCGACCGGGCTAAAGTCTGTCTACGCCCACATCGCGTGTCAGAGTCGCGCAGTGGAAGTGCAGGTCACGGTAATCTAATAGACGGTGTACGAATACAAAAATGTAGGACCGCACATCTGGCTTCCCGCCCCCGGTGTGGTGCACTCAACTCTCCCTATCATCAGAGACGGAGCCGGCCGGGACGGATTTGAGTGGAGAGCACATGTTGATGACACCCGCCCGACTGTCCAACCCCTTAGATAGCCGGTGGGTGTCATCCGGATCATCAGCGCCGCCGCTTCTCGCAGGGCGAGTTGCAGCGGAGGCGCGTCATGTGGTGTGCTCTCCTCCTTGAGGCCCGTCCCATCCATGCTAAGTCACGTCACTCTACTTGAGGACCACGATCAGGCGGCGGCCGGCACCGAGTCCTTCGCGGCCTCGCAAACCTTGGCGACGGCAGCCGCGTCCCAGCTGCCACCCGAGCGGAGCAGTCGGTTATGTTGGAAGCCTCCGACGCGGATCAGGTCCTTGCCTTCAGCAGACTTGAGCTTGATGTAGCCGTGCTCGTCGACGTCGTCCCACGATGTCTCCTTCGGAACGTGCGCAAGCTGCACCGAGAAGCCCAACGAAGTGAGCGCGGCGATGAGCGGCTTGACGCGCTCGGGGTTGTGGTTCCACCGTCCTCAGTTCATGTAAGGGCCGTACTCGAGTGTGATTACGGGCGCGTCCTCGTCGTCGCACTGGTGGAGCGCGTTGAGAGCGTCGTTCTTGGAGGAGGCGCTCGCGTCGTTCGAGGTGCACATGAGCTAGGACGCGGCAAGCAAGCAAGGGGGGAGGGACAGCGGTGGACTGGACTCGTCCGGACACGTCGAGGGAATAAATAAAGAAACTACGGGGGCGCCAGAAACCAGACACGCCCAGAGCGGGATGAGTCTGTCTGCTGTGCATGTGTGAACATCAATCAACAACGCTGCTCAAACATGCGTGTCGCGCACTCATTCATGACCGGTCTCAATGTCCCGCCCCCCTGCCTGGCCTTCTAGGCCCGCGGGTAGTCTCCCCCCATCCCCAGGGCCTCCAGGGCTCGCACCTCAACCTCTCACAGACCCACGCACAGCGCCCTCAAGTATTTTCTTCTCAATAACACGGCAGTGAATTGTGGGGTCCCAACGACGGCGTGTGCATCCTCAGGGCCGCGATAAGCCGGCTCGTCGAGGTTTTTCAAATGTTGGCGGCCGACAAAGACCGCTTGATTTACAACATCAAGCGTCAAGCTCTCGCACTCCGCAAGCAGGAGCTCGAGATGATCGTGAGCCGCTACAACAACCTCGCGGGGCTCTGCTCCATCGCGGCGGGCTTCTCCTTCGACGCGCTCATCGAGATTGAGTTTCCGACGCCAGAGGAGGAGGAGGAGGAGCCGCTCTTTGAGATCGTGCCTCTGCGCACGCTCAGGCCCATCTTCTACCTGTGCACGTCGCTCGCGCTCGCGCTCGCGCTCTACGTTGTCGCCGTTGCCTCCTTCACCGTCGTGTACGGGCATCAGCTCGCTCTTCTCGGCTCGAGCTCGGGCTCGCTCGACAGGGCCGTGGCCGTGATGCTCAAGCAGCACCGTCCCCTCTTCTACACCGCCACCGGCGCGCTGCTCGCCGTGGTGGGCGCCGCAGTCTCCATCGCGTGGGTCAAGATGGGGCACCCTTGGGCCTTCGTTGCGACGGGCATGTTTGTGGTCCTCCTCGTCGTCGCCGCCCGCACACTCGGCGCGCCGCGCACGCCGCGCCGCGCCGTGCAGGCCCTCTCCCTTCGCCGCCGCCGCCGTCGTCGTCGTCGTCGTCTCTCTCTCTCCTCTCTCCCTTCCCCCTCATCGCCCGTCTCTTGACCAATCCTCGCGGCGCTGCCGTGCTTCGTCTCGCCTCTGGCGGGCCGCCTGCAGCCGCGCTCCCCACCCTCTCTCCCCTCCCACACAGGCCGCCTGCTCGGCGAGCTCAGCCCCGAGGCGATGATCCACGGCGATGCCAACGTACACGCGGGAGGCGGCATGGTCGACTTGGCGCCCGCCTCTCCCCGCCGCCCCTCCCTCCCTCTCCCTCTCTCTCCGACCACTCAATATGGCTGTGTTTCGCCTCAGTATCTACCCCACTCGCTTGCCTGCGCGTGTGGCGACCGTCCGATAACCTCCCCGCGCACAGGCGCGGCTGAATGCGACGCACGGACACGTCGTCCAGACGCATTCAGCCGAGGACGAGGCGCTCGTGCCTGGGGCCGCCTCGGGCTTGCGCTCCAAAGGCGCGTCCGGCCCCGGCCGCCCCTCCGCTCTCCAGGGCGGCTTCCTCTCGCCACCGCCGTGCGCCCCGAAGGTCCCGAATCTGACCCGCACCCCGGCACCGGCCGGTTCAGGCTACCCGCCGCCGGTGGACATGTACGGCGACCCGCTCGAGGCGCCCCGCTCCTCGGACTACTCCCGCTGGTCGCCGCCCTCGAGCCTGCCCTCGAACAGGCGCCCGTGGGGCAGCGAACACGGACACACGCCGTGGGCCCAGTTCAGACCGCACAGGGCCGCTGCCGGACCGAGAGAAAGCGCGGCTAGTGAGAGGCGAGAGTCCGAGGCGCCGAGTCGCCCACGCTCTCCCCCCCCCTCCTCTGCGCAGGACTGGCCACTCTGCCGACAGCGCCGCCTTTGGCAGGAGCGGGCGCGAGCAGCGGTGGGCGCCTCTCCTGCGCCAGGCGGGAGAAGGCACCGGAGGCGGCGGCACCGGAGGCGGTGGCGCCTCGCTCCTCGAGCGGCTCGTGGGTGCACCGCGTGGACACGCGGACGACGACGGCTCAAGGTGACCGAGGGAGATGAGACGCACAGGCGGGGGGCGGACGAGCGGGACGCGTGTTCGAGCGTGTGGGAGAGAGAGGTGCTGTGCCCCTCTTTCCCACCTTCCGTCTCTCGTGTGCACACCCATATATCTGTCCGCAAGAAGATGTCTGTCGTCTACTTGCACTGCTGTTTCGGCAATCCACTCGTGTACAGTCAAAATAGGTAACTAAGACTTAGCTGCCAGCCACCGAAGCAGCATCTCGTGCTCAAACGCCTCCTTCTGCGCGCGCCATTTCTCAGTCGCGCGATACTTCACAGTGTACGCCCTTTTACACTCTCCCAGCAATGCCCTTGGAGCCCGTCAGCCGTGCGACTGTCACGAGTAAAGTCGCCTCGGTCGACTTCACAGCCTTGCACTTACTGCACGTCTTAACTGCAGTGCCGTCCATTTCCTATACACATCAGACCCCCTTGAGATTTGATTGAGAACTTGTTGAGCTCGCGAGCTATCACGTGTGTTTCGTCGATCGGCCGTCCCTATAAGCAATCTCAGTGAGAATGGGGTGTGAATCTCAGGTCCACAGCAATTATGCGCGCCTTTTTTTCACGACGTGAGTTTTTAAATCTCAGACTGCAATTGGGACCTGCCGCACAACTGCCCTGCCCTGCCCTGCCCGATCCCCTACCTGCCCCGGGTGTGAAATCCACACTGCCCTGCCCTGCCCTGCCCACACTGCCGAGGTGTGAATACCTGCCCACTCCCGAGGTCTCGGAGAAACTTCTCTCTGTAGTATATGATGCTAGTTTAGATTGCTTTTCTGTACCTCGTCATCCCCTCCCCCCCTTCTCACACTCTCACACTCTCACGGATCAAACACAACCTCCTTCCAGTTCGGGGTCACCCCGTCAGGGTACGGGCAGCGGCCGCCCGGCATGGCGGCGAGCGCCGCCTTGATCGCGGCGCCGTGCCGCGTGTAGTTGACGCCGCCGTATCCCTCGAGGTTGCACCGGCTCGCACGCTCAAGCTCGATGGACAGCTCGCCGCCTTCCCGCACGTGGTAGTCGCACAGCATTGCGCGAGCGCACGACGTCGAGTTGTGCCGGTCTGCAAACGCGCCGCCGCCCGCCATGGGCACACCGGCGGCGGCCCTCCCCGCGCACGGCGGCGCACCGTCGGCGGGCTCGGGGAAGTCGGTCGGCGGCGTGAAGCCCCAAGTGCAGTTGTAGGCGGTGAAGGGGTTCATCCAGTCCCAGCCCGGCCGGTCCACCTCCGGCCAGTGGTCCTACATACACACTCCACTCCGTGCGTGACACGGGGGCGCGGAAGTGCACGCCGCCGCGGCGAAACTGCTCCTCCACAGGGCAGTACCTACGCACGGCACACGGCGGACGGTCAGGCGCCGCCCCTCCCTCCGACCCTCCCCTCCCGCCGGGCGGCACCGCGCGGACTCGTGCAGCACGTACCGCTGCAGCGCGTTGAAGGCGGCGTTCTGCTCCGTCGAGCCGAGCCACTTGCAGAGCCGGCGCAGGTCCGCCGCCCCAATCTCGACCAGCCGCGCGTCGGCGTTGGCTCGGCGCACGGCGGCGCCAACCTCGGACATCGGCGTCCCCGGCCGCAGCACGGCGGAGAAGGTCTCCTCCGCGGTGCCCGCCTGCGGGAGCGGAGCGTCCGGGTGCACCACCACGCGCACCGCCGCCTCGGTCACCGCGCGAGGCACTCGCGCGTCGTCGAGAAAGTCCGCCTGTCCGCGCGCCAGCAGGGCTGTGAGGTGAGAGGGCGCGAGGCTGTCTTGCGTGTCGCTCGGGAGTTGACGCGCGGCTCGATCGCTCGATCTGCTGCAGCGTCTCGGCCGCGTCTCCAGTCTACGAGCGCGCCTCCCGAAAGTCCACCTTCTTGTCGTTCCAAAACTTGATCTCGAAGAGCGAGTCCTGCGTGCAGCGGTATGGCAGCGGCATCGCTCGCGGCGCGGTCGGCATGCGGCAGTTCTCGAGGTGGCCCCAATAGCGGTCGCACGAGCAGGTGAGCGGGGGCATCACGAGCGCCGCGCCGAGCGCGCGACTCAGCGCGAGCAAGTCTCGCACGACCGCCCGCTGGATGGCGTCGAGCGCCATGTGCCGCTGCGGGGACCACTCCGGAAAGCGCCGCTCGACCGCCACACGCTGCGCCTGCGGGTCCGTCCGGCGAAGGGGCTGAGGTCCCGGGCCGGTGCCGCGGCGCTGCTTCCTTTGCCCCTGCGGCGCGCCTGCGAGTAGAGCGGCCCGACGAGGCGGAGGAAGGTGCCCTTGGAGTAGTAGTCGGGCGGGTCGACCGCCCACAGCGCCGCCTCCCTCGCGCGCTGCCGCTTGCCGTGCGGGTAGTCAGGCGTGTCCGAGTACTGGAAGGTGAAGTGGACGGTCAGCGGAGAGAGGCGGGGCAAGTCGTGCCCCGGCGCATTGTGCAGCCGCTGCATGAAGTACGTGTGTCCGCCCGTGAAGACGCGCAGCGGGAGCGTCGCCAGGCTGAAGCGCTGCGGCGCGCACCGCTCGCTCGGCAGGCACGGCGCGGCGCTCGCGAAGCCCTCCTTGGAGAGGAAGACGCCCCGCGTGGACGGGCTGATGCGGCCAAAGGCCTCCGGCCGGTGCAGCCCGTGCGCCGCTAGCGATGCGCGCCACGTCCTCATCCGCTCCGGCGAGGAAGTGACGGGCTCGATGCCGGCGTCGCGCACCATCGCCACAAAGATGAACTGGTCGTTTGTGTTCTCCGCCTCGCGCTTGGCGAGCATCGCCAGCCGCCAGGCCTGGGGGAGGGGGGCGGGCTGCGGCGGGGCGGGCGAGGGCGAGGGGCGCCGGGGCGCAGGGCGTGGAGCGGCGCCTGCAGGAAGGCCTTGGAGCCGTTGGTCGCCCGGAAGAGGACGACGCCAGTGTTGAGGTCGGTGCGGCGGCCCCAGCCGGCGCCGTGCGGCCACCGCTCGTAGCGGCCAAACGCGTCGTACTCCTCGTCGAGCTCGTCGGTCGACACGAGGACCTACCGGGGAGGGCTCCGCGAAGGTTCCGCGAGGAGGGCTCCTGCCGGCCGTCGAGCTGGTCAGTGGGCAGTAGGCACGTCCGCCATCGCGATGAGCTCCGCCTCGCGCAGCGGCGGCGAGTGCGGCACGCGGTAGGTCATCCAGCGCTCCCAGCCCGCGGAGAGCCAGACCACGTCGAGGTCCGAGATGAGCACGTCGTAGCCTACGAGGGCAGCGGTCTGGACATGTCCAGGATGCCCCCGCCAGCGAGGTCGGGAGAGGAGCAGGGCGTGACCGAGCGAGACGAGCTCCCACAGGAAGGCAGCCTTGACCAGGCCGAGCTCGAGGAAGGAGCTCTTGTGGTGCCGGTAGTACTTCCACTCCGCCGCGCCCTCCTGCACCACCGTCTTTGCCGCGGCCGACCGCTCATACGTCCACACGTCGAGCCCCTCCACGATCCCGAGCGCCGCGATGCCCTCTTTTGAGCAGGCCGCAAGCATCTGCGCGTCGGCCGCGCCCGCGACCGCCGGCTCGAGACCCGCGCGCCGCACGTAGTGCAGCCAGTTGCGCAGGAAGTCGAGCATCGCGCCGGAGCCGAAGGTAAAGTGGATCACGGGCGTCGTCGCGGGCCGCAGCGACCCAAAGAGCCTCCGCGCCGGCTCGTTGAGGCGGAGGTTTCCAAGGATCTCCGGCGCCAGAGGCGCCGTCACGGCCGCCGTAGCCGGGATGGCGGCAGTGCCGGCGCCGCCCGCCAGTCGAGGCAGCTTCTGTCCGCGCAGGACCGCCAAGCCAGTAGTCTCTTGGCAGCGCGTGGCGGTGATTACGTGGGCGAGGTAGAGTGTGACCGCGGCCGCCCCGATGAGCGCGAGAAGGGCTGTTCGGAGAGTCGGCATAGGATCTCCGGTCGACTCCAGTCGTCGCAGTGGCACACAAGAGTGGGACGCGCGAACAACACAATTGTGGGTTTTCTTTTCAAACTCATGTGAAGTGGACGGGGCCCTGAGCCGACCTAGCCCTAAACGGAATGGGGCGCCCAACACGTGCCCGGATTACTGTGCCTCCCCCGGGTGCAGCCTTCCGGTTCGTGAAGGGTCGGTGCGTGTCGTGACCCCCTGGAACACCCGTACCCCCGCACCATCTCCGTCGCTTGGTTCCATAACCTCTGCCACCACCGGGAGGCGGCCAGGGCTTCATAGACTCGGTCGAGAGACCCCAGATTGGCATCCATGCCTCTCTGGACAGGGTGGCCCGCCACAACGACCCCTGGAATTGCGACTCGCCGCTTTCCTCCCGCTGTGATTCTGTGTGAGCTCTGTGTCTTGATTTGCCAACAATATACCTACAACAAACTCATGTGGCTGGGTCGACCGCGCCCGAGTCAACAGGGCGGACGCGATGTGCTGGGCTCTCGATGTGTAAAACTCTGCCGTCCCTTCGGCGACGGCCCTGCCCGTGACAGACGGCGTCCCGACCGCCGGCCGGCCGCCGCCGCGCCTCCGGGGCGACGACGAGGGGCCCTCGCCGCCACGGCGCCGCCAGCGGCCATCGGCCGACCCCCCGGCTGCCCGAGTGCCATGGCTGCGGCTCTTCTCTCCGCCGGCGTAAAGCTCGGGCCTTGAGAGATGGTGATCCGGTCAGCCGCTTGCGCCTCCGGGACGACGTCGGGGGCTTCGCCGGCAAGGCGCCGCCAGTGGGGAAGACACCCCCCCCCTTCCCATCCCCCCCAGACTACCCCAAGTGTGCTATGGCTTCAACAACTTTGGCCACTGGCTTCATGACCACCCGGCCAGCCGTCATTGCACCTCCGGCGGACGATTTTTGGGGCTTCGCCGGCAAGGTGCCGCAGCGGGCATTGGCGCACTCTTTCCTGGTGGTTGCCATTGCTTCGCCTCATCGGCCGGCGAGAATCAAAGCACGAGCCGTGCTACCAGCGGAGCCGACATGGAGAAGGCATCGCGGCTTTGCACGCCCCCAACATTCCCCTGACAGCAGCGCCCCACGGCGTGGGCTGCGAGGTCACTCGGGGTGACCCAGGGGGCGGCGGGGGAGCACTCTCCCGCCGGAGTAGCGGGCGGTCTTCCCGCTACTCGCTCGTAGCCCACCACCTTCCCGACAGCCCCACCCGCTCGGTTTGTCCTCACTTCCCCCCCCTGCCCCGCCCCCCTTCAGGCAAGGCCCTGGCCACCAAAATCGCGCTCTGCGCTCCGGGAACGGGCAGCAGCGCGACGCAGTTCGAGAGCGAGCGGCGGCGGCGGCTTAGCACCAACCATGTCAGTGCAGGGGCTTGCTGCGTGGGCCCCCGCCACCGGACTCCGTCGGGCTTGCGTCTCCCTGCCCGCTGAGGGGAGCGCAGTGTGTGTGTCTATGTCTGTGTCTGTGTCTGTGTCCCTGTCGTGTCGTGTGTGTCGTGTGTGACTCTCGCAAGCTCGCCTCCCACTGTCCCACATCGTCCATCCATCGACCGAGTGCGAGCCATGCAGCGTGCTCGCAGTGCCGCTCGCAACGTCAGGGGTCGTCCGAGGATTCCTCTAGGGCCCCTGCACGAAAAAAGAAAGCGAACTAGTACTTTCTTTTGTTACGGTAAACGCAGGGAAAGAAGAAATACGAACCCGCCGGCACGGCGCTCACCTGTGTGCATGGCGCAAGACGCTGCTGCCACAAAGCTCCAGGCTCTCCATCGCGGCAACAGTAGCCGGCGGCTCCAGGAGGACAACCAGGAGGCGGGCTCTGCCCTCGAAGCGATGCTTGCGAGAGTGGATTCGAGTGCCGCAGACGCCACTCCTCGTGCAGAGGCGGACGCCGCCGCGCGGGTGCAGGCGCTCCACCGCGGCAACTCTGCGCGGCGGCTGCAGGCGGAGGAGCACGCCGCGGCGGCGGTCGTGCTCGAGGCGGGCGCCACGCGCGCGGCGGAGCGCAAGTCGGAGAATGAGCGGCGCTCGTCCGACGCTGCCGCCTCCGCCGCCGCCGCCGCCGCCGCGACCGCCGAGCTGGAGAGCGGGAAGGCGGACGCGGCCGCTGAGGTATCGTTGCTGGACTTGGATTTCGGCGCCACTCTGGTCCCTCCCGAGGCGAGCAGCGCGGCGCCACAGGCGGACTTGGCGCTGCTGCTCGAGCTCGACGCCGCGCCCGCCGCCGCCGCCATCCCTCTCCCGCCCGAGGAGGCGCCGCTGGCGGCAGCGGCGCCGGAGGCGGCGGCCGAGGCGGCGTCGGGCGCAGCGCCCACCGAGGCGGACGCCGCCGCGCGGGTGCAGGCGCTCCACCGCGGCAACTCTGCGCGGCGGCTGCAGGCGGAGGAGCACGCCGCGGCGGCGGTCGTGCTCGAGGCGGGCGCCACGCGCGCGGCGGAGCGCAAGTCGGAGAATGAGCGGCGCTCGTCCGACGCTGCCGCCTCCGCCGCCGCCGCCGCCGCCGCGACCGCCGAGCTGGAGAGCGGGAAGGCGGACGCGGCCGCTGAGGTATCGTTGCTGGACTTGGATTTCGGCGCCACTCTGGTCCCTCCCGAGGCGAGCAGCGCGGCGCCACAGGCGGACTTGGCGCTGCTGCTCGAGCTCGACGCCGCGCCCGCCGCCATCCCTCTCCCGCCCGAGGAGGCGCCGCTGGCGGCAGCGGCGCCGGAGGCGGCGGCCGAGGCGGCGTCGGGCGCAGCGCCCACCGAGGCGGACGCCGCCGCGCGGGTGCAGGCGCTCCACCGCGGCAACTCTGCGCGGCGGCTGCAGGCGGAGGAGCACGCCGCGGCGGCGGTCGTGCTCGAGGCGGGCGCCACGCGCGCGGCGGAGCGCAAGTCGGAGAATGAGCGGCGCTCGTCCGACGCCGCCGCCTCCGCCGCCGCCGCCGCCGCCGCGACCGAGTCGGAGGCCGCGGCGAAGCTGCAGGCGCTGCAGCGCGGTCGGTCGGCGAGGCGGCTGGCGGCAGAGGAGGTGGAGGATAAGGGTGAGTCGTCGGCAGAGCTGGCAGCGGTGCTGGCAGAATCGGAGTGGCTGGGGGGCGCTCCCGGCGAGGCGGTGGAGGAGGGGGAGGCGGGCGGTGCGGGGCCTCCGCCGCCGCAGTCCAACTTCTCCTCGGCGATGCTGATACAGATGGGCAGTGAGGAGGAGGCGCTTGCACCCCTTCCCGGGGGGTGGTCGCCTCTGCCTCGACCCGTCTGCCTGGACCACTCTCATGCCGCCGCGCCCTCGCAGGCCTTCGCCCCTTCTACCGCGGACGCCGACCTCTTCGGCTCCTCTGCAGACTTTGGCGCGCCGCCAAGCAGCGCACACGCCCTCCCCCCCCCCCCCCCTTCCCTTGTCGCCGGACCCCCCGCCCTACCCCCCCCCGCCCGCCTCTCTCTGCAGGGTCCGACGCCTTTGCCCCGCTCGGCAACGACGCAGCCACCAACGGAGGCAGCGACGCCGCGGCGGGCGGGCCGGACAAGCGCTCTGCGGAAGGCGTGCCGGCGGAGGCTCCTGCGGCGGAGTGGCCGGCCGGAGGGGGCATCCCCGCCACCTGGGAGAGGGGCGGCTGGGAGTCGACCTCGGACTCGCTGATGCGGCGCGGCTGCTCTCTCTCTCTCGAGGGCAGTGGTCCCTGCTGAGGGAGGATCAACCGTGACTGATGAACCCGCAGGCGAGGCTCCTCGTTCGAGGACGGCGTCTCGTGGAACGAGGCGGGGAGCCTCGCCCGCCCTCCTCCCTCTATCACACCTCCCCCGCCCCCGCCCCCGCCCCGTCCCCGCCCCGTCCCCTCCCTCCTCCACGCGCCCCCTCCCCGCCCCCTCCCCGCCCCCTCCCCGCCCCCTCCCCGCCCCCTCCCTCCCGCCAGGTTGGCGAGGAGCACGTCGGAGGGCTGGTGAGCCACCCCTCCGAGGGGGAAGAGGCCGCCTTTACGGACGCGCACACCACCACGGACGGGTTTGCGGACGCGCCCTTGACGGATGCCTTTGGGGGCGCGTCCGCGATGCACGCGTTTGGGGAGGCGCCCGCCGCGAACGGCAGCCTCTCGCCGTCGAGCAGAGCGTGGCGCGCCTTCGCGACGCGCTCACGACGTTGACGCCACGGCCGTAGGCGCGTCGCTCTCTGGCTTCGACGCGCCTCTCCCCGACCCGCGAGACGAGTCGCTGGCGGCGCCGCCGGCTGCCGACGAGCCCGCGGCCGCCCCCGCGGTGGCGTCCGTCGGCGAGGCGAGCTTTGGCGGCGGCGGCGGGGGAGGAGACGGCGACGCCGCCTTCGACGCGGTCTTCTCGCCGGAGGCGGCGCCGGCCGAGGCGGCAGCGCGTCCGCCCTCGCCGCCGCCGCTTCCCGCGGCGCCGCTTCGCATCGGGGCGCAGCGCCTAGCCCGCACCCTCCCGGCTGAGGCTGCTCCTCCCTTCTCCCGCGTGCAGGCCGAGGCCCATTTCGCAGCCTCGTTCGACGCGGACTTTGGCGGCGGCGACTCGGGCGGCCCGCGCTGGGCGGACGGCCGTAGGTGGGCGCGCCGCGGCCTGAGGCGGGGCGCGTGTCTCTGCCGCGTAGGCTTGGACGCCGCGTTTGGCGCCAGCGCGGCGGCGGACGCCGAGTTTGAGCACGCTGGGGTGGACGCGGCGGTGCGTGCCGAGGAGAATGTCGGGTGCGCGATCGCACGAGCACGTCTGGTGGCGCGGTCCACGCTGCGTGCCGAGGGTGAGAGCTGGCTGCTGCTGGCTGGTAGGTACGACCTCCCGCCCCCCGTGGCGACGGGCCGGGTCGCCCCCTCGACGGGCGAGGCGACCCGCTCGTCTGGCATTTCGGAGATCGACCTCAACTCGCCGGGCAAAGGCGGCGGAGCGGTCACCACCACGACGCAGCTCACACTGGCGTCCGACGTCGTCTTTTGCGGTTGGTCGCTCAAGCGCGGCCTCCTCTTCTCGGCGTCCAAGTTCTTTGTGCTCACGCGCAAAGCGCAGCTGCGCTGGTACGACCCGGCGCCCGGAGAGGGCGCGGTCAAGTACCGCGGCTCGATGGATTTGCGGCAGGGCGCCGCCATCCAGCGCGTGGGCAAGAACAGCGACTACAGCTTCCGGCTCGCGGCGGGCGGCAGCAGCATCCACCTCAACCCGCAGAGCGGCGAGGCGTACAAACTGTGGCAGGAGGGGCTGGTCGAGGCCCTGCTCGCGGGGGCGGCCTGAGGCAGGCTCAGGCCCGAGGAGCTTTGGGGGTGGTCAAGTGAGCGGGCGGCCAAAGCGCTCGCTTGCATTGAGAGCCAGAGAGTGTCCCTACTCGAGCGTATCTCTTGGGGGGCGCTGACCAGCGTCGCGTTTGTTTTGTGGTATAGCAAAACAACCGTGGCGCGGCACCTCTCACCTCCTCAGCAGCCTCCGGTCGGAGTTTTCGGTTCCGCGACGGTGTCGCACCACGGTCCAGCAGCACGCGGCATGTTGTGCGAGTATATGGGACAAAAGCGTCGAAAATGGGTCCCAGGGAGTGCACAGATCCAACAGGAGTGAGTAGGCTCGACGCCGTGCTCGCTGTGGGGCTGCAACAAACTCGCCGCCGAGCGTGCCACCGAAGGCGTCCCGTCGGAGGTGATGGAGTGTGAGACCTGAGGCTGCGGAGGTGACGCCTGAGGTACCGGCCCGTGCACAGCGACTCAGCCGGCGACCGCCACGGGCTCAGACGAGACTTGTCGACTCGTTCCGGCTCAGCTTCACCGTGGTCATCGGGCGTCTGTCGACGTCAGGACCACCCATACAGCTCGCGGGTTTGAGGTCGCAAGAGCCAAGATGGTGGCGTTTGGACATCCCAACCATCACACAAGACAGCCTGTAGGTGATGGCGGGACGGCGCAGTGTTTGTGGCACTCGGCAGTAGGCACCCGCGGCACGGCCCCGCTGTCGGCTCTCGCGGGCTGCAGAACCGGCCCCAGAAGGGGACGTTCCGGGCGAGTGTGGCAGCTCCTTCGCTAGTATGGGCACCCTCTATCATAGCACTACTGATCCTGGTCATTAGAGCTGCCAGGGATAGCGTCAGGAGCCGGTAGGAGTCAAAACCCCTCATATTTGAGACATCGTGTCCCATATACTCGCACAACATGCCACGCACGCGACCGCCCGCCCCCCGCGCGCCCGCCGCCGCCGACCATCCTCCCCCTCTGTGCAAAGTGAGCTGAGCTGTGAGCTGTGAGGGTCGGCCCGCGGGGCAGATGTATACCGAGGCGGTGCCCGGTGCCGAGCGAAGGCGGTGCCCGCAGGTTGGACCTTAAAGATAGCATTGTACTTTGTATGTATGTACAAAGAGAGAGCATTTGGGTTTGGGGAGGGCGCGAGTGGGAGACTTTTCGGCGGGCGAAATGCGGCGGCTCGGAGGCGTCCTCTTGTGGGACGACCTGTTGGGACGACCTGTGGGACGACCTGTGGCAGCGATCGATGCCGGCGCCGGACGCGGCGGCGAGGCACACGGGCGCCGGCGTGGCGCGTCGGCAGGCCCACCACGAGCGGATGCGCGACGAGCGCGCTCGGGAAGCGGCCACGGGCGACGCGGAGCTTCCGCCGGAGGACGACGCGGTCGAGATGGCGAGCGCCGCCCACGTGCTGGACAGCGTGGCGGAGGTGGGCCCGAACTACACCCTGCTGCGCAGCAAGGAGACGAAGGCGAAGCGGCGGAAGCGAAAGCGCGAGGATGCCAGGGCGGCCCTCGACGGCCACACTGTCCTGTCCACCGGATCGCGCCTCGAGATCTTCTGCGACAGTTTGAGCGGTGGTACCCTGCGACCGTCATGGCGCGGGAGGAGGACGGGGAGCGGACGGATCGTGCACGAGGTCGAGTACGACGGCTACCCGGATCGGCGTTGGTGGCACATGCTCGACGACGAGCGGTGGCGCGCCGTCCCAGAGCAGGCCGGCGCGGGCGCAGGCGGCGCTGCCGCGCAGACGGGGATGGGGATGCAGCGATGGACCGCGCGGACGGCGAGCAGGGCGCCCGTGCCGCGGGCGCCGCCGAGGCGGCCGAGGTGCGGCCGGCGCCGCCTCCTGTGCGCCGGGGTGTGCGGCGCAGCGCGCTGGCGGACGCCCTCGAGGCGGAGGATGACGAGCGGCAGGAGGAGGCCGCGCTTGGCGATGAGCGGCCGATGCTAGCGCCACACGGGCCGGCGCTGTCGGCGCACCTTCGGGTCGTGCGCCTGCGGCTGCGCGAGTTCCTGGCGACGCAGGCCGCGGCGGGGAAGAGCGTGCCGATGCAGCGGACGGCCCTCGGTCTGCACCCGACGATGCGGTGGACGATCCGCTTCGGCAAGTGGCTGGCGACGACGCGAATCACCGCGCCGAGGGCGAGCCGGTGGCACGCGACCGAGCGGGGCGACGCGCGGGACGAGGAGCCGACGGTGCGCACGGGGCGCGGCGAGAACACGGTCTACGTCGCGCTGCAGCACATGAAGAACCACGTGTGGCGCGAGATCTGGCCGGCGATGCCGGGCGACGCGAGGCAGTACTGGCGGCTGGTGACCAACCAGGTGATGTCGCTGTACGACGGCGGCGGCGGCGGGATAGAGGACGCGGCGGGAGCCGCCGGCCGGGCGGCGGGCCGCGAGGCGGCGCGGGAGAGCGCGTCGCACGGGCAGAGCGAGGCGGCGCAGCGGGCGGCGAGCGAGAGGGCGAGCGCCGAGGCGAGCCGGCGGACGATGGCCGAGCTGCGCGAGGCGACGACGAAGCCGTGCACGAGGCAGCACCTCTTCCAGGTGGGAGAGTACCAGATGCAGGACACGCAGCTGTTAGAGCCGTTTGAGGTGAACGTGGCCTTCATCATGAACGCCTACTTGTGCTTCGCGCGGCAGACCGGGTGCCGGCCGGGGATGGCGGTGAACGATGCGGCGGACGCGGCCGATTCGGACAGCCACTGGCGCGCGTCTCCCGCCGAGGGAGAGAGAGAGAGAGAGAGGCGAGTAGGACGGCGGCGTTGGCGTGCGATGGGGCGAGATGACACTGAGCCGTGCCGCTCGCCGGCAGGCACGAGCTGCCGCCGCTGACGATGGGCGACCTGTCCATCGCCGCGGATGAGTTGCTGCGGGGACGAGGCGGGGCGGGCGTGATGACCGAGGGCGACTTCGAGGCCCTCATCCGGATGGAGGTGACCTTCGCGCGCAAGAAGGGCGAGTACTACGCGTGCTACGAGTTTGGGACGGCGATCACGCCCGACTCGGACCAGATGATGCGCATCGGGACGCTGGCGATGGTGCGCCTGCTGCTGCGCTGCGGAAGCTTCAGGGCGTGCTACTCGAAGCTGAGCGAAGCGAGCGCAGCGGCGCTTCGTCGCAAGGTGGCCGAGCCGAGCGGGTTCGCCGGGCTCGAGCTGGAGGACACGCGCTACGAGACGCTGCCGGCGCTAGTGGCGTAAAAATACTGTAAGGCATATCGGTTCCCTGGGCGTTCACTAGCGCTCGCTTGCTTCGCATACGCTTTACTGTAGCGGCCACTCTTCATTCGGAATCGGATCGCTGGTTGAGAGAGATTTTTGAAAGCCTGACCCAGGCGCGAGAAACGAATCTGCGAGGCGCGGCCGCCCTGTGCGGCCCGATGGGGAGGAGTGGGGGCGGCGGACTATGGGTGGGTGGGGGGTGGGGGGGGGGGGGGGTGGGCTTCTTACTCTACACAGCCTCCCTTCCTCGTAACGAGGCCTCTCCAACCCACCATCCCAACCGCGCTTGGTCTCGGGGGACGCAGGGGTCACTCCCGCGCGACCTCGGGAACTAGCGGGGGCAGTTAGATCCCTGGCTGGGCGAGGGGGGAGTTGAGACGAGTACAACCACAATCCTCTCTCTCTCTCTCTCTCTCTCTCTCTCTCTCTCTCTCTCTCTCTCTCTCTCTCTCTCTCTCTCTCTCTCTCTCTCTCTCTCTCTCTCTCTCTCTCTCTCTCTCTCTCTCTCTCTCCCCCTCTCTCCCTCTCTCTCTCTCTCTCCCTCCCTCCCCCCCCCCCCCTCTCTCTCTCTGATTTAAGGTAGGGAGGCTTTAGGTTAGGTAGGAAGGTGAAGAACAGCCAGGCTCGGACTGGACACCAACGCGGTATGGTTGCACGCGAGACAGATGATGACGACACGCACGAGCGACACACAGACACAAACAGGCTCACAGGGAGGGGGAGAAAAAAAAACGCCTCCTCGTGAGACGAGACGCCGCCAACCAATCGCTTTCGGGCCGGCACGTACAAGAGCTCGGATAGTACACATATTCTGGCCTGCGATCCGTGGCGATGAGCTCGGATACTGCTACGCATTCTGGCTTGCGTCCCGCCACCTTCCTCTCCTACGCCGAGGTGCCCGCCTCGGGCGAGGCACAGCGCCGCCTCACGTTTCGCGAGCGACTCTTTGGCTTCTGCCACGGCCTTAACAAGTCAGATGCGCCTCGCAACCCGTTCCCGACAGCGTTGATTTTCGTTTACTTGGTCAAGTGTGTCCTCTACGTTCTCATCTTTTACGGCGCTGTCCGCGATCCGTCCCTCTCCCTCTCGGACGAGCGCAACGCCAAGCGCTGGATCGTGTACAACGTCCTCACAGACGCGATCGGGATGAACGCCACGAGGCAGCCTCTCGCTGCCGCCACCCTCCCTCAGTTCCCAGCGTGTCCTCGCAGCGGCCCGAGGCTGCCTCCCCCCTCCCTCTCTCAGCGTCCCGGCCTGTCTTCGCAGCGGCCCGATGGGCTTCCGATCCACCTTGTGGTTCTGCTTCGTGCCGCTCTATAACTTCCTCACGCCTGGCACCATCACCGGCCCTCTGGTGCCCGGCATCAAGGCCGTGCGCGGCCGCGCGCTGGTGGCTGGCTACATCGTCTACATCGCACTCCTGTGCCGCGCCATGCTCTCTCCTTCAATCGGCGCCGCGGAGGTGCTGCCGCCGCTCGCGCTTCTCGCCGTGATGGCGCCGTTCGACTTTGTGATCGCCGAGTGCTCGCGCGCCGAGCACTACGGCTACATGCTCTTTGCCCTCGCCTTCTCCGACTCGTGGCTCTTCGGCCTGCAGATCGTGCAGATCGGCCTGTGGACGGGCGCCGGCGTCTCCAAGCTCGGGCCGTGGTTCAAGTACACCGTCGTCAACATGAGCTGCAACTCGCCGCTCGCGCCGCTCATGCCCTCCTTCCTCCGCGCGCTGCACACCGGCTTCCCCACCGACATGCGGCCGTCGAGGCTCGCACGGGCGGCGAGCGCATTCGGCACGTGCGCCGAGATCTGCGTGGGGCCGCTGTGTGCGTTTGGCCCGACGCGCTACCTCGGCGTCGTCCTGGCGCTCGGCTTCCACTCCTTCATCTTCTTCCACCTGCCCTTCGCGAGCGTGCAGGAGTGGAACATCTTCTGCATGTGGGCGGCCGTCTACCTCTTTGGCGTGCACGAGTTCGCGTTGCCGCCGTCCGGCGCCGTCCACCCCGCACTCGCCACCGTCCTGCTGCTCGGCCTCGTCGTTGTCCCCGCTGTTGGGCAACTCTTCCCCGCACGCGTCCCCTTCCTGTTTGCCTTCCGGCCGTACGCGGGCAACTGGTGAACCCCCCGAGCCCCGTAACCCTAGCCACGGACGCACGCATGCCCCACAACCACCTCCTATTTTGCGGCAGGTTCTTCGCGTGGCACGTCGTCGAGACCAAGGCCTTGCCCAAGCTGCGGCGGCTCAAGACGGCGGAGAGCCTGCTCTTCGAGGAGAACGACCCCACGTCGCGCCTCGCGCAGCTGCCCTTCCTGAAGCGGCGCAACGCATACTGCTGCGACGCCGAGTATGCCTCGCAATTCATGCAGTATGGCCTCCCGGCGCAGCTGGTCGCCTTTCCCCACTACCGGCCGCTCGTCCCGATCGTGGAGCTGCTCGAGCAGCGGCGCGGCTGGGCGTCGGTGAGAGACGAAGCCGGCGTCGCCCACTCCCTCTGTCTCTCTCCACACCTCCCCACCCCGGCTGTGAAATAGGCGGACGCGTACCGCCTGCTCTACTCCATGCCCTTCTTGGCGCTCGTGCACGGCTGGAATCTCGCGGCGGGCTGGCACATGCGCGAGGGCGCGCCCTACTACCCGGCGCTGCAAGCCACGTGCGGCTTCGAGAAGGGCGAGTGCTTCGCGGTCGTCTTCAAGCCGACGGGCTTGCTGAGCCGCACTGCGGAGTGGTTCGTCGTCGACGTGGCCGACCAGGCCGTCGTCTTGCGCGGCAAGGCGCCGCTTTCGGAGCTGGAGGCGATGCAGCCGATTGAGATGGACGTCGACGCGCTGCGGCGGTTCGTCGTCGAGGACGACATGAAGAAGGAGCGCTAGACGCTCCCGCTCCCCGCGTTCGCTTGCCGCCGGTTTAGAGGCGTACCGAGCGACCGATTTAGAGGCGCACACCGCGCTGGGGTGCACCGTCGCAGCCATCCATCATGACACATGAGTCCTCGGGCGGCTCTATTCGCTATGTCGGCCCCTCACCCCCTTGGTCTCCCCCTGATCGGCCCCTTCGTTCGTCTTTGGTCTTGCTCATATCCTTGCTAACTGCGAAATTAAAAGCTGTAGCTGACGCCCCCAAATGCATATGCAAAAAATAAAAAAACCACGAGATTCGAGAGAACGAGATTCTCATCATGTCAAACAAACTTTAGTTTGTGCTAGTGAACTGTAGGAGAAGCGCGTCGAGCCTCGGCGCAGAGGGCAGCGCCTAGCGGGCGGGAACCCTTACCCCGCGCCCGCCGCTGCCCGCCGCTTTGTTTGTGCGCGGGACCTCCGAGCGACGAGGCTCCTGACACAGCTCCCGACTAGCGTCGGCTCCTGCTCAGACAGGCGCCAATCGACCAGTTCTCAAGCGACCCACCACCATCCCTCATCTACCGCAAACGAATCGCATTCGTCTCTTGCGAGTTCCTCTGCTCTGAGGTTCCAGAGAACGCGGGGTAACTCTGAGCTCCCTCCGCGTACGCTACGCTCCCTTCGGAGAGAGCCCCAGAGTCCTACCGCGCTCCGGATCCTCTTTAGCCATCTCTGAGAGTTTGAGTGACTGGCTAGAGACGACGACGACGATACAGGTTCACACCTCAAGAAGAGAAGAAATTACTGGTTGGTTTTTTCTCCCCGTGTGTGGGGGCCCGTAACATCTTTAGCTTGTGAGCCAGAAAAGGGTGGGTTGTTGCTTGTTGGTTGGTTGGATGGAAACACCGACAGCTTGGGCGCGTCCATGTATGGATGTCGCGAGGCTGGTGCTGCTGCTAGCTGCTGTTACCTCCGATCCACACGGGGTACTCCCGTGCTAGGACTGACAGCAAGGCTGCTCTACGATCAAATACAGCCAAACAAGCACTCAACAATACAGCCTAGTCTCCGGACGCCCCCGCCCGAGCGCCATTCTCTGTACGAAATTTTCGCTCCTGCCAGCGCCCACCGTGTCTCCCGCCGCGGATGCATCGCGTTTCGAGAACGGACTTCCGCTGCACCGCCTCGGTATAAAGAAGAAGCCTGCACCGGGCCGGGCCGGGCAATCAACAACGGGTAGGAAAGGCGGCCGGAAAAGAAACACAGTAGCGATCGCCGCTCTTCGGGCTCTCTCTCGCCGCAGTCTCTAATAAATAAACAAAGAGTTGAACAACAAATACAATAAAAATAAAGGGACACGCCAAACGAGGGGTGCCCGACCGGATGGGAGAAGGACAGAGTCCCCGGGTCCCCACCTGCAAGAAGGAACGATCTTTCTTGTGGTTTGGAATGACGATCGATCTGGGATGACACAACACACAAGGGAACGGGAGCGGGGAGCGCATCGCGACACGGAGGGGGGCTGGGCAGGGTTCACCCACATGACAGGGTCCCAGGGATTCCTCTCTCGTATAGGACTAGTACTATAGAAGTGGTCCCGTACCATGCGGAATCGACCCTATCCAGTGCTCAAGTGCTCAAGTGGTCCCACCCCTCCGATCGGTCTTGATCTTGACGAGCCAGGCGATGTCGACGTACTTCCAGCCCTCGGCGATGGTGCGCGTGCCCACGGAGGACAAGAACCGCAGTCGGCAAGGTAGCAATCAACAAAGGGGTGCGAAATGCGGCGGAAAAAAATACGCCGGTCGACGCATATCGAGTGCTTCTGGGCAGCCGCTGAAGAACGCCTCGGCGATGCCAGGCGAGCGCGCGACGCGCAAGCGCGCCTTCTACGAGGAGGCCTTCAAGGTGCGGGTGGTGGTGGACGCGCTCAAGCGGCCGGTCTCCAACCGCATCAAGCCGACGTGCGCGTGCTTCCCTGGCATCGAGCCGTGCCAGGTGTGCGCGCGCAGCGGTGATGGGGGCGGGCCGGGGGCGAGGGGCGGGGGTGAGGGGGGTGGGGGGAGGTCGGCTGCCGCGCGCCCGCAGCCTCGCCGCGCCCCACCCATTCCCGCGCGCGCGGCGCGGAGCAACCTTGAACGCAGCGCTCACGCACAACCCCCCCCTCCTGCAGCTGCGCAAGTGGATCCGCAACCTGGAGCCCAAGGCGCGCGCCGTCATGAACGGGGCCGAGTACGAGCCGCCCCCCGCCAAGACGCCGCGGGCCGCCCCGTCGTCCGCCAAGCGCCCGCGCGTGCAGCGCACGGAGCAGACAACAACGCAAGGCACTCTGGCGCGGCCGCCCAGCGCGGGCGTCGTGATGGCGCCGGCACCCGACCCGTGGCGCCTGTTCGCCGGCGATGCGGGCGACACGTCATCGCACGTCTTTGTGCCGCCCACCTTCGACTCGATCCCCGCCCTCGACGCGGCCTCCTCTCTCCTCTCGTCGCACCTCTCGTCGCAGTCGCTCGCGAGCGACGGCTCCGACCAGGCCTCGACGGTCGCGCTGGGCGTCTCGCCGCCGTCGTCGCCCGGCTGCGAGCGCGCCAACGCGCCGACCGGCGCGCACATTGTCCGGCGCCTCTCGGAGCTCCAGGAAGGCGCCGCCTTGGCGATGAAGCTCGATCAGCGCCAGCGCTTGGAGGCGAGCGGGTTCCCGCTCCTCTCCACCGAGGCGGCGGCGCCGATGCTCCTGCGGCGAGAGAGCTCCGACGAGACGGTGCGCACCGCGTCGGTGCCCCCCACGCTCGCCGAGGCGGTCGCCGTTTGCGGGAAGGGTTGGGGCGGCGGCGGCGGCGGCGGCGGCGGGGCACCGGGACTGGGACCGGTGATGGCTATGGCGGTGCCTATGCCGTCCTTTGCGATGCCGCGCGCCGCGGGGGTGCCCTGCGGCGCGGGGGCGCGCCGGTCGCCGCTCCCGGAGATGGCCTTTGGACGCGTCCTCAAAGATGTCGCGGCCCAGTTCGTCGGTCCCGCTCTGGTCGCCAAGGGTGCCGGCGCCGGGTGCGGCCTGCCAGGCCGCGTGCCGAGCCGCGTGGGCCTCCCGCCGGCCGCGGCTTTCGACGTCGTGCCGGCCTTCGCCGCCAAGAGCGCGGAGGAGCTGCTCTCCGACGACGGCTTCCTCGAGGAGATCGGTGCGGAGTCCAGGGGCTTCGTCGAAGATTGGTGCAGCCCGCCACCCGCCACCGCCGCCTTCGCCGCGAGGCCGCTCACCGCCCGACCGTACCCTCGCAGGCTTAGCGAGCTCTCCGTCGAGCTCACGATGAACAGCGCCGTCGCGCGATGAGACGGGCGACCTCGCCCCTCTCCCGCCACCGCCCCTCCGCCAGGCGGCTGCTCCAGGCCGCCGGGAGGGCGCTCTAGATGTACGTTTGCGCTGCCGGAGTACGCCGGCGCGCTTGTAAATTTGCTGCTCGATTGCTATTTGGGGTGCCGGTCGGGGCTCGCGAGATGGATTAGCTGTCCGCGATCGCCAGTCCCCTGCCGCTCTACGCTGCCGCCGCTCTACGCTGCTCGCACAACCCCCCTCCCCTTCCCCCTAATGGGCAGAGCTCCGCCACCCGCAGAGCCCTCCCTTGCCACACTTGTGTACACTTGACCACGGGGCCACGGGGCCAACCCCCAGGCCGCCCGCCCCTCCCGTTCCTCGCACGTTGAGAGTCAGACCTTGGACTAGCTGTCCGATGAGATGTCAGAGATTTGGCGCAGATGGCGGAGGACGACACGCGTAGCGTCCGAAGCTGCTAAGCCAAAGCGCGTGCTTCAGTGCGAGCGGATGCGGCTGTGCATGGCTGCATTTCGTCGTTCAAAAAACTTTGTAATGATGATTCATTCCTCAAAAAGAAGTGGACACCTTTTTCTTCATCATACGCGTCGACGACCACGTAGACGTGGCGCTCCAGCCTCCACACTCTCTCCAGACTCCACTCTCTCCAGCTACACCACGTCAACCAAGTGATGCAAGAACCAGATCCAGCATCCTCGATCCTGCTTCCTGCGGGAGGTGGGGGAGCGCAAGAGCGCCTTTTGAGTGGGGGATGTCGACGGTGGCGACGGTGCCGCTGCCGGCTGCCCACAGGCCTGTCCACCCACACGGCGCACGGCGCAGCGTCGGTCTCTTCTCCTAGATACCTGTTCTCAAGGGTCTCGTCTAGTCTTACGTCTATATACCGCTTCTGTCTAGCTAGGGAGCCGTGCAGGCCTGGGCCAGGGCCTTGCGCCTCTCGCCCAGAGCGCCCAGGCGCCCGCCCCGCAGCCTACGCATAGACGCCGCAGCGCCGAGGCGGGAGGGGCAGCGCAAGGGGAGCGAGTGGCACAAAATCCACAAATAATGCGCTGGAGGACGCGCAGAGCCGGATGCTCAGCTCGAGGCTCATCGCGTCGCCTGCTGCGCTCGCGGCCCGCCGCCACCTCCGCCGCTCTCGTGCATGCTGTCGAGGTAGGCGAGGATCGCGCCGCGGACCTCCTCGTCGTCGATCCCCAAGTAGTGCTTGAAGTCGCCCTGGGCGGCGTTGCGCATGTTTTGCGCGAGCAGGCGCGCCGCGGCGGGGACGTGAAGCAGGGTGTGGAGCGGGTCGACGTACGTGCGCACGGTGAAGAGCGCGTGGTCCGACGCCCCCCTCAGCCGGCGCACCGTCTGGTACTCGACCTTGAGCCACACCGCACGCCCGACGCCAACCTCGCCGATGCGCGCCATCATCCACTTGCCTGGCGTGTTGTGTGTGGCCTCGGGCGCGTAGCTCGCGCGGTGCGGGTAGCGGTCGGGCGTCGGCACGAGGGACGGCGACCAGGTGAGGCCAAAATTGGTCCGCCACGCGGGCGCAGACGCGCTCAGCTTGTCAAAGAAGCGGCCCACGGGCTTCCGCAGGTCGGACGGAAAGCGGTTCACGTTAGCGTGCACCTGCTCGCAAATTCGGGAAATTGATTAGCGTGCACCTGCTCTCACGTGAGCAGAGCAATTAATTCACGTTAGCGTGCACCTGCTCCAGGTCCATCCCCACCCGCTCGAGCACGCGGCCAAATGAAAACACGACAAAGGCCGCCTGCACGCGGTGTGCGCCACCCGGCTCGGCTCGCATCAGCACGAGGTCCTCCTGCAGCAGCAGCCCGGCGAGCTCCAGCGGCCGCATCTCTCGCCACTCATCGACGTCGTACTCGCAGCCGGCGCCCTCGACGTGCACTCGCAGCCGGCGGCCGTCGAGCGAGAAGGAGCGTGGGAACCTTCGCGGCAGATGCTCCAACACCATGTCGAGCACTTCGCGCTGCGCCGGAAGGCTGTCGCCGCCGTGCGTCGCGTCGGCTGAGCGCAGCGTCGCCTCGCGGCTCGCGTCCAGCGCGTGGTGCTTCAGCCGCAGGTGCTCGGAGAATGTCGCCGGCGCGTGCAGCAGCCAGTCACGCTCCACATCCAGCTTGTGAAGGCCTGGTAGTAAGCGGCCCTTCTCGTTGGCCGTCTGCGTTAGGCCAGCCGCCATCCACCGCGCTCCCTCGGGCCACTCGGCATGCCACGGCTCGACGAGAGCCGATCTTGCGAGCGTCGACTTTGCTGCCTTTGCTTTCGCTGCGGCGCGAGTCAGCCGCGACGGGCGGCGCAGCATGGTGGTAAAGAAACCTCGTGAGCTTCCGACAGCCTTGTTATTGAGAAGAAAATACCTCCTATTCACACAAAACCCCCCCCGGCCCCAAGACGCACAGCTCACACTTCACACAAAAACACAACCCCGGACCCGAGACGCACAAGCAAGCACAGACAGTCGAGAAGGGAGAGACCGCACAGTCCCCCCCCTCAGAAGCCAGCGCTGGGTAGGGTACCAGGTACCAGGAAGCAAAAACACAACGGACCCAAGACGCACAAGCAAGCACAGAGAGCTTCACACAAAAACACAAACGCGGACCGAAGACGCACAAGCACAGACAGCCTTCTCCCACCCCTCGTTTGGTGTGTCCGTTTTATTGATTTATTTAGCAGAGACAGTCGAGAAGGGAGAGACAGCAACGACAGTGAGAAGCCAGCGCTGGGCACCAGGAAGGCGCGCTTCACACAAAAACACAAACAAACACAACCCCGGACCCACGGTGCCACGACGGTCGACGAGCGGGCCAAACAAAACAAATCTCTCTGTGCGGTCCAAATGCTCTCTCTCACAGGGTCAGGCCATGCCCATGGCGCATAAATCGAGCGCATAAAAATGGACACCTCTACTGTGAGATGGGTACAAAGGAACAGGTGGTCAGGTCCCCGCCCGCCGTGCGATCTTAAATAAATAAATAAAACGGACACCTCTACTAGGAGATGGGTAAAAAGGAACAGGTCCCCGCCCTGCGGTCTTTGTGCAGGGTTCTTTGTGGGTGTGGTCGGCGACTAGCCGGGGTCGTCCTCCCGATGGGGGACTAGCACTAGCCGTCTTCCACATGGTCCCTCGGGTCCCTGCTGCTCCTAATCTCGTCGTACATCCTCCTGCTGATCTCAGCAACATCCTGCTCCCTCCCTCGTCTCGCCCTGCGCGTCTGCTCCGCCTCCCCGTCGTCTGCCCTGCGTCGTCTGGTGACGGGTCCTCCGTAGTCGGTCGAGGTCGCCGCCCTCCTCGTGCCTCTTCCCAACGTTTCCTCGGCGGCCGATGCCGTCTGCTCCGACTCCGCCGTCCCCGGGTCCGCCCTGCCCTCGTCTGCGCTAGCTTCTGTTTCGTCATCACTGGCGCCTCTCCTCTTCTTTCTCCTCTTCTTGTATGCTTTGTACATCGCGTCGATTCCTTTTCGCGTGAGCACCAGCCTGAAGCCCGCCCAGCAGCTGAACCGCTCCCTAAGTCGAAGGAGCATCATCAGTCTCACCCACTTCGCTCGCTGCCCACCGTCTCCGCTCCCTCCCGCTTGAGCCGCCGTCGCGGCCCTCGTTCGTCCCACTGGCTGCTGGCCTGTCCGCACGTTACCTCCGTTATCCCTCCTCCTCCGCGACTCCCTCAAGGCCGGCCGAGCCTCCTTCCACCCAGTGAAGAGCTTCCTCAGCCACTCGATGTGTTCCTCTCTCTTCATTATGCGCGCCGTAGCCTCATCATTGAGCTGGATCCACCTCTGCACCGCTCCCGTCGCCGCCTCGGCCACGACTTGCAAGTTCCTCGTGACCCCGGCGCCGAGGTCCCTCCGGCTCTTCTCCGAGAGATCATCTACCAGCGCCGGCAACACCCCCCCGACGGCTGGGGCTAGTGCATCGTACCCGTCCTCATCCAGCACCCTATAGCGTGAGCCCTCCAGCGCAGCGACATCTTTGTTGCAGGGTTCTTTGACTTTTTGTGGCGCATATCCACTAGCATATCCATGCACCATGGACTAGATGGACACGTATGCCGGTATGCGGTATGTCGTGCGTATGGGCGTTTTTTTGTTTTTCTTTTTCATCCGGCTTAGCCGTAAGCCGACGTCTCAGCCACCAAACAAATGCGCAGCCAAAGCCGTCTCATCGTCGAAGGCCGTGTGCATCTCTCTCTGTGGGGAGGAGGGCGGGGAGAGCCGCGCGCCGCCGACGCACTCGTGGTCGGCCCAGGCACCTACCGCGGACGAGTTGGCGAGCGAGCCGTGCGAGATGAACTCGTGGTCGATTTCTGGCGAGGTCACATGCACGAAGCCAACGAGGACGAACCGAGTGCCGCTCGTCACACGGGCGCCCTCGTGGAGCAGCTTGCCGCTGTGCGTCGTCAGGTCGCCGCACCCGCACCCGGGCAGCGCGAGCCGGCCCACCCCGTCGCACCGCCGGCACGTGGCAGCTGCCGCCCGCAAGCCGCCGCACGCGTCGCAGGCCGGGCCCAGGGAGTGGAAGCGGAGGCCGCCGCCCTCAAACTCACTCGGGTCCGAGAGGAGGATGGAGAAGGAGAGGAGGTTGCCATCGCGGTGTGGCGTCAGCCGGTCCTGCGCGCCCTGCTGGTACCGGACCACGAACAGGTCTCGCATCTGCAACTCGCAGAGCTCAAAGCCATAGTGCAGCGCCAACGTCGGCAGCACGACTCGCGCGACGAGCGGCTTGACCGCGCTGTGGAGCGCCGGCGCCGTCTCGCGCTCGACCGCAATGTCGGTGGTCGGGTGGTGCTTGTGCCGCCGCGTCGACCAGCCGTTTGCCGCCGCGTGCTCGAGCGCCAACGCGACGAGCGCTCTGGTCTCGTGCGGCTCAAGCAGGCGAAAGATGTGCACCGCCCACAGACTGGAGCGCGCAAAGGTGCCGGAGGGGTCGTCCGGCAGCCAGAGCGTACTGTGCGGCGTGAGGATCGGCCCGTCCCGAGGCGACAGCGTGTGCATGTCGTCGCAGCCCACATTCATGACTGTGTCTTCGCTCAGAGCAGCTGAACTTTTTGAATCACCCGCGGTGCCGCCGCACGCCGCCGCACGCGTCGCAGGGTTCCGACTCGCACCAAAACGCCCTACCTACCTATTGCGGGCGCCAATCGCCAGGCTCCGTGCCCAACCTACCTACCTAGGAATTCAGTCGCGCTATATACGCACTCGAACACGCACTAAATAGCGCACCAAGCTACACTGTATTCCCAGCTGGCGGGGCCACTTCTTATTTCCAACCGCGGCCGGCTGGCTACATTATGTGTGTGTAGGAATTCCGCATCTCCCTCTTAACCCACCTCTAACATCACAATAGGGAATTCCTATTCCCAGGCCAGCGAAGCGAAAAAATACCCGTTAGCCCTCTGTGAAACCCGTTAGTCTCGGCTGGCGTCCCAGCCGCAGGCGACTCGCCTGGCATGGCCCCGTTCCGGCTAACGCGCGGCCCGTCTCCCGCGCAAGCGAAGCGTTTTTTACTTTCACCCCCCCCCCCCCACCACCACCGCCACCTACCTACCTATTGCGGGGCCCTCTGGGGCGGTCAAAACCGGACCTACCTACCTATTGCATGGGGTCTAACCGTAGGTAACAGACCCCCTATCTGGGTAGGAAAAAGAAAGAAAGAAAACAGACACCCCAAGGGAGGGATGGGAGGACGGCACGCCGCCACCACACAGGGATTTTAAGGAGAGGTGTGTGGTGCGCTATCCGTCGCCCACCCTAGGGAGTCTGCCTCTTCCTATCTCTCTTCGCAGTATCTGGGTAGGAGCCGGAACCCAGGCTGCTCCGGGTTTCTTCTTTTCGAAGCTAGTTCGCGCGAAGTTCGCGGACTGATCGGAACAATATGCTGCCTCTCGCGCTCGCCTCGCTCTTCTCGCCCTCCGTCACCACGCTCCTCAACGGCGTGCGCATCGAGCACGCCTCCTGGAACAGCGGCTCGTCCGACGCGGTCCTGCTCCTCATGGGGCACAGCGCCACCATGACCTGGTGGCGGCATGGCGCGGAGCGGCTCCAGCGTGCCGGCCTGCGCGTCATCGCGCTCGACAACCGCGACTCGGGCCTCTCGCAGCGCTTCGACTCGGCGCTGCCAGATCCGGTCACCGCCACGCTGCCGGCAATCACCTGCGAGCACTCGCAGCCGGGGCCGACTCCCGACGGAGGCGGAGTGTGCGCCTACACGCTCGACGACCTCGCCGACGACGCTGTCGGCGTGCTCGACCACTATGGCGTGGAGCGGGCGCACGTCCTCGGCGCGTCGATGGGCGGCGTCGTCGCGCAGATCATCGCCTCGAGGCACGCGGCACGCTGCCGCTCGCTCTCGCTCGTCATGACTGCGGAGCGGATCGGCGAGGCGACGGCGGCGACGGCGGCGGCCTCCGACGGCGCCTTCATCGGCGCGCTCGGCGCCGCGACCCTCCCGCCGCCCCACCCGGGCATGACCAAGGACGAGTACCTCTCTTCGCGCGCGCGGCGCCCGCGGAGAGCCGCGAGTCGCCTTCTGCCGAGAGGGCGCGCTGCCGTGACGGGTCGCTGGTGCGTGTCAGGTACTGGGAGCTGATCCAGACGGACGAGGCGCACCCGGAGCGGTGCGCGGAGCTCGCCGCCGAGGCGGTCGAGATCGACACCGCCGACTTTGATCGCGGCGGCGTCGACTGGCACGGCCTCGGCGGCGCGAGGCAGACGCTCGCCATCATCGAGTGGGAGCGGCGGCGCACCGCCGAGCATGCGTCGGCGCTGCGCGGGCTGAAGATGCCGGCGCTCGTGCTGCACGGCAAGCACGACCCGCTGGTCGGCGTCGACGCGGGCCGAGGGCTCGCCGCCGCCACGGGTGCTCGCTTCGTCGAGTATGCGGGCGGGCACAACTTTGGTCACTCGGCGGCGGAGCGGTCTAAGGTGTGGGACGAGATCGTGGAGCACATCAAGGCGAGTCCGTGAGGAGCGCGCGAGGAACGAGGCAGCAGCCCGAGGTCCCTTCCCGCGCACATGATTGAGGCATACGCCATTTTATTCTTCCTCCCTGCGCGTGCATCAGTTGGTGTGTAGAGAGAGAGAGAACGTGAGAGCTGAGCGAGTTCCCCGTGTGCCATGCGTCACGTTGAGTCTGAGAGATGTCATTGTATCTATGGTCCGTCTTCATTTGTTGGTGTGTGTTGTCTGTGGATGTGTGGATGTGCGCGCACCCCGACCGCTGTGCCATCTCTCATTCTCTGTGACTGTGTCTTGTGTCTATCGTGTATGTGTGTCGGAATTATTTGTGTGTGTGACGCACGGTTGGCAGCACCAATGTGCAATGAAGGCAGTTCGCCGGCAGGCCGTCGCTAGCTCCATCGCTGCCGCCGCCGCCGCCGCTTTATCGGCCGCTGCGCCTCTCCAGCAGCGCATGCGGCATGGGGCATCGCGCGCCAGCCAGCATAGCCTCGGCCTGCGCCCTTCGAAGCAACAGCTCCTGGTCCGTGGCCAATGCGCGGCTGAAAGCCGACGACCCCGACCCCGCGACGCCTTCTCGGCTCGCCGCTCGCTCTGGAGCTGTATCGCCGTAGTTAGCATGGCGTTTTGAATGTATAAATCAGACATCTCCAGGAGAGATGGGCGACGCACGAACACAGAGGGACAGTGCGCACCCCGCCCCGCTCGCAGGGCGTGCAGCACACAGCAACACAAGACATATCTACGCTGTGCGCCTCCTCGGGATTTCTGGGGAGGTAGATGTGTGTGTGTGTGTGTGTGTGTGTGTGTGTGTGTGTGTGTGTGTGTGTGTGCTCGCTCGAGCGCGAGCGCGCGGGCGCTATGCGAGCCGCCCTGCCCGCGGCGCTGCTAGAGTTGCGCCGCGGGGAGGGCTCGGCGGCCGCTTATAGAGCTCGTCATCGCTCCCCTCGAAGAGGGAGGCTTCGTTGGACTCAAGGCGTGGGCCGCCATGGTAGGGGGAGCGGGCGAGGCCGCGCGCGAAGCTCGCCCAATCCTTCTTGGTGCTATTCACCTCGCCGCCGCCGCCGCCGTTTATGCTGCATCCGGCTTGCGAATTCTTTTCCTGGAAAGCCGCTCTCATGTGTGTGTATATGCCGCCGGCCTCCGTATCCCGCCCGCGGCGCGCATCCGCACAGAGGACCGCAGAGAAGATCAGCTCCTCACTCAAAGCAGAGTCCGGCGCGATCCCGGAGCGGGAGCCCAAGCCGGAGCGCAAGACGAAGAGGCCGGCAAGTGGCGACGCTGGACCCGTGCCGAAGGTCAAGCGAGAGAAGCCGAGCAGCGCACCCAAGAGCAGCGCGCCGAAGGTCAAGCAGGAGAAACCGAGCAGCGCACCCAAGAGCAGCGCGCCGAAGGTCAAGCAGGCGAAGCCGGGCAAGGCCAAGGCCTCCGCCGCACCAGCTGGCGGCGGCGGCGGCGGTGGCGACGTCCTGCTCGGGCACTTCATCTCAAAGTGCGTTGGCATCCAGCACTACCGCGGCAACGGCGTGCGGTACAACAAGGAGCCCCTCCAACTGCGGCGCGACCCAAACAACCCGTACGATTGCAATGCGGTCGCTGTGCACACCGTGGCGGGCAAGATGGTCGGGCACATGCAGCGGGTTGACGCGCTCGCCGTCGCGCGCGTGGCCGACGACTCGCGCATGCGCATCCGGATGGTTGCGCAGGTCGAGACGCGCGCGGGCCAGACCTACTCCTTCCCCCTCCGCGTCTCCTTCTTCGGCCCGTCCTCGGTGGCCGGCGCGGTCGCGACGCACCTCGCCTACACGGCGCCGAGCGCCAACCACTTTGGGCGGCAGCAGATGGGCGGCGGGATCGTGCTCATCGAGCCGAAGCCGCGCGGAGGCCGGGGCGGGTCGCGCGGCGGCGGCGGCGGCCGGGGCGGAGCGCGGAGCGGCGGAGCGGCCCGGAGCAGCAGCAGCAGCTCGGCGAGCGCCGCCGCGGCGGCACCGGCGGCACCGGCGGCGGAGCCGGAGCCGGAGGAGGACGAGGTCGAGTTTGCGGGGGAACGGACGTGGGAGGAGAGGAACGCGGAGCTGCTCAAGCACGCCATCGTGCTCGAGTGAGGCGGGGGCAGAGGTAGCCCCGCCCTAGCGCTCTTGTTCCGCGCCTCCGATTGGGTGAGGCGGCGGACCCGAGCCCTGGCCGTTCGGACGATGGCACAGCCGCAACCCGTCTAGGGGCCGCTTGCTTCCCGCACAGCGCATGTTGTGCTTGGACGCGGCGCCAGTTATACGTACGTGAAATCGCGCGCTGTCGCCGCTGATACCCGGGCTCCCGTCCGCGTGGGCCGGGCGCGCGTGCCGGCGCAACAGTGCTCAGTGGTCGCAGAAAAGAGAGGAGAGGGCGAGGGGATAACACATGCACATGACAACATGTATTTATACGTCGCGAACCGGAACGGAACGCGGAAAATTTGTCCATGCACTTAAAAAACCGTGCAAAAACGCGGGGCCCCGCGCGTCTTCTTTCTGTGAAAATTAATCGCGAGAGCTAAGCGCGAGAACCCCCCCGCGGCCGCGCCCCGGCGCCGCACAGACCATGTGAGATGTGTGTGCGTTATTCTTGTATGGTGTAAAGCCCCGGTGCGCGTAACAAGAGCATTTGTACGTTGCGCGGTTGCGGTTACGCACGTACAACCTCGTGGGGAGTATCGCGCCGGCTTGCGGTGATGTGAAGGCCAATCACGATCGACGTCCTGCTTCCTGGCCGGATGCCTCCCGCTCTCCATCCGGCACTCACTCCGCCAACACGGAGCGCACCGCCCGCGCAACGTACTCAATGTCGGCCGGCTTCATTGCCGCCATCGACATGCGGCCGTCGCGGGTGAGGTAGACGTGGTGCCTACAGGAAGAGCGCTTCCGAGAGGGGTCACGCAAGAGGTTCCGACGCCGCCGAAGTGCGGCGGAGACGTGTCGCCTCTCGCGCAGCGAATCCACGTGGCTCGCGCTCAGCCCCGTGTACGCAAACATGCCGATCTGGTCGACGACGTGGCCCCAATCGCCGCCGTCGGGCGAGGGCGCGCCCTCGGCGCGCAGCGCGTCCGCCAGCAGCACGCGCATGCGGTGCACGCGATTCGCCATCCCACGCAGCTCGCCGCGCCACTGCGCAAAGAGCGCCGCGTCGCCGAGTACCTGCCGGCGGGGGGAGAGGGGCGTGCTGCCTCCGGCGGGTGCCGAGACCGACGCTGTCGAGGGGGCGAGCGCCTCGGCCGCAAGGCGTGCGCCTACTCACCCGGCTGGAGGTGTGAGGACGCGCTGCTCGCACCCTCCCGCCGTTTGGCCCCCGCCGCGTGCGCCGTGCAGCGGCGGCGACGAGTAGGCGGGGCGCACGATGGTCTGCTTGACGGTGCTCAGCACCGCCTCCGCCTCTTCGCGCGACGCGCACACGAAGTTGACCGCGCCAATCCGCTCGCCGTATAGGCCGAGCGACTTCGCGTATGACTGGCACGCCACCGGGAGGACGCCCGCCGCCTCAAAGGCGCGCACCGAGGCGGCGTCGGCGTCGAGGTCGCCGCTCGCGTAGCCCTGCGGCGGCGGCAGGCGGCGGCGGGCTCGGCGACGGCGGCGGGCTCGGTGGCGGCGGCGGGCTCGGATGCGGCGGAGGGCTTGGAGGCGGTTGACGGGGATGGGCGTCGGTGGTTTGCTTGGCGGTGGCAAGTGTGTGGTGGCAGTGTGTGGCGTGTGGTGGCTGGCGGTGGCAGTGTGTGGGGGGGTTGGCGGTGGCAATGCGTGGCGGGTGGCTGGCCTGGTAGGCAGAGTCGAAGAGCGCGACAAGCCCGCGACCCGCGAAGAGCGCGGCCAGCTCCTGCCACTGCTCTCCGGATGGGTCGATTCCGGTCGGGTTGTGCGCGCAGGCGTGCAGCAGCACCTGTTGAGAAGTGAAGGACTCGTTCGCGCACGTCGTTCGGGGTCGGGGCTGTGCGCAGGCGTGCAGCAGCAACCACGGAGCCGCGAGGCAGGCCGCTGAGTGCGGCGCGCATGCCTGCACGGTCGAGAGGGAGGGGCGGGGCCGTGAAGACAGCACGCGCACTCGCTGCGTCTAGGAGGCGTGTCAAGGGTGTCTCCGCAGCGGGGTGCGTGCCGAGGAAGACGCGGTTCGGACTTCTCTCAAGGCGCGCGCACCGTCAAAGTCGAGTGTGGTGCCTGTGCGGTGGTCCAGGTAGGCGTAGTTCTGCACCTCGAGCCCGGCGCTCCTGAAGATGTGCCCGTGGTTCCCCCACGATGGGTCCGGCACGTGGATGGTCCGCGCGCCCGCCATCCGGCAGAGCGCGGCGGCGGCAACGCTCACAGCGCCGGTGCCGGAGAGGGTCTGCAGCGTGGCGCAGCGGCCCTCCGCCAGCGCAGCGCTCTCGTCGCCAAAGATGAGCTTCGCCGAAAGTGTGCGGAAGGTGGCATCGCCCTCGATCGGGAGGTACTCCTTGTCGATGGCGCCGCTGGCGAGCGCGGAGCTCACGCGCCTCTCCGCCTCCACCACCGACGGCAGGACAAGTGGCAGCCCCTCGTCCGTGCGGAAGGCTCCCTGCGCCAGGTTCACCTTTCGCGGAGCGGCGTCCGCCTTGAAGGCGGCGACGAGTCCGAGGATCGGGTCGGCCGGCACCGCCTGGGTGCCCTGCCACGCAGAGTGGCGAGAGGCGGTGGCGGCGGCAGCGGCGACCGTGCTGCGGGAGCGGGAGAGAAGGAGGTGGGAGCGATTCAGCACGTGCGACGACATCGGAAACACCGAAGGCCCACTATTTTTTTTTGACTACAAAAGACGCTGCGCTGGCGTCCGCGTCTTTTGGCTGCCGCTGTTTGCGCCCGTTTTGCTGTTCACAGCTAGGGACGGCCTCTGCGGCAAAGTCAAACCACCCCACCACCACCTACCTACAACCTCCCACCGCAGCAAACCTTCGGCTCCCGCTCAGTTCTCAGAGGCTCGCCGCGCCCTTGCGGCGCGCCGAGGCGGCGCCGAGGCCGGCGCCTTGCACCCGGCCCGCGGCCGGCACCGCCTCGCCCCACAACTGACCGCCCTGCGGCCCCTGCGCAGGCGTACCACAGGCGTCGCTCAAAAAGCGACGCCGGGTGTGGGCTGCTCCCTTGTGCCTTGACCCGTCACCCGCCGCGCCCTCGCCCGGCCGCCTCACCGCTCACGGAGCGCTCGGCTGCTCGCCGCCGCCGCCGCGCGTCCCGCGCCGCCACGCATGCCCCTTGCCCTGACGCGCGCGCTCTGCGGCAGAGCGCGCGTCTGTCACAGACGGAGCAGCGACCGCGCCAGCGGTCGCTGCTCCGCCCCTCCGTCACGCGCGCCGCGCGCGCGCTGCCGCCGCCGCCGCCGCCGCCCCCTCCTCGCGTCTTCCCCACCCCTACCCTCTGTTGCCGCGCGCTGCGCGCCCCCGCCCCCACCCCCGCCCCCGCCCCCGCCCCCGCCCCCGCCCCCAAGCGCCCCTTCCCCGGTAGGTGTGCGTAGAAAGTGGAACCAATCGAGAGGTGGCAGAAGCCGCCGTGTGTGACACATATTGCGGCACGTGAGTGATACAGTTACAGACGGCCCCGGCGCGCGCGCGCAGCGCAACAGGCGTTTTTTATGCAAACAGCAAACGGGACGGCCTGCGCAGCCTCTAACTATTTGTTTCTTTAACCTGCTGGGGTGAAACGGATGAGCGCGCCCTTTTCGGCGCCCTTACGCCCTTAAACCGGACCCTTTCCCCCCTCCCCCATTCCTCTTCTCCCTTTTTTTTTTCGAACGCCCTCGAAACAGAAGGTAGTTCTGAATTGTCACTGTCCGTGAGTGCGAGATAGGGCTAGCAGTAGGCAGCTGGCCTCTGAGGAGGGCGTCCATAGACACCTCACATGACCCCACACACGGTCTCGCCCGTGCCTTCGCTTGCGGCTGGCGGCGAGATTGCTAGATAGATAGAGGCGGAGCAAGCCTGCTCCAGCCTCACATGTTACTTCCTGTTGTCTGTTGTTTGTTGTGCCCTTGTTTGTTCTCTTGGCACCTTGGAGTGCTGGGGGGGGCGACAGGGAGGATGTGGCCTTGAGTTACGTGTACGCCAACTCAGGGTGTGTGGCAGCCAGCTGGCTGTGTGTGTGTCTTGTGAGCCTGTTTGTGTCTGTGTGTCGCTCGTGTGCGTGTCGTCATCATCTGTCTGTCTAGCCGGTCCACCCATACCGCGTTGGTGTCCACTGTCCAGTCCGAGCCTGGCTGTTCTTCACCTTTCTACCAACCTAGAGAAAAGAATTGTTGGTTTTCTAAAATCTCTCTCTCCCAACCTAAGCTGCCGAGCCCAAATCACTGTGAGAGTCGTGATTTCTTGTTGGTTAATAAAAATCTCTCTCTCAACAACCTAGTTCTAGCAGATCAAGACACAGACGACAAAACAAAACTCCAGGCACAGCTGCCGACCGAGATGGGCGGGTGCAACATCGATACCGCCTTCTCGCGAGCCGACAGCGACTTCTCCATGTCGCTCCTCAAGAACTGGCGCACCCTCGTCGCCCACAACCCCGACTTCGCCCTCGACGAGGCAGGTGCGTCCAAGTACCCCGCCATCGCCGCAGCTATCGCCACCTACGAGTCCGCCCTCTCGGACTGGAAGGAGGTGTGCGAGAAGCGCACCGCCCGCGACAAAAACAAGTACTACACCGTCCGCGGCGGCTACCTGACTGAGTTCTACCCCAAGAGCGTCCCGCTCCCCGAGCCCGAGTCCCTTCCAGCTACCGACGCGATTCTCAATGGCACTTGCAAATCCACGTACCCGCGGCCGCGGGCGCTCGCTGCCATCAAGAATCACAAGGACTGGTTCGCGCACCAGGAGCTCGTCAAGGCGCGGGATGTACACGTCAAGAACTACCCGTCCCTCGGAGACAGCGCCGTCAACAACCGCGAAGCCGCGCGCCTCGTCTCCGCCTCAACGCCTTTCGCCGGCAAGGCCTTCGATGTCCGTGTCGACGGTACGTACGCCACCGCCCTCTCCTCCGACACCCTCCAGGACGAGCTCCAGCGGAAGCTCGGCCTTTGGCTCTCCGCGGCGCTTCCCACCCTTCGGGTCGCGCTCGAGCGGGGCATGCCAGTCGATTTCGTCGGCGACTACCTTTACAACAAGGCCCACCACCGGCGGCCCCACGACGGCGTCCTCGCCGCCTGGGCGGACGCGATGCGCGCCCCGGCCAACGCGCCGGTCGTGCACGGCGACAAGGAGAAACCAGAGCTCACCCGGCAGTACAATGAGGGGTACAAGGTCGACCTCGCAGAACCCCATACGGGGCCAGGAGGATGCGATGAAGTAAATGAAGTCAAGCTCTGGACGCCCCTCCTCAAGACCTCCTCGACGGGCGTTGGCAACGCCTCGAGTGGCGGCACGCCCGCCTCCACTCCTACGCCTTCGGCAACACCGAGGAGAAGGCCCGCCGCCTGAACATGGGCTGCAAGGCGCGCGGGCAGCCCAGCCAACCCTTCTCCCACAAGACCGGCCACGGCTACGTCAAGGCGCATCGCGGTTTCTACCACGACGCGATCTTTGTCAAGCGCAACAACTTCAACCTGCTGCTCCACGAGACGTTCGGCGGCGGCTTCTCGCCCACCGCCGTTCTCAAGCTGCGCCGCCTCGCGCGCAAAGTCGCGCGCGGCAGCGTTGACCGCACGGCCTACTCGCCCAAGTACTCGCTCTCTTTTATGTCCCACCATGCAGAGCGCATCTCTCTCTCTGTTGTGCGAGGCGTGAACCGCGCCATTCGCTCTCACCTGGCAACCCTGTCTGCACGTCTCGCGCGCGCGTGAACAGGGCTCCAGGCCCCAAATTACGTGTGAGTGTTAGAGTTGTTTGGTATTTTTAAGGTATGTATGTAACTAGTGAGAGGACTCGAGATTGGTTCGAGATTGGGGCAGACTTTTCGGCGGGCGAAATGCGGCGGCTCGGAGGCGTCCTCTTGTGGGACGACCTGTTGGTACGACCTGTGGGACGACCTGTGGCAGCGACCGATGCCGTCACCGGACGCGGCGACGAGGCACACGGGCGCCGGCGTGGCGCGTCGGCAGGCCCACCACGAGCGGATGCGCGACGAGCGCGCTCGGGAAGCGGCCGCGGGCGACGCGGAGCTTCCGCCGGAGGACGACGCGGTCGAGATGGCGAGCGCCGCCCAGCTGCTGGACAGCGTGGCGGAGGTGGGCCCGAACTACACCCTGCTGCGCAGCAAGGAGACGAAGGCGAAGCGGCGGAAGCGACAGCGCGAGGATGCCAGGGCGGCGCTCGACGGCCACACTGTCCTGTCCACCGGATCGCGCCTCGAGATCTTCTGCGACAGTGAGCGGTGGTACCCTGCGACCGTCATGGCGCGGGAGGAGGACGGGGACGGACGGATCGCGCACCAGGTCGAGTACGACGGCTACCCGGATCGGCGGTGGTGGCACATGCTGGACGATATGGGCCAATTGCTAAAATCTCTCAGACGACAGACAGAGCGCACACAAAGGAGCAATATATCTCTCTCTCTCAAAGGAGAAAGCGGCGAGTCGCCATTCCAGGGGTCGTTGTGGCTGCAACCCTGGAAGAAGAGAATGATGAAAGTGTTGTTGATTTTCAACCTGGTTCTTAAAGCATCCAAAACTTTCCAGGGCTTCCGCAAGCGCCGCCGTGACTCGATTGCCTTACTCCTTTCTGCCAGCATGACGTTCCAGTTCCTCCTGCTCGCGCTCCCCATCACGGCGGCCGTTCCGCAGCCTCTCACTTCGGTCGACGTCGAAAAGTACGTGGGACGTTGGTACCAGGTCCGTGCTGACAGCCGCTCACGGCCGACCAGACCCCTCCACTGGACGCCCGCCCCGCCCACCTCGCCCCCACCTTCACCGCTCTCCTCGCCACCACCGCCCTCGCCAAACCCGCAGACCTATGCCAGCGCCACGGTCAAGTTCACGTTCGAGCTGGGCGGCAACTGCGTCACCGCCGACTACGCGGCCACTTCTGCGCCCGGCGTTGTATCGGTCCTCAACACTGTGCGGCTGTTCCCAAACCTCGCGTACTGGTTCCCACGCATATTCACGGGCGTCAAGATCAACGGCTTCGCTGCGCAGAGCCCCGACACCGCAGGGGCGCTCAGCGTCGCGCTCGGACCCCTCGTTGGTGGTGCCGCGGACCAGCGCTTCTCCGATCCGGGCAACTACTGGATCGTCAAGCTCGGCGCTGTTGTCGACGGCAAGTACGACTACGCCATCGTCTCGGAGGGATCCATGAGCCAGCTCTACGTCCTGGTGAGGAATGTCGAGCGCTTTCGGGCCAACGACGAGACCGAGGTGCTGGGCTGGCTCGAGGAGCAAGGCTTCACGTCGCCCCTCAGCAAGCCGCTCCCGACCAACCAGGACGGCTGCAACTACGAGGTTTATGATGCCTGAGACGGGTGTCGGTTGGCGTAGCACCATTTTGCGCGGCTCTGTCGTGTGGATGTGGGGGGTGTTGTCCGCGGGGCCCCGGGGCCGCGCGGGCGCGCATGCGGCGCATGTTCCGGGAAGACGATTGACGTACACAGAGAACACGTGCCCGCATGGAGTGGGGGGAGGCGCGGCGGCGTGGTGAGACGTTGCGAGACGAAGTCGGAGTACGCCTCAGTACGGAGAGCCAGAGAGTGTACACACACAAAAAAAGAGAGGTGTGTTTTACCTGTGAGGAAATCGCTCACCTCGCGTCTGGTTGTCCACAAGATCTCAAACGCGCGCGAATCGCACCAAAGGAGAATGCGCCGTGTATCTCACTCACAATGGACACCTGCCTAGCGTCGCAGGCGGAGCGGACCTCCCTCCCCCGGTCCGTGGGCGCTCCAGCCCGACCCGCCGGTGCGGGTACGCCGGGTGGTCGACGCCCTCGCCTGGGACGTGCACGTGCCAGAACTCGAGGGCGACAGCGAGGCGCGTGCCCGCCGTGAGCGCACCGACCGCGTGCGGCGTGTGCGAGCGGTAGACGAGGAGCTCGTGCTGCCGCGCGTGCGCCGCGTGCATCTGGCCGTGGGCGAGGTGGTAGAGCTCTCCTCCGGAGAAGTTTGCTGGGTCGGAGAGGAGCAGGAGGGCGGTGACGGCGGACTGCTCGTCCGTGTGCCAGCCGAGGGAGAGGGCGGCGCCCGCGTGCTGCGCGCCGCTCGAGTAGTTGAGCAGCTCGATGGTGCGCGGCACCAACGTGGCCGCATGCACCCTTCGCCAGCCGCTCTGCGCATCGGCTCGGACGACGAGCGCCCTCAACCTCGGGTAGAGGCGCGCGGTGAGCGGGTCGGTGGTGAAGCGGCTCTGCAGGTACGTGGCCCGCTGCCCGCCGAGAGGGCTCGACTGCCCGCGCGGCAGCGACCCAAAGTTGCGGTCCTCGACGAAGCTCGGATCCTCCCCGATGGAGGCGGCGAGGGACAGGATGGCGCGCACGTCGTCGTCGTCAATCGCGTCGGGGAAACGTGCGACGTGGCCGCCGGCCGCCTCGCCCTTTGCCGGCTCGCCGACGGCGAGGTCGGCGACGCAGAGGCAACGGGAGAAGAAGCACGAGGCCAGAGCGCGCGCCTCCGGCCGAGCAATGCCCTCCGGGCGCAGCGTCGCCACGTCCACCACCGAGAGGAGATCTCCCACCACCTTTGTCCACTCGCCGCGGCAAGCGGGCACGAGGGCACAGGCGCGCAGCGGCGCGCCGCAGCGCTCGACAAAGCACTCGTGGGCGGCACCCATTGTGTGGTTCTGGACGGCTCCTTCGGAGCGCGGGCGCACACACTCAATGTCGAGCCCTTCCGCGTATGCGCCGCGGGGTGGGCTCTCGTTGTTGAAGATCCAGTGCCGCCCGGCGAATGCTGTGGCGAGGCTGCTGACGGCAGCGCCGCTGCTCTTCACCGCCCAGCAAGCCTCCTCGCTGCCGCACACGTCGCGCAGGGTGAGCTTGGCTGGCGCAATTGTGTGGGAGCTCGAGCAAAGCAGTAGCTTCCGATAGACCATGGCGGCGAGGAGAGCGGCAACAGCAACCGCGAGGCCGAGCCACGACGTTGGCTGCATGGGTCGGGTGATATTGGCCGAGGTGAGGCTCCTAACAAGAGAAATCCACCGCGCGACCCGTGTTTACCCTATCGCCCCCCTCGGAGTTGCGCAAGGCGAAAGAAGCCGCGAGAACAAGGGACCGGCAGGCGGCGGCGTCGCAGGACGAGGCAGAAGAGAACGACGCGACAGAGGAGGAAGTGACAAGGGAGAGACCGACGAGAGTGGGACGGCCGCGAGGTGGCATGAAGGTTGCAGCGAGAAGCGGCGAGAGACTGCGAAAAGAGATACGAAGAGGCAGACTCCCCAGGGTGGGCGACGGCTAGCGCACCACACTCCTCTCCTTAAAATCCCTGTGTGGTGGCGGCGTGCCGTTCTCCCATCCCTCCCTTGGGTTGTGTGTTTTCTTTCTTTCTTTCTTTCCTATCGCCCCCCTTCCCTGCGAACGCGCACCCTCCAGGGTTAGGGCTCTCTAGCCCGTAACCCGATGCCGATCATCCGGCCCGCTGGGTGCGCTTCTCAGCTCCCCGGCCCTGGATGTGAGGTTGCCGACTGCACTCCAAGTGCTCCAAGTGCCGAGCAAAAAAAACGATGCGCGCCCCAGTCACGTTCCCCTCCCTGATCGTCCTTCCACGATCCTGATCGTGCAGGTGGGGACCTTGTCCTCCTCCCGTTTGGTTTGTCTGTTTTCTATAGGTTTTATATACACGCGACGGGGTGGGCGACGGCCGACGCTAGGAATTCACCGCCACCGCCACCGCCGCCGCCGCCACAGTCGCCGCCACCGTCCTCGCCGTCGCCGCGGCCTCCATCCCCATCGCGCAACGGTGAACACGCTCCCAAGCTAGGAATTCTCGACAGTGCCTCCGCACGCCCGGATCTGAGAGCGGCCTCGTCGCCGGGAACCCGCCCGCCGTCGGCAGCGTACGCGAGAGGTCAAACGACGCGGCGTCTTGAAACGTCGGCTCCTCGTTAGCCTGCTCCTTGGCTAGCATCCACTGCATCACCTTGTTCTCGCGGGAGGCAACCCCGAAAGTCGAGCCGACCGACTTCATCAGCGCCTGCCCGGACGCGTCCTCGTTCCGCACGTAGTCACCGTGGATTTTATCCCCGCTCGTGCCTCGCGCCCATCGCGCCTGATGCTTGGCCATCGTCTGGGTCATCCCCTCCTCCTGTTCAGCGTACGTCGCCGCCGTCGTCCGGAAGCAGCGCGCGCTGACCTCATATTTTTGCAGCGGCCGCGCGAGCCGATCTTGCCGCGCGGCGCGCGCCTCGTTCATCACGCCGATCTTGCCGCGCAGCTCCTTCGTGACCTGGTCCATCGGCATCGGCGCAGACGAGTCGCTCCTCGCCCGAAACGCTGGGCCCGTCGTAAGCTCGTTGAACCTCAGGTGGTACGCCAGGTAGCACGCCGGGCACATGAAGGCACCGTGAAAGTGCCCGTCGCCGTCTAGGCGTCTAGCACAATCTCGGGCGCCGTGCTCGTCCCGCCGCACCCGAGCCGGTGCGCCGTCCGTCGCACAACTCCCGAGCTGAACTCGTCTGCCTTCGAGATCACAAACAGGATGTGCAGCAGCTCGATGCCTTGCATCTCCACAAATGCCAAGCACTCCACGTCGAGGAAAAACCACTCGTTTGGCCGCATCCAGAACGCCAGCCCCAGCGCCAACACGGCGGCGAAGGTCACGTCCCCCGCATTCGTCACCGACAGGGTCGACATCAGCGACGCCACGGTCACCGGGCACAGCGCCGCCGCCTTGTAGGGCCGGTTTGAATCCAGCCGCACGTTGCACACCTTCCTCATCGCCTTGATCATCACCTTCCACTCCGACTACTCCGGGTCGTCCTGCGGCGCCAGCACATTGTGAGCGCGCGACCAGCCGCTCAGCCCGTCAAAAAAGACCGAGAGATCGTCTTCATCGTGAAGTTAGTTGTCCTTCCCGCCCGACGGCTTCTTCTTCGAGTGCGGCACCCTCATCCCTCGTGCAGCGAACGACGCCGACCCGTCCTCGAAGTCGCACACAAACCCTCCCATCAGCACCAGTCCGTTGGCAACCACATCGCCAGGTACTCGAGTAGAGCACCACCAGCTTCGGTTGGACAGGAATGCCTTCCCTCCGCTCCCATCCAAAGGCAAGTTGTGCCGCCAGCCGCACGACGGATAGAGGCACTGCACAAAGGTGGCAAATGTGGCCAGCCACGACACAAACTGCGGGTAGTTCGACCTCGCCTTCGACGAGATGGCCAGAGCATGCCCTGCTTCAACGCCACGTCATTCACCAGCCCCGCGTGCGCGTCCGTCACCGTGAGTCCTTCTTGTACATCTCGATTGCCGACGCCACCACCATCTCCAGGCTCTCCACAACCTGCGCGGCAGTGCCCGCGCCGGTCTCACTGGGTCTTCCGCTGCTCGCGCCGCTGCACCATCTTCCAATCTTTGCCCCCGTGTCGAGAATCGAAGATGCTCGCGACCATGGTGGTGGTGCCCTTCACCGGCGCTCCCGCGACCTCGTTCGCCTTGATGGCCGCCTCGTCGAAGGCTCCCCGCTCCTTCGCGGCCTGCTGCGCCCGCACCACCTCCACCGCCTCTCTCGAGCCACGAACGCACCGCCGCTTCGTCGCACTTATACACCGCGTCCACATGCGGCGCCTCTGTGGCTGCGGCGCGCTGGACGACATATGTGTGTATACACATAGGAATTCTCCTCATTGCAGGAGCCGCAGATGAGCCGGCCGTCGCCGCTCGCGCCATCGCATCTCTGTCTGCTCTGCACGTGACTGTCGCAGGGCCTTCGCCACGGGCTTGCAGTCCTCGTCCTTCGGCAGCATCGATACCTCCACACCCACGCTCTCCTCCACTTCCGAGTCAGAGAGGGGCTGCGACCACGACATCAAGGCCGTTCCGCAGAGCACACCGAGAGGGACCGGTCGCGCGCAGCGCCGGTGCGGCCGCCGCATGCAGCCTCCGCGGAGGCTGCATGCGGCGGCCACTTCCCGTCGGTCTTTCGCCGCGCTCCGGCCGCTCCTTGGCTCCTGGCCGTCTCTTCCGAGCAGCTTTGCACGCCCCCAACATCCCCTGACAGCAGCGCCTCGCGGCGTGGGCTGCGAGGTCACTCGGGGTGACCCAGGGGGTGGCGGGGGAGCACTCTTCCGCCGGAGTATCGACGGTCTTCCCGCTACTCGCTCGTACTTGAGGTGCATCCACGCCCGCCCACCACCTTCCCGGCAGCCCCACCCGCTCGCTGACGTCCTCACTTCTCCCCCTGCCCCGCCCCCCCCCTTTCAGGCGAGGCCCTGGCCACCAAACTCGCGCTCGTCGCTCCGGGAACGGGCAGCAGCGCGACGCTCTTCGAGAGCGAGCGGCGGCGGCGGCTCAGCACCAACCTTCGCAACGCAGGGGCTGGCTGCGTGGGCCCCCACCGCCGCCGGACTGCGTCAGGCTCGCGTCTCCCTGCCCGCGCGGGAGCTGAGGGGAGCGCAGTGTGTGTCTGTGTCTGTGTGTGTGTGTGTGTGTGTGTGTGTGTGTGTGTGTGTGTCGTGTGTAACTCTCGCACTAGCTCTCGCCCTCTGCCCTCTCGCAAGCCTGGCCTCCGCCCGGCGGCCCGCACGCTCGACAGAACCCGGACGACGTGCGTGTTTCCTTCTCTACGAAAACACACACTCGTCACTCCCACCCAGTCAGTCAGCGCCATCGAGAACAAGACTTTGGCGAGCCAACGCAGCCGAGAGATAAACTCTCCGCAAGAGAGCCTAGAGCGGTGCCAGGCCGCACAGCGCGAACTCGCCGTACTGAGCCTAGCGCAGCGCGAACTCGCCGTCTGAGCCTAGCGCAGCGCGAACGAACTCGATGCTGTTCGCTGCGCAATGCCCGACTTCCTTTCTCTTCCGGTTCCTCCATCACCTCGCTCGAGGCGCTCCCTCGCACAATGTCCTACGTGCGCACCGACAACTCCGACGACCTCACCGGCAGTCCAATGGGTATTCCCGTGGGAACTCCCCATTCCCACGCGCAATCCCACGCCACCATCGGCGAGGCGCTGCGCTTCGCGGGAGGCTTCGGCCGCTTCCAGTGGCGCGTGCTCGGCGCGACGATATTCGTGTGGCAATGCAACTGCTTCTGCGCGCTCCTCCCGGTGCTGCTGCTGCCGCGGCTAGAGACCGAGTGGGCGCTCAGCGACGCCGACCTCGCCCTCGTCAACTCGGCATACTTTGTGGGCCAGTTCTGGGGCCAGCTCCTCGTCGGCCCGGCGAGCGACCGCTTTGGCCGGCGCGCTTGCGTCTGCCTGCTCGTCCCGGCTTCGTACCTCTCGGGCCTCGCCCACTTTGCGTGCGGTCAGCTCAAACAGCTCGTCGCCGTGCGCGCGGTGAGTGGCGCTGTCTCCGGCGGCATGGTCATCGCGGTGAGCGTCGTCGCGATGGAACTGTGCCCCGCGGACAGGCGAGCTTTCGTCACCTCTGTCGGCTTCGCCGTCGGGTGGGTCGGCGGGCTCCTCCTCCTCGTCGGCGTCGACTGGCTCGCCGCCGACAGGCCGTGGCAGTGGCTCGCTGTCGCCGGCCTCGTCCCGACGCCGCTCGCTCTTGCGTACCTACCCGAATCGCCACACTTCCTGCTGGCCGCCGGCCGCGCGGACGCCGCGCTCGCCGCGCTGCGCCGCATCGCGCGCGTCAACGGCGCTTCCCTCGGCGAGATGTTTCTCGTCAAGGAGCGCGAGCCGGGCGGGGGCGGAGGCGGAGGCGGAGGCGGAGGCGAGGGCGAGGGCGGCGGCGTGCAGGCGAGCATAAGCCCGCTGGCGCTGGCGCCGCAGCTGGCGCTTTCGGGCTTCGCTTGGTGCGCCTCGACGATAGCCTACTACGGCATCGTGCTGTGGCCAATCTCGCTCGGCGACGGCTTGCGGCTCCAGACGACTCTCGGCGCGCTCATCGAGCTCCCCGTCTACGTGGCGGTGCCGCTCCTGAGCAGGCGGCTCGGGCCGCGCATCACTTGGGTAATCTTCCTCGCCTTCGCCGCCGCCGTCTGGTCCTCGCTCGCCGTCATCGGGGGCGGCGGCGCCGCCGGAACGGCCATGCTGCTCGCCGCGCGCCTTGCGGGCACCGGCGCGACGACCATCTGCTACGTCGCGAGCAACGACGCCTTCCCGACGGCAGCGCGCGGCTTCGGCGTGGCCGTCGCCTCCTGCTGCGGCCGGGTGGGGTCGGTGCTCGCGCCGCTCATCGTGAACCTCATGCCGGAAGAGGGCGGCTCGCGGATGGCCGCCCTCGCGACGCTCGCGGGAGGGGGCGCCCTCGCCGCCTTTGGGCTGAGCCGCGCAGCCAGCGAGGCGAGCTGATCAAGGCGTCGTCCCGTGGTGGCAGCGCTGGCAGCAGGGAGCAGTGTACTCGAAAAAAAGAGGAAAGAGCAAGCGTGAAGCGACGGCGCCGCAACATGCACCAACAGCAACATGAGCACGCAGGACGCAGCATGAGCAAAACGCAACACAAGGGTCAAGGGGAACAGTCACAAGACGAAAGACGAGACGGGGACATGCAGAGGACACCGCATCCCACAGAACACGCATTCCAGTTGCTCCCTCCTCTATTAGTGGCTCTAGGATGCGGCTCTACATGCAAGCAAATGTTAAGCGGAAGAACGGCGGTCGCCACTATGCGGGCCACTGTGCGGTCGTGTCGGCAGCCCAGACTGTCCCCCAGCCCTCCACAAGATGTCTCAGTCCGCAAAGAGCTTCTCGTAGCACGCGAGGATCTGGGCGGCGAGGCTGCCCGTGCGGTCGACCTCGAGCATCCCACACGCCGCCTTGGCCACCTCCGGGATCTTTGCACCCGCCAGCCCGAGCTCGGAGGCGAGCCTGTCAGCCATGTCCTTGACGGAGCCGCTCGCCGGCGAGGGCGCGCCGCCAGACGCGGGCGCGGCGCCCCGAGAGGCGGTGGGCGGCGACGGCGCGCTGGAGGCCTGCGGCGGCGTGCTCGCCGGCGGCTGGTCCTGCTGCGGCTGCGACTCCACCTTGACCTGCACCTTCGCACTGGCGGCGGCCGCCATCTTTGCGCGCTTGGCCGGAGGCACCGCCCCCTCCGCCTCCTCGATGACGACTGCCGCGCTGCGGAGCTCCGCGTCCTTCTCGGCCCACGAGCGGCTGCCCGTCTCCTCGACAACCTCATCCTCCGCCGCCGTCGCCGGGGCGGCGGCCGCTGCTGCGGGTGGCGCCGGGGCGGCGGCCGCTGCTGCGGGTGGCGCCGGCAGCCGCACCCAGCGCTGGAAGGGCGCCAGGGGGAGGCCCGGCGGAACGTACCACGCCTACCGGAAGGGAGTACTAGGCCGCGTCAGCTAGGTCTCCGCAAGCTTCGCGCCAAAGCGGGGCGGTGAAGTATCGCCTTTTGGCTGCCCTCCCCCTCGGCGTCCCAGAGGGCCCCAGTCCGCTTGGCCTCTGTCCGCTCGTTGTACGGGCAGTCGAGGTAGGTGCAAGCTGCGCGCAAGTGGCCGTGAGGCGTGCGCGCGGGGTCCTGGGGCGGCCGAGTCGGGTCCTCGAGCACAAAGCATTTTTTGGCGATTCTCCCGTCTTCGATCATCCCCCAGTTGTACGTCCCGTGCTGCCCGTTGGCGCCAAGCGGGATGATGTGTGTAATCTGGGCGCCCTGGCGGGCGCGCTTGGCCGCGGCACTGTCCTTGTCCATATTTTGCGCCATGAGCTTGGCGTTGCTGCTGAACATCCCAAGCGGAAGGTCGCACCGGCGGCAGCGGTTCGCGGAGACGATGATGCGGCAGACGGTGCCGTCGGCGAGGGTTACTGTGTCCGCGGTGCTGTGGATGGCGTGGTGGATGGCTAGCGCGTCGGCGACAGACAGGCGTGGCATGATCTTGTCAGCCGCTGTTCTCGCTGTCTCTTCCTCGGTTGTGTTTGCCGGGACCGCCTCCGTCCCGGCCAGCGGGCAAGCCTGACATCTTACCTTATATTTCCCCGCGGCCGGTTTTCCGTTTCAGCAGAGTGAAGCCGCCACCCAGCACACATGTACATGGTGCCCCTCGGCAAGGAGCGCGCTCCGGCGCCGTCCACGACGTCGTCCGCCGCCGAGGATGCGGCGCCGGCGCAGCACTCGCGTAGGCGCGCCGGCGTCATCCGGCAGGCGCAGCCGGAGGCGCCTGGGCATCAGCTCGCCGCCTCGCACGCTGCTGCAGAGAAGCGCAAGGCCAACAAGATGACGCCGACGGAGCGCAAGGCGAAGCGCACGGCCGACCAACAGCGGCGGCGGGCCGCCGCCCGGTTCAGCATGGCGAGCTCCCCGCCTCCTCTCGCCGCCTCCTCTCACCGCCTCCTCTCGCCGCCTCCTCCCCGCCGCCTCCTCTCCCCGCCTCCTCTCAGCGCCTCCTCTCACCGCCTCCTCTCACCGCCTCCTCTCGCCGCCTCCTCTCACCGCTTCCTCTCGCCGCCTCCTCTCGCCCTCAGGACACCGAGAAGGTGAGCGAGGACCCCGAGACGGTGATTGCATCGCTGCTAGACTCACCCTCACCCTCACCACCCCTCACCCCTCACCCCTCACCCCTCACCCCTCACCCTCACCCCTCACCCCTCACCCCTCACCTCTAACGGCCGACCACTCACACAGAACACCTCACACATCAGACAGACGCTTGCCCTGACATTAGACGTATCCTTTCACCAAAACCATAGCCTTACCCTGAATTACCTCCGACATCATCTAATACTCTTACAGAAGACCGTCCCCCATTTGGAGCGAATCCCTTGCTTCCTATATTCCACCATATGGATCATCCTCCGTACCAGACATAGCTTAGAATACGCCTAGAGCCTAAACTTGATCATGGAGGAGCAAAGCGATCAAGGTCAATCTCTGGGCCTCGTCGATCT